CTGATCCCTTTGGTGGCTAATTTACTTTGTAGCTAAGGTCTCTAAGTTAAGCTTTATATCTCATTCTAAGCTTATACACCGAACTCTAAGTTTTAAACAAGCCTTGGTAAGCAATATTTCGAACCTTATCTTGGCTCCCTTTGTTAGGGTTGAGACACCAAGGTGAAACAACCTGCTTCACAACTTTAACTGAAAGAGAAGAGGTATAAACTAGTTAGCATCTTTACCGCTAGGAAGTATTCTTGGTTTTAACATTTTAACCATAGTTTAACATCTAGACTATGCTACTGTGCGAAGCTAACGTGTAGTAATCTGGTGCTTATTTTTTAGCATTGACGATTGGTTGAGAGATCTGCTAGAGGTAATGAATTATCTTACTATTTATATTTTAACTTTCTATCTTACTATTTATAACTAATTATTTAACTTTATATCTAACTATAATTACCTCTAACAGATCTCTTTTAGTTTGCATCAAGGTTATCTTCCCGAGCCTTGTCATCAAGAAGGAAACTAACTGTAAACTGGTTATAAACTTTTACATGCCCTTCCCGATCTAAAAGTTATTCTACACACGTTGACTAGTTTTCTGATACAGTTAATTTAGCACCTGCTTCTAGATTTTGGGTTGTACTCTGTAGCTCAGGCTCTAATACAATGATTAGCTTCAATCAGGAAGGTACCATAATCGACTAAAGTTAATACCCTTCGCGCGCATTCGATCATGTCACCGAAGCTCAAAATAATAATTTACATCTTAAATTTTATATTTTATATATTTTTATATCTTAAATTTTATATATTTTATATTTTTTTATATCTTAATTTTATATAATTTTTTAATTTCAAATTATTTTTATTTTTATTGGTGCTTCTACCTAAATTAATCTAACTTACTTTGATTTTACTTTACTTCATCTTCTTTATCTCTTATTTTCATAGGTAGAAGCACTATTTTTTTATTTTTGACGTAAATTTTGGCACTCTTAAGGTGCTGAAAAATACGTAATAAGAGAGCGAGCTAATTAACTTGCTCTCGCTTCGCACTTTCTCTCGTGCACTTAGCTACTTTATCGGTGCACGAGCTTGTGTCGAAGCCTTAATTTGACTTTGACTGCAGAAAGTTAGACCTTTGTTGTTGTATAGTAAACACTTTGGCAACTGCATAGGTTTGTGCTATTGACGGTAGCATCGACTGTTTGCTCGAACCTTGTGAGCATTCGTTGAGTTATGTACATCCTTTATACCAGTAAGGACTTGCCGGAAACTGCTGTCCCCAGGTGTATAACAGTATAAGTGGCCCAAAAGATCCTATATATTCAAATACGTTTTTAACTTTAGGTTATTTCTTGCGGGTTCCCGATGGTTTCGATCTAAGGCGCTCAATAGGTTGTCATCCTCGAAAGGGATACCGTTCGGATGTAGATTTATCTTGGCTTTGGTCATGTCACCCTCCACTGTCCGATGGTATCACGACAACGATTATCCTTCAGGCCCTCTGCTTAGGCGGATTCTATATTAACCTAAGATCCGACATGGCTAGCTTACTCTTTTAAGCCTGGACTCGGTGTCTGATTACTTAACCAACCTAGGGTCGTGATTATGGTACCTTCCTTTGCTGAGCTCTGAATCGTGAGCTGAACGGTATCGAGGAGAGACTCAGGTTGCAATAGCTAACCAACTTATGGAAAGTTATAGACGCACGTGTTGAAAAACATGCTCTTGAAAATGACAAGAACCTAAAGTTAAATAAAGTCTTTAAGCAGGTGCTATCTTCCCTGTATTAGACTTGTGCTCAGTTTAGCTGACTTTGCTGTCAAGAGAATTACTCGCAAGTTTAATGACTTTATAAAGGTATCAATCAAGCAATACCACACAAATAGATAACTACTGTTTACTTGTCTGACCTTTTAACGTTGAGTACTAGCCTCGCCTTCCGGAGACGCTCCTCTGTCAAAATCAAGGGAAGATCTGTGGGATTCAATTCATTCACTATAAATGATTGATGAAAACAGCTAACTTGCGAGCACACTACTAAAGTTGAAGGTTAGTAGCCAAGACGAACGCCGCTTTAGCAAGAGCTTGCGTTCAGTGAGGTTGCTATAGTTTGTTCCTGTTTCCTCAGGATGCATGTTTAATCGTACCTTATTCGTTTAGACATGTAATATAGTACTAGTACCATATTAGTGCACTTGTGTCGCGGCTCTGGCATAGCTCATTCCTTGGGCTTTGACTGGGCTACGATGCCTGTGCAATGAGTACTCTTTACTCCTTGGTACTAGTTACTATATACAGACTATAGTACTAGTTCGACATATATAACCGCGCCGCCCACGTGCGCTAATTAGAGGTTGAAACGGGGCATTCACTCGGGAAAGGAAGGAGCGGGGTCATATACGGTCTCAGGGTAAAAAGCAGACGATAAATTAACCTTGCACCCTAGGAGTTTGAGAAAGTTGACCCCAAGCTTAGAAAGAAAGTAAGGGCCGCGATCAGAAATCATGTTTTTTAGGAAACCATGTTTATCATATTTTACACATTATATAATTTGATTAATGCTAGGAAGGGAACAGTTATGGACTTAAGTTTTGGATAGTCCACGCACAGCGGTATTTTATTATTATGTTTCTTAACAAAAAAGCAACTAGCTCCTATAGACTTGAAGAAAGTTTGATCTAACCTCTTTTAAGCGCTTTATCAATATAGTCTTTAAAACATTCAAGTTTCGGAACGGTATATTTTTCTTATTATTTGGTAATGAAAAACCTTCCATCAAAGATATTGCTAAGTCTTAAGGAGAAGGTGGTGGAAGTTAAGATGCAGTAAAAGTAATTTGCATTTTAAAACAACTTTTTGTTATACGAATGGATTATACGCTTTCAGAAAGTCTGCGCATCTACTGCATGAACCTATTCCTCAAGCAGGCAGATACAAATACTTTAAATACCACAAAATTACTACTTAAAAACGTAGGTGGATGTCCCTTTGTTTTTGCGGAACATTAACCACATAGAGTGTAATCTACAACTTATTCATAAATGTCATAAAAAACTTTTGAAACTGGCTTACTAGGGTCAGTAATTACCCTAGCAGTTTAATAAGATAGACTCAGCTTATGACGCTTGCTTCGCACCATGCATTAATCAATTTCTTAGATATGTTCAAAGGGAGATATGGTTAAGGTTATGGTTTATTTTATTAATCTATGTTTCTTAAATTCAAGTAAGCCAGTTATATATGCGTATTGCAGTTCTTATTACTTTACTGCTCCTTCTTTCTCCACTGTCTGTTATAGTTCTGGTTGTAAAGAGCATCAACCCGCGTCTATGGCGCAATGACTTGTTAAGGAAGTTCTAGCCGCACCCTCGCTTACTAGAGGAATTCTATTTCGGAGCACTGATCGTCACACCTGTAGCAGGTTGGTGCTCTAAATATATAAATAAAAAACTAAATAAACAAAAAAAGTTTATCCTACTCATGTGGACCCTTGTCTTTTCCCTTAACAATACTCGACATCGATTAAAACATTAAAAAGCATACTAAACAACCTAATTAACCAAAAAAAAGTAGTGTTTTAATGGTTAGTGGGAATACGTAAAGTTTATTATTAAAAGAAAACAATTATTATATCACTTAATAGACGTTTACTACATTTTAAAAGGCACAAGTATAGTTATCATACGTATTGTAAAATTTTTAATTGTAAAATTTTTAACGCTTAGCACAAGGAGCTAATTCAAAAATAATGTTAAAAATTATTGTTTTACCTAAACTATAAAAATACATGAACTTATAACCGATAATATCGCCCTACGCTTTCACGGTAGCTGATTTAAATGTCTCAGGGCAGCCTTTACTTACATCTTCGGGTTGACTCGCTGAATAGTAATATCATATTTCGGGATTTTAATTTGTAAAGTAATAAAAGAATGCGCTAAATTAAATACTAACTTTATTAGGTTATTATTTTCAAGCAAGTAAATATTTTACTCCTTTCAGTACAGATTTATAAGTCAAAGTTATTCCCCTAGGCTAAAACGGATTTTTCTATATTTTTATAATTAACGATTTCTTTATATACTTTAAGAGAATAGAAAAAGTAATAAAGACGGCGGTATAAGGAAGTTAAAAGTTAAAAAGTAATATTCTGTAGTTAGGTGTAAAAGTTGCTATAGCACAAACAAAAAAAGGACCATTCCAAGTATATTTCGCTATGTTAAATCGTCTTCTGTAAATCTGATATTTAGTTTTTTATTATTTGTAAGTAATGCCTCTTATATAAATTTTCTTATAAACTTTAATCTTTAAAATTATTCCATAACCCTATTAATTTTTTTTGGGTATTTTCGTTCTTTTTATTTGGCTTCACCACTCTTCCGGGATAATTACGGTGATACATATTTACTGTGCGTTTCGTAATATCTTTTTTTGTTTTTAAGTTACTATATGCTTCATGCTAGTAGAAATAAAAACTTAGTTAACAACTTCGACAACGTCATATTAAAATACTAACACAATTAAAAAAAAAAAGGGCTTAATAGCAACTCTTACGTTTAGAGAACTGCTACTGGGCTCTTTAGTTAACTGATATACTTTTATTATAACCCAGGCGTATACTATAATCGTTTCCTACATAGAATAAATAAGCGGTCTTTGACCTAGAAACTAGGATTTAACTTGATAAATGAGCTACTGCACATACCTATTAAACTTTATAACTCCCGTTAATTATTAACGATCTCGAAAATAGAGTAAAAAAACCTCTATAATTTTTTATAAAAAAGGGACTGAGATTATAGTTAAATTTTTATAAAATTATTTACAAACTAAATATCATATATTCCTATAAATACACAAAAAAATAGCTTATGTTATAGTTAATATTTAAAATCTTCTTAATCGTGTAAATATTATCTTAATGTAAAGTTAACAAAAAAAGCCAATAATAGGGTCTCCAGTTAACTTTAAACAGCCAACGTAAATATTGTAAAAATTTACACAGCCCCCAGCGGGGATTGAACCCGCGACACTTGGATTAAAAGTCCAATGCTCTACCAGCTGAGCTATAGGGGCACGGATATGAGTGGAGTCCATAAAATATTGGTAGATCTCTGATAATATTTACCAACGGTCACAAAACAGTTGCTTCAGTGAGTGTGCTCTAAGTCCACACATATAGTCAAAAAATTAATAACATTTATTTAACTAGGTGTTGAAATGTTCAAGAAATCTAAATAAATTATCTAGTTCGTTAAATTATTTAATAAGCATCTCTAAAGATGGAATGCAGTCAACTCATTAATTGTTAACATAAGAGCGTAACATAAAATGGCCATTGCTAAGGGGGGGAGTCTCCGGTTCGAAAAAGTTGTAAGAGTAATTATAAACCTTGAAATATAAATCTACCGAAATTGCTATAATCCAAACGGTGTTAAATAGCCGCCGTTTTATTAAGCAAAAGTTTTAAAAAAAAATTTACTTTTTTAATTTATAAAACGGAATTTAAAAATTTGTATTTATAACTTTTAGGAAAATATGGCTATTAACTGAAGAATTATAAAAGAATAATATTTTTTTTGGCCTCTAAAGTTAAGAATAAAGTTAAGAAGCATATAGTACCTTATTTAATATTTACATAGGCGCTAGAAAAACTCATAAAAAAGTTATTTGTTTTACTAAAACCTCCCTTCCCCGTCATATTAGTGCTTACTTGTCGCACTTAAGATTAGTGGATCAATAAAGGTTGTAGTTTGTACTAATAAAAATATTATCTGTAAATGTTCCATACTCTATAGTAAACAAAATTAATACTTATATGTTTCGAGATAGTGTAATTTTTAAACTATGATTTCTTATAAATTTCGGTATATTAAAAAAGAATGTAAATTTAAAAAAATTTAAACCTATTATTGCATAAAATAATATTAAAAAACATTAGAAAAATTAACATATTAAAATGAGCTCTCTAACAGTCTACTATATTAAAAACGCATGAAATCATGTCCGCTGCAATAATACTCTTTTAAGTCTTTAAATAAGGGTAACAAAACATTTAATCAAATATTTGATAACTTTTTTCCATATTGAAGCACAAGCATATAAAACACATCTTCTTGTGCTTTAACAAGAAAGGAAACCAAAAATTACTAAACTTTTTTGATTAAAATTCGGAAAACCCCAATAGCTGGAATTCAATATGTTTAGTTCACATTTATTGAAAATATCCGAAAAAAATTACTATATTTACAGAGCACGGAACCGCTGTATAGAACGCGCGTGGTTTAGTTTGCTTCAACTTGACAGGGTTTATCTCAGTTTCATGTACAGGTCGTCTTTTAATCGACGCCACTCGTCGTCTTGTTAATTGGTTCATAAAAATTGTTGCAAGGCTGATAGAAACTGTGAACGAATGCGCTAAACCAGTTCAAGCAAGGCTTAGAAAAGAACTCTCAAGCTCATTTTATGTTATTAAGTAATATTTCTCATCTAATGAGTAATTTCTCATGACTATAGTCTACTCCGTTGGACATCAAAAATGACGGATCAACTGGATGGATAAGGTAAGCCACATGGCACTTCCAATCAGTTCGGTAGAACCAAAAAAAACACTAAGGTAGTTCATTGCACCCTAATTAGTCGTCATTTGTGTTGACAGGTAATGTGGGTGGCATAGGACACGCACTGAGAAAAAAAAATTGTTGGGTATAACCTAACTACTTTTGTGTAGGTCAAGCTAATCCCAAGGGAGAAGATGGATACGGAATAGAACTTTGAATTACGTGTGAAATTGAACTGTAAGAGCGCATAGAGCATACTATTAGGTATATAATAGCACCAGGGTTTAATTAGTTTAAAACTAGCTTAATCCGAGTCAAAATACCATTTATCTGTCGCAAAAGCTAACATCGTTGTGATTGCAGCTCGAGCGAAAATAACATTAAAATTTATTAAAGGAAAAGTTAAAAATGAGGGTACAGACTCGAACGTCGAGACCCACGTTTAAGCGCGAGCTGAAAGTAGTTGCTCTAAAAAGGGAAAAACCTCAAGTAGACAATAGACTTTGGGCAAGTTCTAATCATATCTGTGCTCTTTACCCCGTGAAATCTGCCCGAAGATAATCATTTACCATGACAACTTGGAACTTAATTTTATTTAAGCCCTTAAAGGCTCTTTGTTAGTAGGTAAACTGGGATTGCCCAGTTTACTACATCCAGTGGGTTAGTTTAAACTCTAAACGGAGTGGTGTTACTAATTTGCTCACCCTTAATCCATCAAGGTTAGTCCGCACGATCACTCTTAAAAATGGGAAAAGATGAAGTTGGTTTTATATCTTAGAGAGATCCAGTCCTTTAGGTTCTAAAGAGTCATGGTAACCATGCTGATTTTCAGCATCATAACAATTGAAACCTAACCTTAATTCATGACCGGGCAAAGGCTCCGCACATTTCGCATCGAGATAAAAAAAAATAAAAAATTTGGATGCAAGTACTTTGCAAAACATCGAGAACTCTCGCTTCTTCTAGCCTTTCTTTCGTCAATTATTAAACCCATCTTATGATTTATTTCTATCTCTTTCTAGAAAAATTCGATTTAGAGACATGTAAGTAGAAATTACTTTCATACTTTAAAACTTACGTAATTGATTAGAATTGCTATGGGTTTGGTTCCGCTCCAATAGTTGATAAGGTTGAGTTTAAAAAAATATAATTTTTTTTAAAGATTTTTAATTTTCCAGGAGTTGCATCGATATACTAAAAACTGCGTAAAATCGCTAGTGAATTGGAATGATTTTATTCCGAGGTGGCTATTCTTTTGCGTATCCTTTTATGTGGACGCACTTTTACTTTGTTCTATATGCAGACTATCGTATAGGTCGATGCTCGCTTTACTCGAAGAATTAAGAGAGCACAAGATTCTTTTGTTCCTATATTAAAGGTTGCCGGTTATCTTTGTAGACTTTACTTCGCAACGCTATGTGGCGGTTAAATTTTAACTGTAAGTTTGATCTTTTTCAAGCACCAACGATGCCCTTAACATCCCTAAAAGGATGCTAAGAATAAATTTACAAAAAGTGTGCTCGCATGATTGTTACAACGAAGTCTCAGTAGCCAGGTTACTAGCCAAAGACAAAGCATGATTACCAACATGCACTTTCGTCCAATGACTATTCACTCTCCATATAAGTAAGAATTGCTTCTTGTTTCCTGTTTCATGTTGTACAAGTACTTGAACGAGACTCGGACTATAGTTTAGGGTGTCTTCAAAAAGGAAGCCCGCCAAAAAGACTTGTAAAGTCTAATCCTATTATAAGAAGTAAGCATTATTTCTTTTAGCCACTTTTTAGGGAACTAATTAGTACTGACGCATCCACTACTTAGCTTATCTGATTTGAGCACCAACTCTAAAAAGTCATTTAGTTAATGTGGGACTAGGATAGAATTCAGTCGCACACGTAAGATATAACAAGAATCTTTTGTGAGCCCCAAAGTGGATACAAGGCAAAAGTCAAATCGTTTTTTTAAACGAAGACAATTTATGCTTATCAGCAGATATATTTAAACAAAATTGGAATTGGTAACAATAATGGTTATTTCATGTGGTCTCCTGTGGCTGACGTCTTATTTAAAAGATGGACGTTTGTACGATCTAGATTGCTATCCTAGGGAATCTTCAACGTAGGGCAGGTTAACCGAATTCAAATCATATATGCGCTTTCTTCTCTAATCTGTCTACATTATTTCTGGAAACCCATAGCAACTTAGTTGCGAAAAAAAGCTTCTGGCGTACTCTTTGATCTTGCAGAACAATGAGGCTTGCATAATGAATTATACTTTAATTGTTCTGGTTAATAAGACTATCTTACTCCTTAGAAGGGGTATTTTCAATTGCAAAGGTCTAAAAAAACCATGTATAAAACTACGCTCGTCTAGCGTTTTATCGTCTCGCTTTGACCAACGAGATGTTGGCTTAAACGTCTTCATTTAAAGCCTCACTTGACGTTGTAGTGAACTTACTTATATGCGTTTTTTAATACGAGGTGAGTTTTTGCTATCCTTTGAAGGAGCACTTCAACTGTACAACTGTGTTGGTTCGATGTTAAACCAGCATTGAACTGAGGCCTAACAATTATACTAGCAGACTCTTTAATAGTTCAGTTGGAGCATGCATTTCCGAGTAATGACCTATCATACGGGCCCGAGTTGATATCTTCCGGTTTTCTAGTATTTTGAATGGCTGGCAATAGTGCTCATTATGTTAGCCTTTGAGCTATCTGATGGATTTTAAACGAAAAAATAGAATACTAACGTGAGGCATATTGTAATACTTCAGTCACGAGACTGCCCCGTAAAGGAGAGCACTGTCCAGTATCTAAAAATTCAGTTATCTTCCCGCGGAAACTAGAACAGTCCACATAAATTGAAGAAGTGTTGACCTATTTGAAAATATTAAGCTTAAAAAGAGTTGTTCTGAATACTCGGTCAAATATTTGCCTTACTCTACTATATTATAATGTTTATTATACAACTTTTGAACGTATAGCTTACATTATATGTTTTGCAAAAAGTTAAAACTCTATGTGGTGATGATTTAAACTATTAAGATAGTTTTTTTAATACAGTTAGGTAAGGCTATAAAAAATTGTTTTGGTCACAGTTTTTGAATAAGAAGATTGTTTACATCTCTTTCCACTACGGTAACACCCATTGCGAAGTGATGATTGAGGTGTACGTTCGCGATTTCTGACTCGCCTTAGAAAGTTCGGGGAGGAGGTGAGGCAGTTGTCACCAATCATTCGCACTCGTTCAGTTGGCCATATCATTGGCTGTTTAGATGCGCCATTAGCTTTTTCTTGCTCTTTCGGTGAAGGTGGTTTAACACCTGTTTTGTCCTCAACGCCTCAAAAGATCATTATAATTCAAATAATTCCCCGAAGTTCCACATATTAGCGCTTTTAGCTCCTCGTGAAGGCAGTTAAAGCGGTGCATAAACTCTAATGTCGTCGTTGCGTTGAAGTGAGCTTCGGACACCGCACACTCGAAGTCATATAGAGCACTGTTTAGTTAAAACTGTAATCAGTAGTACTGTAAACGACAAAAGTTTCTTTTGGAAAATTCAGTGCATTTTTATCAAAATTTATAAAAACGATGAGATATATAAAAATGAAATGAATATATAAAAAACAAAATTTAAATATGTATAACGTGTTGGCATATGTAATGTAAATGATATATGTATATAAAGTTTGTAAAAAATAAAATAAGAGTATAAGCACGTTAAAAGGAGACATTTTTATAGACCGATTTCCGCGCTGCATTATATCGATGGTCTATTCTTAGTCAAATAGTCGATTTTCAGACCAGCCAAGAATGTGCAGTAGTATATACATAACGCGGTAACAAGTGTATAAATTTATTCAAATTTAAAAATAACATTATCACTGTAGTTATAATTCCCTTTTCACTGCTACAAAGTTTACAATAAAGAGCAGAGCCCAAGAAAACTTTGCCGTGGGAAGCTCATCCTTGGATATTTGATAGTTTAAGGATCGCAGTAGAATCATGCTTAATTAATCAGTTCTCATTAGCCAGCGTTTTTGAAAATGATTGGGACGGAGGCCTCCCCGCTTAGGTCTGTTATATAGTTATTTCTGTATGAATTTAGTCTTGTAACGGTATATCAACAGGAAAGAAAAATTCAATTGTAATTATTTCATAAGAACACCCTTTATGGGGGAGGCTGCAAAAAAACTAACGTGAAAAAAGTAACTTTGGCTTGCTGGTTTATAATTCTAATTATGGTTGTCAGGATTTAATACCATAATTAATGACTTCTTGGCGTCCACTTTTTGGCGTGGTGAGGGGGGAGGGGGGGGTGGGCGTTTCCTCGTAATACCAGTAGTTGTAGGTACATAATAAGCAGGCTTACAGAAACACACGTGCTTATCACATGAACCTTATTAACTCTTGGGCTTTTGTTTTCTACTCAATACTTTCTTTTTTAGTATGAATGACTACTTCTGGCGATCTTCTCCGATTATAACTAAGATAGAGGCTGAAGGGATAGAAGGCTATAAAGAAGAAAGTAGTGAAGATGAATTGGAAATAGATAATGGTCATTTAGCGCCTGAAGCACTAACATTGCGTAGAAAAAAAGGTAATTATTATTATAAATTATTGCCTTAAATATTAATGTAATGACTTTATTTAGGATTCAACCAAGATTTTATTTTTCAGGATGATGAGTTTTTACCTAATGTTGAAGCCAAAAAGCTTGAAGCTATCCCTGTATCATTTTTTTTGTATAGTCACTTTTGTGTTTTTTTTTATTTTCTTGCAAATAGTTAACATCCACTTTAGACAAAATAATTGAAAGAAAACGAATTGCCAATAACTTGGAAACATCTTCTTCACTTGGTATTTTATTATTATTACTAACCTTTTCATAAGTATTCTGTTGCTTATTTTGTATAGATTATAAATTTTCGAAGAAGCCCTACTCCAATTACGAAGACACTGCAATAATTAATAAGGATGAAAATATTTCTGAAAAAGAAAAAGTTTTTTTTTTCTTTTTCTATAAGGTTAATTGATTTAATTACAATTTATATATAGTCTACTTTCTTTGGTCACTATGTCGAGGAAGAACTGGCTCCTGACATTTCTTTTACAGGTCACTTATAATATTTTTAATTTAGAGCTTTATTTTAATTTATTGATTTCCAGATTTAAACTTATCAAGGTCATTATTGCGCGCTGTTACATCTATGAAGTATCTGATTTTTTTCAGCTTATAAAATGTTTTCAATATTTTTTATCACTACTATAGTTTTTTGCAACCTACTTTGATCCAAGCTAGGACGATCCCTTTAGCTCTTTTAGGTTTTTGAATTAATTATTTTTTAATTAAATTTTCATCTTTTTTAATTATTATAAAAATTATGGGAATTTTAATAAAGTAGTCAATTAATAAGTTAACCTTAATGTGTATAATAGTATTATAAGTATATTAGTTAATATAAAGTTTAATTTTTAAACGCTTGCACAAGCACGTGATAGTCTACAATTTTTAAAAATTGATTATTCCTATTCACTGGAATTTTTTTTAGCTGCTTTAACAACCTTACTACTGGAAAAAATATTTTTAATTATAAAATTTTTTATGAAAGTAGTGAAGTTATAATAATAACTTTTTATTATGGTCTATAATTATTCTATTAATTTAGTAGAATAGTACTATAAAATAATTTTTTATAATGGTTTAATATAATTTTAATAATAAAATTTGTTAAACTTTTTATTATTTATAAGGAAAATTAATTTTTTTTAAAAAAATTAATAAAAAATTACATCAGATTATTTAATGGAAATCTTTAAGTATATTTATATTAATAATTTATTTTTAACTTACTGCTTTTTTACTTAAAATTTTTTTGCTTCTTAGTAATACTATAAAGTACTGTAAATTTTGATATTTAATTTTGTAAATTTATTTAAATTTATTATTAGAATTGTTTATAAATTTTCTTTTTGATGAATAATATTTTAAATTTTTTTTTATTTTATTAAAAGTATAATTGCTATATAATAGATATTACTTATTTTTGTAGCAAAATATTTATATTTTTTTAAAATTTTGTAAATCAATTTTTATATTATTACTATAGTAATTATATTATAAAAATATTTTATTTATAAAGAGTACAAATAAACATTAAAAAAATTCCTTTTTTTAATAAATATATAGTAAAACTTATTTTTATAAACTTCTATTCAAAAATTTCTTGTTATTATAAAAGCAAAAGATATTTGCGCGTGTGCAAAAACGGGATCTGGAAAGACCGCTGCATTTTTGTGAGTATTTACTATTTTTTTTAAATTTATTTATATAAAAAGTTATAATAACATTTGTGAAACTACGAAAGACTTCCCGTCCTCGAGCGTTTGTTGTATAGATCTAAAAGAGCGGCCGTCACACGTGTCTTAATATTGTCCCCCACGAGGTTTTTTTATATATATTATTACTATTGTTATGTTACTACAACCTTCATACTCTTATAATTCTACTTGTATATAATTTTTTATATATTTCATATATATAATAGTTTTATTCTCTTATGATAAAGTTTTCTACTATATATATATTTAAATTGTTATACTTTTTTTTCGGTTTATAAAGTTTTTCATTATAAATATATTTATATTTATTTATTGCTTCTTTAAAAGAAAATATTCGAGCTTATTAGCTTTGATGTAAAAATTATCATTCTTATCATTACTATTTTTGGTTTATATTATTATAGTTACAGAATTTTTATACCCGGAATTATATATATTTTATAGTGATTATAATGTTGAAATATTTACTGGTTTATACTTTGTTATTAAGAAGTTTATTTTAACTTTTTTGTTTATACTTGTAGAACTTTTATTTTTATGTTCATTTATTATTTTTATTGTTTTTTTATTATGATTGTAAACTATTTGAGTCATTATTATTCGCTTTAACTTTTATATAAATATTTTTTGAGTAGCGAAGTTTTTATATTAATGAATTCACGTCATATTATAATTAAAGTTAAATAAATAAAGCGCTTGTAAGATATATCCAACTTTTTTTAATTTTAATTATAATTATAAAAATATCATTTTATTTTTATTTTAATATAATAAAAGGGAGTTATCTTTGCAGTGTTACGATGTTGCTTTAAAACTTTCTCAATATACGGATATCACCATAGCAATGATTGTTGGTAAAAAAGTTTTTTTTATAAATTTTTTTATAACGTGAAAAAAAAAAACTGTTTATTTTGCACTTTTCTGATTTTTGTTTTTTATTAATATTTTTGTTATTGTTTACGGATATAAACTTTTTATTATTATTCTTTAATATTTTATATTATTGTGAACAAATTTTAAGTTATTTTCTTATTTTTTTTATAGATTAATATTACTTGCTATTTTTATAATTGCTATTCTTATTTTTCTTTGGTTGTCAATTATGGATTATTATAAATATAACTTTTATATATTAATTATATAATAATTTATGTTTGTTGAATTTTTTTATAACATTTAATTAATAATAAATATTTTATAAAAGAGTACATATTAATATGTTAGAAGTTTGATTGTTAGTAAAAAGTTTATTAATATTGTAGAAAACTCTTTTTATATTTAACTTTTAGCTATTTTTATAAATTAGTGCGTGAAAAGCTAATTATTTTTAATGTTATATTAAAGTTTATTATGTTAGGCGTTGTCGTATGAAATTTTATATATTAGTTTATTAAGAATATTTTATATTTATTATTAAAAAAATTATTTTTAATATTTATAAAAACATCTTTACTTTATCTATTTATCTATTGTGTAGTTTTCTGCTTGGAAAAGTTAATAAATTATTTGTTTTTATTTTTATTTTATAGAAGTTTTTTCCTAAGTATATTCTTATGTTTTTTATTATTATTAAGTTTTCATACATATTTCTCCATAACTTTATTTTTTATTTTATAACACTTTGACTCGTAATTTTTTTATAGTTTGTATTATTTATTATTTATATTCTTCGTTTTATTGCAAGCTTTCAATAAGTTTTTAAATTATTAATTTAAATAAAATTATATATCAAACTATAATAAGTTTTTAATAGTAAATATATACTTATTATTATATATTATAGCACAGTTTTTATTTTTATTATCGTTTCTAATCATTATAGATTTGTTAAAAAGCTATATAAAATAGTAAATGAACAAAACTGCTTTCATGTCTTTATAGGCGGCGTGAATCTAAAAAACCAAGAAGTAGAGCTCAGGAGAAACCCCGATATTATCATCGCTACTCCAGGTTATTTCGTTGATGCCTTTTTATATGTCTTATTGGCTTATTATATCTTATTCTATTTTTTAATGGCTTGTTTAATTAAATAAACTTTATATTAATATATATCACATCAATATTTTTTCTTTATGCAAAAGTATTTTTATTGCTTTTCTTATTATCTTATTGGCTTATTATATTTTAGTTTTTATTGGTTTATTTATAAAGTTTCTTATATTATCAGTATTCCTTTCTTTATTTTAAAATCATTTTGAAGTTATGAGTATATTATGCTTTTTTTTCTGTTTGACTTTTTATTTAACTATAATTAATGCTACTCCCGGTTATTTCTTTGTTGCTTTTTTTAAGATCTTAATGTCTTATTATGGTTTACTTTTTATTAGCTCATTTATGTATATAAAATTTAAAAATTTTTTTAACTACGGATTTCTTCCTTTAAGCAAAAACTTTTTTATGAGCATTTTTAATGCTTTTTTCTATTGGGTTATTTTTTATTAATGCATCATGATTAATAATTTTATTTATGCGCAACCTTAAAAGTTGGTCATTTTTTGCGCCATAAATTTTTATTTTATCTTATCTGCATATATCGTCACAATTTATTACGTTAAAGCGTATTTTACTGAAATGTTTCCGGTCTTTCCTTTGTGCCTTTACTTTTGTTTTATTGGTTTATTTATACTTTTATGTATTGGCGTATTTGTTACTATTTTCTACTAATCATTATGCATATTTTTCGTCTTTATTTACATTTGATTTAAACATTACTTGATACCTTCTTTAGATTATTATGAAAACCGGGTAAAATATATTCTACTATCTTTTAAAATTTTCTTCCTTATAAAAATAATGGCATAAAATTTAGTGATAACATACATTTGGTTTTTATTATAGCCCCAATAATTTAGTGAAATAATAATTATATATAATATCCTTCGAAATAACTTATTTATATAAAAAAAAGTTTTTATAATATTTTTATAATAATATATCGTAATAAATGTTAAGTTTATTCATAATGCTAAAATAGGCCGCCTTATTGACCACTTGCACAACACACTTTCCTTTTCTTTGGAGCACGTGGAAGGTTGAACTATTTATTATAATTATGTACAGAATACTTACAGAAAAATACTTTCAACTGATAAAATTTTGCAAAAGTTTAGTATCTATATGGACGTATTATACTTTTATAATAGTGAAAGTATACATATATAGAAATTAATAGAACAAGTAAAATTTTTTAAGGTACGCACCTCTGGATTAATAGTACATAATGACACAACTGAAAATTTCTATATTTGAATATTATTGAAAAATCATCTAAAGCTAATAAAGTTTAGAAAAGTTTACAATAATGAATGAATTTATAGTGAAAAGTTTATTAAGTTAATTATTATTTTTTTTTAATATTTATTTAGTGAAAATTGTGATTGCTATAAAAATAAATACTTAAAAGTGGGAATAAAAAATTGGTTTTTATTGTTTATTATTGGTTATATTATTAATAAAAAGAAAACGCATAATTTTAATATAAAAGCAATACAATGTTGTTACACTTAACGAAAGAAGTTCTTTTACCGGAACACAATAATAATAATGTTAATAAATAATATTAATAATGATAATAATATTAAGAATAACAAAAAGTGCCTACATCTATCGGCGGGTCACATGGCATGCTTACGGCTATCTCATTGGTTTAACTAGATATAACAGTAACCAATAAAGTTAAGGAGGGCGTAGCAATTATATACTATTATAGTAGAGTGCAGCCTAATTTGAATATTTTTGGCAGTTTTCTTATATTTTGGTAAGACTTGGCAATATGCGATTGCTTTTTTTTATTATTTTCCCAGCCACACTTGGAACTGCTTTATAAAAGTACTCATGATTTATTATTTTTAATACACCTAAAAACAATTAAATAAATGCGAAATATTAAAACTTTAAACTAAAAATACTTATGAAAATATTAAAAAAAAACTTTAGATTTCTTTTTTATAATGAAATATTTTTATAATATTATACTTTACTTTATGAAATTTTTATAGTTCTTATTATGGATGAAGCTGATCGACTTTTGGAATTGGGCTTTAAAGAACAGCTTTTTGAGATCGTAAAAGTAAAATTATAATAATATATATAATTATATTTTTTGATAATATTTTATAATTTATGAAGTAGTAAAAGTATTATAACGGTAATAATATTTTAATAATAATTTTTTTATTATAATATTTATTATAATATATTCGATATCGAAAAGTATTTTAATGACAATAATATTCATAATAATAATTTTTTTTTGATAATATTTAGTATAATATTCTAGAAATCGTCAAAGTATTATATTTTGAGTCGTAAAGATATTATACCAATAATAATAGTTACAATAATAATATTTTTTTAAGTTTGTAAAAGTGAGATAATAACAATATGTTATTATGTAAGTATAATATTTGTTGTACTGACATTTTTTGAAATTGTTTTAGTAAATAATAGTTATACCTATATTACTATTATGATAATCGTAAATGTAAAACAATTATGTTTATAAAACAATTTTTATGAGATAAAAAAAATAACTACAATATTAACAATATTAATAATAATATATATTTTTTAATATCGTAAAAGTATAATAATAATTATCGTATTTTTATTGAAGTTTTTTATTATTTTTTTTAATAAATATTGAAACTTATTTTTTTGGTTTCTTATAAAAACTTTAAAGAACGTCTTTATAAGATTAATATAATAATAATTATAATAATGATAATATTTTTTATGCAGGTTATTTTTATTTGTATTTCTATTAATAATTAATAAAACTTTATATCATAATAATTATTATAATAATATTTCTTTATCTTTATGTTTTCGATACTACTTGAAAATTATTTTTTTAATATTTTTTATTGTAAATTTTAAATTTGATTATTATACAACTATAAAGAACATCTTTTTAAGATGGTAAATTATAATTATTATTATAATATTTTATATGGAAGTTTTTTTTATTTTTTTATTTTTAATAATTTTAAAAATTTTATTATGTAAATTTTAAATTTTGTTTCTTATGAATTTTTTAAGATTTTTATTGAAGTTAATTTTATTATTCTTATTTTTTCTAATTTTTAATGGAACTTTATGAATAAATTTGTATTATATTCTTTAAATAATATTAAAGAACATCTTTTTTAGATCTTCAAAGTAAAATAATTTTCTCGTTATTATAATAATATTTTATATTAAAGTTATTTTTTTTTTATTTTTTTCAATATTCTTTTTGAAAACTTTTTTTTTTAATAATTATTATTGTAAATTTTAAAATTTTAGTTACTATTAAAATTTAAAGGACCATTTTTTTGAGATCCCAAAGATATAATAAAATAATTATTATTACAATATTTTATAGTAAAGTTAATTTTTTTATTTTTTTTTTTAATAATTTAATGGGACTTTACATAATAATGTTTTATATTTTGTTTATTATTATTTTAAAGAACAGCTTAAAAGTAAAAAAAAATAATATTTTAGTTATTTTTCTTTAATAAATGCTTAATAATTTATACAAAAAATTGTCAACTCTGTTATTAATATTAATGTATAAGTACTCAGAAGTTTTTTACAATTTTTAATATTTTAAAAAATAATAATAAATATTATTATATATATTTTACATATTAATAAATTTTTTTTTATATTTTGTTTTTAATAAATTTTTTTTTATAAGTATAAATTTTTTTATATAGCTTTTAGTAAATTTTACCCTTTTTTTGTACAAATAGATATAATCAATTTTTTTATTTTATAATAATAACAATTTTTATTTTCATTACAAAAAATATTATGATTATATTGGAACAAAAAGATTTTTTTATCACTTTTTATTTAATAAAAGACTTTTTTTTTTATAGAATTCTTTTTTTAAAAAATTTTTTCTTGTTGTCTTTTGAATGAGATAAAAGATTCACTTTTATCACTTTATTTATTATTTTATAATAATAAACTTTTCGCATAATTATTTCTTTAATTATTATTTATTATTTGAAATAAAGAAGAATTTTATTTATTACTTTTTTATATAAATAAATATTCCTTTTATTTAAAAATTAAAATGATTTATATCTATTAACTTTACATTATAATATTACTTTTTTTAAACAGAAGTGCCCGGTTGGCCGCCAGACGATGCTTTTTTCAGCGACAATGACTGACGAAGTTTACTTTTTATGAATTAAAAAAAACTTTAATAATTTATATTAGAAACATAAGTTCTTTATATTTATATTTTTATATTAATACTTTTTTATTATACTTTATTATGATTATGTACATATTAATATTTTTTCATGTTTATTTAGTTTTTTATATTATTATTTATATACAAATACTTTTTAAATAGTTTTACAATTTTTTTATATTATTATTTTTATTATAAAAGGTTTTACTTGGTTTTATAATTTTTTATGCCGTTATAAATAATAGCTCTATATTTATATTATTATTATTTAAATACTTTTTACTGGTTCTATAAATTTTATTATTATTATGTTTTATGTACATTTTTATTAGTTTATAAGGTTTTTCTTTTATTATTCATACTATAAAAAATTTTATTTTCATGTGTTTACCCTTTGTATTATTGTCTGTTTTACTTTCTGGAATAATATTTATTTATAAGTTTTTTATATATATATAATACAATAAATACTTTAAATATTATATACTTATTAACAAGTAAACATTATATTTATATTTAACACGTTTAAATAACAGTTTCCATATTATTTTGTTAAATTCATTTATTGTATAATCATTTTGTAAATTTTTTTATTATAAAAATTGCTATTATTAATAATTATTTTGATTTATATATTTATGGAAATATTTATTTAATAATAGTTTTGTATATTTTTTTATATTTTTATTATATAATTTATTTATTAATAAATTTTGCATTCTGTGTATAAAGTTTTTGTATTTTTCATTTTCCTAATTTTTTGTATTATAAATAAAAAGTTTTGTATATTATTTTTTTTAATAATTTTATTTTATAAATATTTGTAATTATTATTATAAAAAAGCAATTGATAATTATTTTTTTATTATTTTTTATTATTATAAAACATAGTTATGTAAGTTTGCATTATTAAATAAAATTTGACATTTTACTTTATAATATTTTCTTATTAAATAATTGTTCAGTAATAATAAAAATAAATTATTTTATATTTGTTATAATTTATTTGTTTATAAAAAATGAATTTTGATAGTTTTTCATTTTTTAAATAAAAGTTATTTATTTATATTTCATATTATTTCTATTATTTACTTAATATCCAGTAATTTATTACAATTAATAATTATAATTATTATATTAAAAAACATGTATAATAGTTTTCGCATTAAAAAGAAAAATTTTGTACTTATTATAATTGTATAATATTATATTAAATACTTTATTTATTATTATTAATTAATATTAGAATTTTTATATATAATATTTTCTTGCAGCATTTTATAAAATTCTAATAAATAATGTTAGTTCTGTATTTTATTATAGTTATTATTATTTACGTATTTTTTTTATTTCAAGTTATTATTGCTTATTATTGTTAGTATTATATATATTTTCTTTTATTTATTTTTATAAAGTTATTGGCATTTATTAGGTGGAAGTATTAATTGGTTTGTCCCTTCACGAGCCAATCCGGCTTTTTGTCGATAAAAATACTGAAACTGCTGATAATCTACAGCAAGAATTTGTACGCGTGAGGTTTTTATCATATGTATATTTACAAGTTTATCTACTATTTATAATAAATTATAAAATAATATATAATAGTTAATTTACTGCTGTTATATATGAAAATGTAGTTACTACATTTTTTTATTATTATTAAAAATAATACTTATAATAATAGTTTTATATAAAAATTTATAACTTTTTTATAGAAACAGTAATATTTTGTGATTGTTTTATAGAAATACTACAACTTTTATATTATTAATATTAAAATATACAAAATATATTTTTTTTAAAACACGGTTATTGATATTTTTTTAAAGTTATTAATTACTTTACCTTAATATTTTATAATAATAACAATAAAAACTATAGGAAATTGGCTTAGTATATTTTCTATACATTATTATATTTAATATAAAAATTATATTCGTTTATAATATTATGATAATAATAACTATAGTACTATTGTAATTATTATTTATTTTTCTCTCTATTTTTATTATTATATTAATAATATATATTTTATATTTTACTTCTTTATTATTTATAAACTTTAATTATGTTTATAAAATTTATATATTTTAAATAATTTTATGAACTAAAGTTGTTATATATTAAGAATACTGAATATTGTTATAAAGTATTTTAATATGAAGTACATATATTAAATATTATAGTTTTTTGTTGTTATTGTGATAAATAATAAGAATGAATATATAAATAATAAAAGAGTTGCGAAAGAGCCTCATCGCGATGCGATTCTTCTAGCGTTGTGCACGCGCTCTTTTAAAAGTAAATGTTTAATATTTTTTAAAACGAAGCAAATGGCGCACAAAATGAAGGTTTCATTGTTATTATAAACCATTTTTATTATTTATTAATTGTTATACTTTCTGATATTTTTTTATAATGAATTCAACTTTTTTTTTTATTTTTGTTTTTATATTTGATAATATCTATACAATGAATTTGTACTTTTCACTATCAATAAACTGTTGTTTTACTTTATATTATTATAACTTTTTTACTGAACCCAACTTTTAACATTTATAGTTTATGTAATGAATTTTTTATTTATACTTATTAATTGTTATTATACGTTACATTAAAATTTTTTTTATAATGAAAGCAGCCTTCATTATTGTTATACTTTGTATTAGTATTTTGTTATAAAATGAACGTAATCTATATTAACATGTTATCATTAAACTTATTAATAATATTTATTTTTAATGAATGGAACGTTTATTTATTAATGAATGGTTATTATATTATTTTAACATTTATAAAAAATAAAGAAAGAAATATAAATACTTTCTGGTTTTACCTTTTTTTTATTTTTAATTGTACTAAAGTAAATTGAATACTTATTATTATTATTATTAAATTTACTATTTTACTCTTAATATAATATTTTTAATTTTCGTATTTAGTTATACTTATAATATATTATTTACTTTTATGCCTTTATTTTCATTAAATAAAAGTACACCTTAAAACAATTTTTTATATTATTTTTTACTTTTAATTCGCTTTTATATATAATATTTGCTGAATGCTTTTTTCTATAAATAATTTTTTTTTAGATAATTTTTGGACTTTTTGGCTTAAAAGCAGCCGAACTTCATGGCGCCTTGAATCAAGTTTTACTTATAATTATATTATTATTTTTTATTTATATTTTGTTTTATTATGTTCTATTTTTTATTATTATTATACATATTAAGAAAAGTTTATTTTTTATTGTATTTAATATTGTTAAAGATGTTTTGACTTACCAATATTCGCATTGAAGAAATTTTTTATTTATTTATTCTAAACAAATTATTAAAGTTTATAGCTTATTAAATAATTTTTTGCAATTTTTTTAGTGTAGAGCAATTTTTCAATGTTATTTGCTTTTTACTTTTTTAGTGAATACCAATTTTTTTTTTATTTTTACATATTAGACGGAACGGAAAGAAAATTTACTGAAGTTCAAGCTTTCTCAAGCCGGTAACTTTTATTATTTCTTAATATTTTTAAAGTTTTCATAAATTTTTTTTGCTTTATTTTTCTAGATTTCTTATTTGTTTTTATACTTTAAAACCATTAAACTTTTATTACTGTGAATATATATTATAATATAAATATTATACCTTTTTAGTTAGAAAATTTTTTATGGCGTTTAACTTTTTTTATATTTTTAATTTTTTTTTATAAATTTTTAAATTTGCTACCATATCAAAATTTATTTATATCTTTTTTTTGTTACTTTTATTACATTTTCCCATTTTATAATTTTTTATTATGGTTAGAAGGCTTAATATATTTTTTACTGCATAGTTTTCCTATATTTAATATTTATATATTGTTTATATTACATTTTTTATTTATAGAAGTTATATAAAACTTTTTTGTTATAAGAAATAGAAAAGTTTTGAAAAGAAGATTTTTAATTAAAAAAATAATTAGTTTGAAGAAAAGTTTGGTGAATGTTAATATAAATATATTATAATAATAATAAACAAAAATGTTTCAGATAAGTATTAAAAAAGTTTATTTTAACTTTTTTTAACATATTCTACTTTTTCTATGAAGATTTTTATTTCATTATTCTAAATTTTATTTCAGATTATTTAATGTCTACCGATCTTGCAGCTCGTGGATTGGATATCGAAGGAATTGAGGTTTTATAATTATTACTTTATTTGTTATTTATTAATATTTAGTTATTGTTATTCCTTTTACTTTTTAATAATTTTATTATTACTAGTTACTTATTACTTTTACTTAAGATTTAATTTTCTTTTGAAGTTAGTATTTTTATATGTTACTAATTTTTTTTTTTTATTTTGTATTTTATTAGTTATTTTTTTTTATATTTCGTTATACTGTTACATATGAATTTTTTTTAGAATAATTATGTTTATTTTTTGCTACTAACCTAATTTATTATAAATTCTTTTTACTTATTATTACTATTGTTATTTTTAATTTTTATTTATTTATTTATTATTATCTTTAAATAATATTAATTAATTACAATTGTTAGTTATGCTCATAATAATAAATTTATTAATATTATTACGTATTAATTCTTTTAAATATTTTTCATTATTATATTATTGTTTGTAATACTTATTTTTATATTTTAAAATATTATTATTTTGTTAATTATTCATATTATTATTATTTTATTAATAATATTAGTTATTTTTATTTTTCTTTTTATAATTATTTTTTGTTATATTTACTTGTTACTATATTTTTCATGAAATGATTATTTTAAATTATTATTGCTACTTTATATTTTACTTAACTTATAATTTATTTTATGTATTATTTTGTTTATTTATATTCTTACTTCTAATTATTATATTATTATATTATCACTATAAGATTTTATTTTTTTAATTTATTCTTTTTTTATAACATTTTTATATTTTTTTAACTTTATTAATATTATTTCTTATTTTACTATTAATTAATTTTTTTAATATATTTTTATTATATATTTATTTATTATTTAAACTTGTTAAGTTTTTCTATTATATTTTCTATTTTTAACGTAATTTTTTATCTATTATTTTTTACTTGTTAATATTATTTTTAATTATGCTACTAATACTCTTTTTTTGTTTTTATTATTATTATATAATAGACAGTTATTAACTTCAATATGCCCTCCACGCTGACACAGTACATCCATCGAATTGGACGGACTGCAAGAGCTGGAAAGAAAGGTAGCAATTATTGGCTCGAAACTCGCGTTTTAATTTATGATTGGACGTTTAATTTATTTTTGTTATATAAAACCTGAACTATTTTGTTTGGGTGACATGTTTTGCTTTTTTCATTATTAATATTTTTAATATATTTTTTTACTTGTAATAATAATTATTATTAACTTTTTATAAGCAAATCCATTAATTATTTGAGTTTTTTTTTTTTTTTTGGGAGGGGGGGGGGGGTTATTATTTTCATTACGATTCAAACTAATTTTATTATTATTTATTATTTCATGATTGTGTATCTTTTTTTTATACATCCGTTAGCAAAGTAAATAATTTTATAAAGACTTTCTCCACGTGATCGCTGCTTAATTTTTTAAAAAATTTTTTTTAATAAACAGGATTGGCCGTTACTCTTGTGGGGGAGAACGAAAGGAAGTTATTGAAAGAAATTATAAAATATTCAAAAGTTTATAAGTTTTATAATATGCATTATTTTTTATATTATTTGTTTATATAAATGTTATTGTTATTATTATTATTATTATAGGAAAGGCCGCACCACCGTATTCTTCCCACAGAAGTTATACAAAGTTTCCAGTAAATATTACCTATTATTATCAATAATTATAGTATTATTATTTATTATTTATAAATAGAATCAAAATTTCTAACATGGTACAAACTATACAAGAAGTATTAAAGGAAGGTGTCAACTATATCATGAATCATAAACTTTTTTTATTAATTATTTATTTATTTACAGAAAAAGAAATGAAACTCATCGAAATTAGTGAAAGAGAAGCTATTAAAGCTCAAAATATGATTTTGCATGAAAAAGTACTATTATTATTATTATTATTACTATTATTATTATTATTATTATTATTACTATTATTACTATTATTATTATTATTATTATTATAAAAAGGAAATATTTAGTCGACCTGCACGGAGTTGGTTTCAAAGTAGTAAAGAAAAACGAGCCGAAAAATTATCACGTTGGGCTAAAAAAATTCTTTTCTATTTTTTTCTATTTTTTTTTTTAATGATTATATTATTTTTATTATTTTATAAATTTTTTGAACTTTTTATTGATTGTTTATAGAATTATTTATAAATTTGCAATTTTTTTATAATTTCTATAATTATTGCTTATGTAATCATATTAAAAGAACTTTTATATTTATTTTTTTATCAATTTTATATTTTTTATTATTATTTTATATACTAACTATCATTTTTTATATATATCCTTTATTACTAATCTTATATATTTTTTATAATATTAATTTTTTAATATATATCTTATTATTTTTAGATGAAGCTCAAAAGTTACCTGAAAAAAAGGTTTTTTTAAATTTTTTATGATAAATGTATATTTTTATTTTTTATTTATATTATTATATTTAATAAAAAATATTTTCTTTTATTAATTACATATTCTCATATAAAAAAAAGTAAAAATAGTATTAGTAAAGAAAAATATAATAATAATTTAATAGGGAAATAGTCCGAAGACCGTTCCTCCTCGAAAAGAAAAACGTCGCTTATTGGCTAAAAAAAATCGACCAGTCAATGTATAAATTTATAAGTATATTAGTTTTTTTATTGGAGATGATCAAATTTTTTTAGGGCTCGAATTATATAAACAGCGTAAAAAGAGTATTGAAAAGAACCAATAAGCCATCGAGAATTTATGCTTTTGACGAATCGAAAGGTTTTATTAAAAAAATTTATATCAATAAAAAGAATAAAACTTTTTTTTATAAGAAAACGGCTCTATTAAGTCTAACTCTAAAACTTCTCTAAATTCTGGTAGACTTTTATTATTATTTATTGTTATTGTTATTATTATAATTATTTTATCTATTTTAAAAAAAATTGTAGGTGTAAAAAAAACTTCTATAAAAACTTCAAAAGTCTCTCGACATGAAAAAAAGGTTTTGCTGATTTGTAATTTTTTTTATATTCTAGTAAATTATAAGTCATAATAATAATAGTAACACTAATAAAATTTGTTCTACTTATTAAAGTTTATTAGTCTTTTTTTTTTCGTAAAATTTATTTATTTTTCATGTTTATAGTAACTTTACTATTATTATTAATATTATTTTTTTATTATTATTTATATTACCTTATTTTCACTTATATTAAAAGATAATAAAAAGTTAAAATTATTATAATTTTTATTGTTCGCTCCATAAATATATAATTTTTATTATTAACTTAAATAGTTTTATAAACTATTTTATGATATTATTAGAAGATTTTATAGTGAAGTTTATGGTGGTTATAATTTATTTATAGATGATATTTAATAGTTATTCATTATTTTCAAAAAGTGTAGTACCTTTATTATCTGTTTATATAATAATCGTTCATAATAATAAATTATGTGAAGTTACTGATTGCTTTATAATATTTTTTTTACTTTTCTTTTTTATATTTTTATTATATATTTATTGAATAATCATTTTTATTTCTTATCTTTATTTAAATAATATTTAAGTGAATTTTTTTACCAACTTGTTTCTTTCATTTTATTCGTAAAAATAATGTCATTATTATTCGGGTTGACAGAAAACTTTTGACTTAGCAACGTTATTTATATTAAAAAAAATTTTATTGGGTGTTTGCTGTACTGCAACTCACTTTTTTTCTTTTTTTATTGGATAAATATAGACGTTATTATTCTTTTCAATAATCTTATTATAAACTAAATCTTATTAGGCCCCTGTTTTTCCATAAAATTTTTTATTTTATTTTTTACTTTATTTTATATATTTACTGTCATTATTTTTAATGTACGGCTTAAATGTCCGCCCAATATAATTAGATAATTTTATTGTCCTCATTTTTATTGGCAAAGTGTTATCGTTATAATTTATGTTGCATACCAATTATCTAATGAAATATATATTTTAATGTGTTCGCTTCTTTGCTATTGCCTTACTCATATTTAAAATGTTTATTATATGTAATATTATATTGGATAAACATGTTGGAGAGATTTTTTTTTAATGAATTTATATATTTAAAAAAAAACTTTTTTTAAATAAATTTATGAATGCGCTAATAAAAATATATATAAAATACTTTTACGAACGTTTTCTATTAATTATATGAAGCAAATTATTATAACACACTGAACATTTATATACAAGCTTTGAACTTATTTTTATTTTTTTTCTTCTAAATAATAATCCTTTTATGAGTTATTATTTTTATAAATAGTACTTACTATGCGCGTTTTTGCAGAGAAATTTAAAAGTTTCTTTTATATATAAAAAGGAAAAAACAAAACAACTTTTTGCTGATAAAGCGGCTAAGAAAAGGCGCCTAAAAGGTCTCATGTTTTTCATTGATAAATTTTTTTTTCTTTTTTTTTACTTCTTATTCTTTATATTTACTTTTTGCTATTTTTTACACGATTTAAATTTGTAAAATTAATTTAATATATATTTTTTTTCTTTCTTTTGATTATTTATTACTTAAATTTTTTTAAATATTTTTTTCTTATGATTTCTAAATTTTTAAAGTACTTAAAAATATATATTTTCAACTTCCTATTATTTATTAATTATTTTTTGTGTTTCCTTTTTTTTATGGATTTAATTATTTTTAGTTTTTATATTCACTTTTTATAAATTACTGTAGAATTTATTTTAATTTTTATAATCAATTTTTTTATATAATATTACTATCAATATAATATATAAAATTGTATTTTTTTAATGAATTTTAAATATACATATTTATTTTTCTATAGAGCTCCGAAAAGTTAAATCTTCTACGGCATTTAAGTCTAAAAAAAAGTATTTAAATTTATATTTATATTAGACGATTTTTTTATTAGAGAGTATATCTTATTGTGATTATCAGGTTTAAAAGGAGATGAAATTTTTTTGAAGTTTTTTTTGAGAATATTTTACGCTTGCTTGAATATATTTTTTGAATTTACAATTAAAGGAGTATTTTAATTAAGAAATGATTTGGTTGGTTAATAAATTTGGCTCAACGGAGACAAATATTTTTACATTAATGCTCACTGGGTAGAAAAAGGGATCTATTTTACTATATTAAAATAAAATTACCAAAAAATTATTTAATTGAGGCAGTCTGGCTCATATTATGTGTGTACTCATCATTATATCATTAATAAAAGATTCACTAATTATAAAAAGTACATAAATTTTATTTTATATACTTTCATTTTTCTTTTCAGTTTTAAAAAACTATTTGAAAATAACTACTGTAATAATATATTAAAGTAGATATATATAAAGATTATTATTATTATTGAAGTATGATAATAATGGATTTTAACAAATTAATTAACATAAAATTACAATTTTTATCATAAATTTAATAGAAAGAAATATTGGATAAAAAAATGAATATACAATTTTATAAGGAAAAAGTTATCAAATCAAAAATTAAAAACCTTAAAAATAACAAACTAAAAATTCTAGCTAAACCTAATAAAATAAAAATAAAAATTATAATAATTACTATAAAGTATTGTATTTAAAATATAAACAAAGTAATATATACTTAAAAACAAATTAAAATTTTTAGTAAATAGTATTTATAGAATATAGAAATATAATTATATAGTATTATGTAAAGCCGGTAATAGTTTTTTAATAACTTTATAGATATCTGGAAAGCCTTAAACACCAGGAAAACATAAATAATAATACTAAAAAAAATGAACTCCATGCTCACAAAACAACAGAAATAAAAAAATAAGAGTTGTATTTATTTATTTATTTTATAATTGATATGTGCCTGTACGCGGAAACTTTTTTTTCGCTGGAAACTGTAGTCCGGGTATTCAGAAAAGTATATATCCTGCTTTTCTTCTGCTGAGCGAGTAATAAGCCAAAGCCGTGGAAGTGAATTTAGTATAAAATTAGTTTATATATTATTTATTCATATTGTTCTAAAGGTATGTCCTGCAGGAAGGGACTATTAGTTTTGCTTAATACTTAGATTATTTTGCGTAATTCGTATCCATTTTCTGCAAGTCATTTCCTTATTTTATATATACATATACATGTACGTATATGTGTGCAGGTTTGCAAACATTGCGTGTGCTTAATGCGCATCGCTGCTGTACAGGCGCAATCGTGCGCCTATAGTGAGTTAATTATAAGTTCTTGATCCCCTGGTTTACTAAAACGTTCAAAAAATATATATTTGTACTTTTGAAAGACTTCAAGCCGTTCTAGTCCCAAGTCGACGCTAAGGGTCATTAATCACCCGGGACTGTTTTGTTGCGTAAGCAGGAGTGCAAAGTTTGATGACTTTTAGTACGCCCAAGCAAGAGATGCGTAGACCATTATAGGGCGCACGGACACTTTATAGCAATGCGGTTATTGCCCAGAGATGTTTTTGGCACACAGCAGCGGGTAGAGTGTGTGGGTTGCTGCCAAGTTAGTGTTTCTCGATGGTATTTTTCACCACGCCAAAAGTGGAAAAAATATCTTTTATAAAGGCGTCAAGTCTTAACTATGCTGAACCTAAGCATTTGGCCTGCGAGCCTCACGAAAGCTTAACACCTACGAGTGTTAAAAGCAAGGAATAGCGCGATGTAACTTCTTGGAATGAGCATTGCTTGGCTTCTCTCTGCATTAATGGTTATTCCCTTACACCCCACTGCCACCACCAGTTTGCGAGTGTTTCCATGTAGGGTTGGTGTTGCTGTAGTAATGAGGTGTTTTCTGGGGCTGCCCTTAACTAGCAGTGTCATTAGCAGAAAGTGCGGTGCGGGAATGAGGATTCGTGGGTAGCGGAATGACTCGCATGTACAACGCTCAAAGTAGGTGTTAGGGCAGAACCTTGCGGATCACCAGCTGCCAGTCGACGGTTGACGACAGCGTAGTGCCAATTTTCCTTGGAAGATGAGTGTCGTCCTCATAGCCTCGATGCAAGTATTTTATAATGGATTAAGGGAGCACGTGATGCCCGTAATTTGTGTAAGAGCACCTCGTGCCACACCCGGTCAAAGACCTTTTCAACGTCAGGAAAAACAACGTTCGTAAATTTTAAAAAATTTGAAGTTCCGAGCTGTTATTCAGCAAACCGGAAAAGTTGGTGTGTCGTCGAGTTATCTCTTCAAAACCAAACTTGAAATTCTGGGGGCGCTTTGTGTGTTTCTAAAAATTCTCGGTTTAATACTGCGACATTCCTTAATAAATCAACTTGGTTTTTATAACCTTTTTTTTCTTTTAGAATTGGCTTTTCCTTTATGTTTATGCACTTTTCATATCTAACTATTAAAATAAATGCACGGTTCTTCTTATCTGAAGTTAATAGAGTTAATATATAAAAAGATTCTAAGGACGCTTGATTTTAATGCACCAAATGTCGACTCATGGTTACATTTTATATTCGGGCGGTTTATATAAATATTTTTAGAGTTGCACCAACTGTTACCATTCAGGAAATCGTAAGGTTCTCTAACGATAATAAGTGCCCAAAGGTGAACTTACAAGAGTTAAAATATATAACAAGGAGAAAAAACATAAAGTAAACTAATTAACCTTAAACAATAACAGTTAACAAAGCTAAGATCTTAGAGCTAGAGTGGAGCTAATGCACAACTATATCAAAGCTGTGCTAACTCAAAGAGAAAATATGCGATAGGCACTTTATATTAAGAAAGTAACAGAATCGGCTCCCTCACCCCAAGGTTGGAAGCCTTAAATATCTGTTTAAACCCTAAAAACACAAATCATAAACTTATGCATTGGCGCATATAACAATGAAATGATATAGGAGCGCATGCTAGGTTCATAACACCAATTAGGTATTGATAAAAAAAAAATTCATGAAGTAACGATATGTGTATTTTTTAAAGCTTTATAGGAAAATAGAAGTAAAATTTAAAGTCTCTTCTAATAACGTGCCCAATAAATTTATACTTGAAAGGCGGATTTATATATAGTAAAAGCTTATTAACGCAACTGTTCTTTCGCCATATGACATCATACATAGTGATCATTGTCACCTTTTACGCTCTTCATGAGCTGGGAAACTTAGCCTACAAAAAAATTACGAAGTATAATTATTGAGATTGTAAACGAAGTCTCATTATTTTTTTTCCATTAACGTCTTGATTTAATAAACGTCCCAGAAGTAAGGCATAAAAAATTAATTATAACGCTGTTTTTGTTCAACGATTAGGCTTTAGCTTTATAAAGGTACTTATATTAGCTTACTGCTTATGTTTTTTATATTTATATATATACTTACTACAAACTCTTTTGCTTCGTGGTATAATCTTACCCATGAAGTATACCTTGTATTAACTGTGTTTAAGTTTTCAAGGTGGAACGTAAAATACAGAATGACTATAGTGCGGGCTATATGCTTTGACTTCATTGTTTAATTACTATCGCAGTTTTCTGAGTTGTATGTAGAAAGTATATGCACTTAGTAAGTTTTTTTAGTTACCATTTTTATTATAAAACGCCTGTAACTTAATCATTCTAATAATTTCTTTTTAGGTTCTATTGTCGTCATAGTCTAAGTGCTACTTCTACTCAAGAGTTACTTTCACTACAGTACTCCTGCCCTTTCATCCTATAGACGGAGGAGTTGTAATTATATAGTTATTATGTCTTATCATTTTTATGAGTAGTTATTAAAGACCAATATTTGTGTGGCTTATTACTTTTATAAAATATTACAAAATTAAGTCGTAACAGATTGCCCTCATTTTTTGACATTAACAGTTTAAAACCAATAGACCAAGAGTGAAATTTGTAATAAGATCTATGCTCTTATTAAAAACAGTATCAATTTATGTAAATATCGCAGATTTGTTTTGTTAAAAAATTCATAATGTTAAAAAAATGACAAAATTTTGCTTTAGATTCAACGTTTTCGCTCTTCAGAATAAGTTTAAGTCGTTTTATTCTCTATAATTGGGTGTGTTTCCTTAATGTTGAATTCTACATTAACCCAAATTATATATGGTTATAACCAACATTTCTTTATGTGAAATAACCCTAGCTATTTTTTTTGTAAAAGAGGAAGGAAAAATAATAAGACGAGAACATTAGGTTATGACAGTTATAATACACTTTCTCGTCTGTGTTACCGCATACGGGTTGGCTGACATCATTGTTTATGACGATCTAAATACTAATTTTTATTGATTATACTTAACTCAATAAATGCATAGAAGAACATAATAAAGTCAAAAGCAACAATAATTTAAATACATTTATAATCTTGAAAAGGGGATTAATAGTTAAAAATAGCCAAAAAACTTTCCAGAGTTTTTAACATTATTTTTAATTCCAAAAAAAACATAGTACTTACGGTTTAAGTAATGCTAGATTTTAAAAAGACCCTTATTACCCAAGCAACTTTCATTTTAGAACTAACTAATCTTACACTAAAAGTACTTGTGTTTTTCAATTATACAACCAATAGTTTTCACAAATAGTGATTGTATGTCATTGTAAACAGAGGGTGTTTAAGTAATTTTCATCCAATTCATGGGAAATTATGTAACCAAAAAAGGTAACCCCCAAAATACAGGTGGCCATGTCACGTGCTTTTTAGCTTAGCAATATTGAGAAGCTCATTCGTAAAACTGTATAACTTTTACGCTATCTTTACCAATAATTTTTGAAATTCACTGTCACTAGGCTTACACTACCGCTATGGAAGATATCGATCTTTTTTCTGCTTTTGAAGATAATAAGAGCAATGATTTAAAAAATAATGAAAGTAATCATTTTTTTACGGTCAAGAGAAGCATAATCTCAGAGTCAACTGGCGTGGATCTTAAAAAGACAAAAATTAACAAAGAGGAAGAAATTGAGAGAAATGGTATATTATTTACCCCTTAGTAGCTATTTTTTTAACTTTATTATAACCATTATATATTTTAACTTACTCTTATTGGGTGAAACACGTCAAGTTTATTTCTTTTTATTTTTATAATTCTTTGTTAAATTTGATTTAATATTCTTTAGTTATTTATATTTTATATATTCATCGCATTGTGTTATTATAAATTTTTTAATAATTTAGTTATTACATTTTTTACGTTTATCTTTATACAATTCATCTTATTCGTTTATTATTAAGAATGTTATAATTTTATATTACAAAGATTTACGTTCCTTATATATTTATATATGTGTTCCGCTCTCTTAAATGTATCAGCCTATAAAAAATTTTTATTTTAAATCTTCTAATAATAGAATTTAAAGCGTATTACTAATATTTATGTATAACTCAGCTTTAGTTTTTTAATAAATTATCTTTAGTCTAAATTTTTATTTTTTATTTATTAGCTCTACAATTTTTTAAATTTTTTTAACTTTTGGATTAAATTTAAATTCTTTGCGGCTTATTTTTTATTTATTACACGATTATTTATTTTGTTTGTACTTACTTAGATCTCCCGAAAGTTGACATAAGAAAAAGGCCAAGTTTATTATCAAAAACTAAAATGTTGCTTAACTCGCTTGTGTTGGATACTGAATCTTCTGAAACTTGTATAGTATTTTTATTACAGTATAGTTATATTTATATATAATGGCTATTACTTTAATTATTAGTCTCTTCTGTTTTTTATAGGATGTTTTTTTTATTAATTTATCATTTTTAATATTTTTTCACTTTCTACAAAAAGTACCTCACGAAATAATATTTTTATTTTATTTATATATTTTCATATTTATATTGAAAAATTATTTACAAAATTATTATATTTTTTATAATGAAGTATTTTATTTAACACTTATATCTATATATATCTATCTTTATTTCGCTATTGAATTTTTTATAGCTAAATTAAAAAAATAACTGATTTTTTTAATAATAAAGTTGGATTCCATTTTTTTGTAACAAAATTTTATAAAATTAGGTACTCACCAAGTTGCCGTTCCGGTGGATTATAACTATCGTCCGCTTTCTCAAGTTTTACTCAACTCCTCTTTTTTTTTTTACTTGATAAATTTTTACGATTTTCTTTACTTTATTTATTTTTACTTATAAACTTTATGATTTTTTATTATTTTTTTGCTTGTTAAAGTTTTTTAATTTTTTTTACTTGTTTAACTTTTCTGTTTTATTTTTCCTTAAATATTCTTTACTTATTTAACTTTTATGCATTTATTTTTTTTACTTGTCCATATTTATATATAAAAATTATATCTACAGGATCCTCCTCCTGCGCAGCCTGCAAAAGTCTATAAATTTACTCTTGATCCTTTCCAGGCTCAAGGCATAATCTATATATATTTTAGAATCAGTATAGTTTATATAAAATTTTTTTTTGAATAATAATATCTTAGCTATTAAATGTCTTGAGCGTGGTGAATCAGTTTTGGTTTCTGCTCACACTTCTGGTAAAGTTTTATTATTATTAGTATTATATTATTATTATTATTATTATTATTATTATTATTATTATTATTATTATTATTATTATTATTATTATTATTATTATTATTATTATTATTATTATTATTATTATATACATTATTGTTTTAATATATTATATTTATTTTGAATTACTATAACTCTAAACTAATATTATTATTATTCTTAAAAATTTTAATATATTATTAATATTGCATTGCTCTTTGATAATAATTTTTATGTTTTTTAATGTATAATTTGTATTGCTTTAACCCTAAACTTTTTATTAAATATTATTTTAGCGGGGAAAACTGTTGTTGCTGAATATGCCATAGCAAAGTCACTAAAAAATAAGCAGCGCGTTATATATACGACTCCAATAAAAGTATTTTCTCTTATTTTATTGCTTTTGTTGAAAAGCATATTTGTTATAATATTATATAAAAAGTTAATTTTTATTTTTATAATTTTTTTTCGCTTTTAATTTTTTATGAATACTATTTTTTTTGGAATTTATAAAAAAATTAATGTAGTAAGTTTTTACTTTTTTATTACTTTTTTTTGGATTTAAAATTTTTTTTTAACTATAAAATTTTTTATATATATTTATTTTTTTAATAAATTTATTAACACAATCTTTTTGTAAAACTTTTGTAAGTTACAGGAAAATAAAATTATGCTTTATTATTTTTATTTTATTTATTAATAATATAAATTTTTTATTAATAATAATTATAAAAAAATATTTTTATTTGGGCCTTAATTTTTAATTTTTTAATATTTTTTTATTTTTTAAGCTTTTTGCTCATTTTTTTAAAGAAAACATATTATATATCTTAAATCTTTTTCATAATTTTTTTTTAGCTTTAAAGTTTTTATTATTACACGTTCATAATTTATTTTATTAATTTTTCATTATTTTATTTTTATTTATCAAATAAAAATTTATGAAATTTTTTATTTAATTTGAAATATTTACTTTTCATTAATTTTTCTATTTACAATTTTTTAAAAACAGATATTTTTATTATAATTTATTACAGAATTTTATATTTATTTGAAAAAAAAACTTTTTCTCTTTTTATAAATCGGGTTACTACTTTTTATTTATATTTATTAAAAAAAAATTGTAATCGAATATTTTTTAAATTTTTAATTATAAAAAGTAATTTTTATAATTCGTTATAATTTTTTTTTTAATCATTATAAAAAATATATATTTTTTTATATATAGCTGAACTTTTTTCATTTTACTATTTTATTTAAATATTTATGATATTTATGCTTAAAAAATAATTATTATTATATAAAACGTTTATAAAACAAATGTCATTAATGTATATATTATAATAAAAAATAATAACTAATTTATCAATTAACTTATATTATTTTATTATTTATTCCAATGGTATAATTAGAATTATTTTAAGCTTTCGTTATACACTTCTTAAATAAATAATAACCTTCGAATCTTTGGCAGTTGGTGTGAATATTATATATTATTAAACTAAGATATTTATATACGTAGTATTTAATAACCTTTGAAAAGTTTTTAAATTTTATTGGAGTAAAACCTTTTTTATATATAGTTGCAGTATTCTATAAAACTTTTATTTGTGTTTAAACTTACTATCCTTTTGTTGTTTACTTTTTTTTATTATAATAATTATTGTATTTAAAGTATTATATAATTGTAATAATACTTATTTATTAGTAAACTTTTATATCGATTTTTGCATTATTAATAAAACTACTAAATGTATTTTTTATTTTTATAATAATATAGTAAAATTAGGAAAGTTTTATAAGAATTATTTAAAGTGCACTTATTTTTTTTGATGTTTTACTTTTTTTTTATTAAAAAATAATATGTTGAATTAAAAAAGTTGTTATAAATATTAAATATTACTAAACTTATTTATCTGTTTGTATTATTTTTAATAATACTATTTACGATTTTTTATCTGCATAATAATACAGTAAAACTTTAAATATATTATGTATAATATTTATAAGTTAAAAATTTTATATTATTTTTTATATTATAAACATCATGATTGAATTAAAAAAAATAGTTATAAATATTATATAATACAAAACTAGTTTGCTTTTGTGTTATTTAATAAAATTAGTTCTAGATTTTTTATTTTTATATAATAATACTACGAAACTAAAATTTATTAATACTATTAATAACTTAAAACTTGTTATCTTACTCTTCTTTTATATATAATAAGTGTCCTATTAAGATTTTTTATACCTGTTTTAAAATTTTATATTGTAAACTTTTTTTATTTTTTGTATTATTTTCATATAGTGATATTGTAAAACTATAAATTTTTATAAATTAGTTTATAAGTAAACTTTTTATTTTTATTATTATATTTTTTTTAGGCGCTGAGTAATCAGAAGTACAGAGAATTTAACGAAGAGTTTGCGGATGTTGGGTTGATGACGGGTTATATAACTTATTTGCATTTTTGATTATTTATTATTTTTGTATTATTTATGTTCGTTAACTTTTTTTATTCATATTTTTTTATGTTTTATATTATTATGTCTATAGAATTTTTTTTTTAATTATAAGTTTATTATGTACTTCATTATATTATGTTTTTTATATATAAAAAGTGTTATAGTATTTTTTTTATATTTCATTTGTTTTTTATTGCTCTTTGCGTTTTATTTTTATGTATATTATTGTTATTATTTTATATATTTTAAAATTTCTCTCTTCTTTCTTTAGTTATTAACTTACGCCAAGTTCTTTAATGTTATTATCATAAAATAAAAGTTTATCTCTACAAGTAAATTATTACTTTTATTATGTATATGTCTTTAATGTAATTGTATATTTTTTATATATTTTTTCTTTTTTTATAATTAATTATTAATTAGTATAAAGTATTGTTCTTTTTAGTTATTATTATTAATTTGTATATTTTTTATATTATTTCTTATAATCTTTTAATGCTTATGACAATATTCAGTACATTTATTTTTTATTCTTCAGAAGTTTATTATTATTTTAGTTACTATTATTACTATTATTATTGTATGTTTTTATGACTTCTATTACTATTTCTTTTTTGTCTATCTTAATTATGTTAGCTATCAAATTTTTTTTTGGTTTATAATATTATTTTAAATACATATAAACATTTATTATATTTTTCTATATTATTATTAGAATTTACTATCAGAAGTTTATTTTATATCAATATAATATTAATTTTATTATATTTTTTAATTTTAAAAATACTTTTATTTATATTTTCTTTTATATATTTTAATATTTTTGATTTTATTTTTATTTTCACTTAACCTTGAATAAATATATATTTTTGTATATATATTCAATCTTCGTTATTCTTTGTTATATTAATATTTATAAATAATTTATTCCTTATTTAACTTTTAATGAAAGTATCATTATTATTAATTATTTTTTTATTTTTTATAAAATATTCTATATTCTATATTTTGTTTTAATTCAATAATATATATTTTTATAATTTACGTGTTAAATAAAAATATATATTAATTTTTTAATTCACTTTAAAAAAATATATATGATTTTATTAAATTATGTTATATTTTTTTTAAGGGTTAGGTTAAGGTTAAGGTTAGGTTAATATATATAAATGCAATATTATGACACATTTTTATATTTTTATAGGAGACGTTACTATCAACCCGAATGCAAGTTGCCTAGTGATGACTACTGAAGTATTTTTCTAATTTTTTATATATTCTAAAAAATTTTTACCTTAATTTTTTACTAAACTTTATCAATAATAAAAATTTGAATTCATTATAATATTATTTTTATATAGAAATAACATTTATTTTTTTTTTTGTTATTGTCTACTTTTGAAAAAAAGGATGTACGGGTGGAAGTTTAGACTTTTATATAAGTATTTTTTTTAGTATTATTTGTAACTGAAAAACATAGTGAAATATTTATTTATAAAATTTTTTAACAATCTAATTACTTAAACTTTATAATAAGAGAAAAGTTTTATATTATTAACTTTTTTTATTATTTTTATTATCAACTTTAATAGTTATTACAAAGTTTATATAAAAATATGTCTAGTTAAATTTTAGAATTTTTTTATAAAAAAATTAATTTTAATTTAGTAAAAATAATTAAATCTTTTTATAAAATAATAATAAAATAGATTAATATATAATTATTACAGAAGAATAAAATATTTATTCAATCCTTAATAGGTTATGCACCAAATTTTTATTTTTTTTATTTTTTTAGTGGTATATATTTTGAGCCAATGAAAACTTTGGGTATAGCAGTTTAACTTTTTATTCGTTTTTACTAATTTAAATTAAAAAAAATAGTTAACAATTTTTATTCGCCCTGTAGTTATCAGATCTAGAAACTACCAATCACATTTATGTAATAACGTAAAAATGAGTTTGTTATAACTTAAAATAATCATTATTTAATGCTGTTGAAGTTTTTTTCTAAACTATTTATTTTTATATTATTATTATAGAAGTAGTTTTATTTTTTTAGTTTCTTTTTATATATGAAGTGATTATTATTTATATATATTAATTATATAAACTTTTTCGAGTAATAAATTTATTTTTTATAATCTTCAGTGTTTATATATAAACTTTTTTGAGTATTATATTTATAAACCTTGTAAATATGAAAGTTATTACTTTTATATATATTTATTATTAGTTACATATACTTTTTTAAGTAATAAATTAATTTATAATTATATATTAATATTGAAGTTAGTTATTACTTTTATTTATAATAATTATAAATAATTTCAACTTTTATATAAATATTAATGTTCTTAATATTTATTTTTATTATTTAATATTAAAACTTTGTAGCGTACTTATTATTATTAATCATATTAATTTATTTATGAATTTACTGATCTTAAATAATTATATTTTCCGTTTTATATAATTAATGATATAATTTTATTATAATAATATAGTTATTATAAATATATTTAAATATACTACTTATTATTAACTATGTAAACTTACTTTAAGTAATACTATTATTTTTAATTTATATTAATATTAATAAATTAAATGTTATGAATTGTATTTACCCCCATATATTTAAACGTTTAGAATTCTATTATTATTTTGGGTTAATATTGACGTTATTGTTATTATTTATTTATTATATATAAATTAAACTTGTAAATAATTTTTTATTACTATATATCTTTAGTGGCGTTATTATTTAGTAATTATAATTAATAATTTAAACTTTTTAGAGTATAAGTTATTGTTGTTATTGTTTATATCTTTTATAAATAACAATTTTTTATTATAAAATTATATTAATAAAATAATAATAAATCGTGGAAAGTATATAAAATTTTATAATTAAATATAAAATAATGTAAGAAATTAGAAAAATATTAATATGAAAAATATAATTATAAATAGTAAAGTTAAAGTATATTAAATTATTTAAACAAAACAATATATAACTTTTTTATTATAAACTTTTATAAATAAAGATACTACGAAGTATGCTTTATAGAGGCTCCGAAGTCACCTCGGAAGTTGCTTGGGTTATTTTTGACGAGATTCATTATATGCGCGACGCTGGTTTTTGCTTTTATTTAAATTCATTATATAAAATATTGTATTTTTAATTTCATTTATTTGTTTTTCCTTTTTATTATGTATTATATTTACGAATAATTTTTTTATATTTTCTGTAATTTTTTCTTATCATTTACTATATTTGTGATATATATTTTTTGATATATTAGTTTATTTATTTTTATAATATCTGTTATTTTAATTTTTTATTATATTTTTCTTTATTTTAAAAAATTAATGAAATCATAGATTTTATGCGTTGTTTTTTTATATCTAAATGTCTTTTATGTATTACAGAACGCGGTGTTGTTTGGGAGGAAACATTAATTCTTCTTCCTGGTTCACACTTTTTTATTTTATTATCATTATTTATTATTTATTACTTACTATTTAATATTATTCTTATTATTTAGATAACGTCAAGTTTGTTTTTCTTTCTGCAACTATTCCAAATGCTATCGACTTCGCTAAGTGGATATGCCAGTTGCATGCACAAGTAAAGTTTTATAAAGCAGTCGCTAGCTAAATATGTCTTTTTTATAGTAAATATAATAAAAGCAATATTTTATAATAATTACTTTATAGTAAATTTATAATAAATATGAAAGTAAATAGAAAATGAAAAATAATAACAATAGCGGAAAATATTACAATAAATTTTATAAATTTTAGGTTTATAATAAACAAAATCACTTTTAAAAAAGTTATTATATTTTTATTATAGAATAATTTATAAATTAATAATAATAAAAGTTAATAGTTAAAGTTTAATGAAATAATATTCCTAAATTTATAAGAAAAGTTAATAGAAAAGTTATAGTATTATAATAATCGCAAGTAAAGAAATTATATTAATATTTCAATTTATAATAAAAGTAAAAGTAAACGAAAAATTATAATTATAATAAAAATAAAACATTTTAAACAAGTAAATTAGATTAATATTTTAATTCGTAATAAAAGTAACTTAATAGTAAAAGTTTTATAAAATAAAAATGCTAAGAAGCCTTATAAAAATAACGTAATTCTAGTAAACTTTATTATAATTTACTTTTTGTCAATGTTATTTTAAAATAATTATGAATAATAATAAATATTAACAAATAAAAAACTTAAAAGTATAGTAAGTATAAACCGTTATTAATAAAAGTAGAGTAAATATATATATTACCTCATTTTTTATAATAATATTAACTGAATAAAAAAATCATAGTAATAGTTGATATTATTACAAAATATAGTAGGAATTTAAATAACAATATATTAAAAGTTTATACCAATCTAAATAATATTATTAGTAGTTTATAATAAAAATAATAAAATCTACAAATATTTTAAAAATTAACTTCTTTATAGTAGAAAATGTCATAAAAATTTACTTTATATAAATATTATATTTAATAACTTAATACTAACGTTTTATAGTAATGTTAATGAAAAACTTACAATCAATATAAAGAGTAGAATTAATTAATACCTTTTAATATAGAAATAAAAGGTTTTAAGGAGTTTTATAAATAAACTTTTAGTGAGAGTTGAGTACAGTATTTTTAAATAATAAAAGAATTAATATATAAATTTAGTTTAAAATAATTTACACACAATTATTCTCATACACGTAATCGTGAAAGTAACAACTATATAAACAGCCCTGCCACGTGGTTTACACCGACTATCGCCCAACGCCGTTGCAGCATTATATATTTCCTGCTGGTTCCTTTGCTTTATTAATTATTCTACGAAATTTTTATAAATAAAACTTACAACTTTTTAAATATAATCATTCGTTAATTTATTTTTTCATTATAATTCTTGCAGTGGCTTTTTTTTTTCATAATTATTATTCGATTTATTATTCCTTATAAAACTTGCAGATGCTTTTTTTTTTCATTACTATTCGTTGATTTTTGTTTATTATAAAACTTGCAGGTGGCGATGGTTTATTTTTAGTGGTTGATGAAAAAGGAGCGGTATATTTATTTGCTTTACTTTTTATTATCTTATAATATCGAGTAATAATAAACAAAAGTTTTATTATTTTTATTTATGGAAATTAACCACCCGAGATTTATATAAAAATACTGAATAATACTTTTATAAAAGTTTTATATTTATTTATTTTTATTTTTTGTTTTTTTGTTTCGGAAAAATAAATTTTCCTTAACTTTTTTAGCACTTTTGCTGTATTATATAGAAGTTTTTCTTTTTCTTTAGTTTCGGGAAAATAACTTTGATAAAGCCATGAATCAACTTGCTGAAGGAATGGATAATGCACCCACTAGTGTAGGAGGAAAAAGGAAGGCTAAGCAAAAGAGAGGCCTCTATTATTTTTAAATACTATTAATAAGAAATATATATGCTTTAATATCTTTTGAGAGGTATACCATGTAAATTTTCTATTATTATATATAATAACAAGTAGCATTAATATAAAATTTTTTTTAAAGTATAAAAAGTAATTTTAACAAAAAATATTTAAATTTGGAATAATATAATATGTGAAAAGTATAATAAATTATTATTTATTTTATTAATATAAATTATTTTTAATAAAATAAATTAATTAAATTAAAAATTTGTTTAATTAAAAACATAAATAACAATTATTTAGTAATAGCGGAAGTAATACTAATAAATGAAAAATACCATTAATAATCTAAATAATTATAATAATAAATGGGTTTTATTTATATAAAATATTATTAAAGCTTATCGTTTTAAATATGACTTTTTATGATATTATTAAATATTTTCTTTGGTTATAATAATAATTATAGTGTTAGTAATAGTAGTAAATATAATAGTAATAATAAAATAATAATAGGAGTTTCTGATATCTTTAAAATTGTTAAGCTGGTGATGGACCGCCAATACCAGCCTGTTATTGTTTTTAGGTAAACGTTTATACTATTTTTATATGTTATATACATAGGACTATTATCATTTTTTCTCCATCATTATTTTAATTTTTTCTAGAAGATTATATTTATCAATATATAATTTATATACAATAAAAGTTTTAGTAAGCGAGAATGCGAGGCTTATGCGCTTCAGTTAGCTAAGCTCGACTTTACTTCCGGTTATGTTTTTCTTGTTTATATATTTTTTGTGTTTATTTTTTATTATTAAATTTTTTAGAGGATGAAAAGAAGCTCATTCGTGAAGTTTTCAAAAGTGCTATTGATAATCTTTCTGAGGAGGATAGAATATTGCCTCAAGTATTACTTTAGTTATTTATAGTAAACTCGACAATATTTTATATATTTTTTATTTTATATAGTTTTATTTTATTTCATTATTTACTTTAATTATACTAACATATTATATAATATTTACTTTCATTATACCGTTTTTTATATTTTTATGATACTCTTTACACTAAATTTATTTATAATACACTAATATTCTTATATATTATAATTCTGTTTTTTATTTACTTTCAATTCTAATATGTCTTATTTATTTAATTTATTTTTTCTTATCTATTATTTATCTTTTATGTTTATATTATAATTTATTTATTTACTTACTATGTTAATATTGTATATTTATTATATTTTTTATTTTTCTATATTTCTATATTTTTATATAATTTATATTATTATTCTTTTTATTATATTATATGTATTTTTTATTTTTTTAATAATAATTTATGTATCATATATTCTCTTTTTATATATTTTTAATCATGCATGCTTGTATATTTATATATCTTTTATATATATATTTATATACTTTATATTATATAGTATATATTATATCTGTTTTTATTATACTAACCTTTATATTTTTATTATTATCTTATATTATGTTCATATTTACTATATTACTTAAATAAATTTTTATATATTATATATTTATTTACCTTTTATTATACTAATATTTATATTACCACATGATTTTTAAACATGTTTACATAATTATTTATATTTTTTTATATATATTTATTATATTTCCTATATATCAGATCGAACATATTCAGCCTTTGCTCTTAAAAGGTATTGGCATTCACCATTCAGGTTTCTTATTTATTATTATTGCTTTACTTTTATATATAATAATATTTTATTTTTTTTCTATACTTTTTTTTAATTTATTTTCTATACAATACTTTTATTATATATAATATTTTTTTTTTTCTTAGTTTATCTAATATGAAATACTTCTATATATTAATTTTTTTATATAGTTTACTTGATATCAAATACTTTTTTTGCGTTAACATTTTTTTATATTTATTAATTCTTCCTTCTACTTTATTTTTTATTTTATGCTTCAAATTTTTTTTAAATTCTTACTCTTTTTTTACTTAATTCTTTTATTTATTATGTCAATTTTATATGTAAAAAGTAAAAGTTTTCATATTTTTTATTTTATTATATTTTCTTTATTATTTATAATTAAAGAAAATTTGAAAAATTATTATTTCTTAACTATTCTTATATTTATAATTTTTTTTCATATATAATTTTTCCTTAAAATTTTCTCAATTTTTCAAAACTTTGCCAAATAAATATGATTTACTATATTTATTTGAGTTTTTCTTTTTGTATTATTAAATTATTATATATATTTTATAAAAAGTTTATACTATGAACTAAAAAATATTTTTTATTATTTACATATTGAACATTTAATTTTTTCGCAGGACTGCTTCCTATTATAAAAGAAGTTATAGAAATTCTTTTTCAAGAAGGGCTTCTTAAAGTACTTTGCAATTACTATTATTATTATTATTATTATAATTGAGATTTTTTATAAACTATATATACATACTTTTCATTTTATATGAAATAAAAAATTTTTACTCAGTTTTTTCCAGTAGAATTATTATAAACGAAAACTTTTTATTCTCTTTTTTTTTAAATATTCAATATTGTTTTGGTTTATTAATTGGGTATTAACATAAAAAGGTCATGAGTGTATTATTTTATTAATATAAAATATTATCTTTTTTGAAAAACTTTTTACTCTGCTAATATTGTTCTTATTTTCTTTATATTCTTACTTTGCATCACTTATTTTACTTTACTACTATTATTTTATTTTATGATGTTTACTTTTTTTGGATATATTAAAAGTTTATTTATATCATTAATAAGTATATTTTATATAAAATCTGTACAAATAATTTTTTTTTAAAAACGTTAGCTAAAACATTCTATAGGTAAGTAATACTTATTTGCGTATTATATGCTTTTCTTTTGGTTAATTATCTTTATGAATACGTTTTTGTATATATTTCTATTTTTTACTGTTTTTTTTTAATATTTTATAAAATTTTTTTATTTATATTTTTATAATTATTTTAGCCAAATTTTTTTTTATAAACGCTATAAACTTTTATAGATATTTGTTGTGTTCATTAAAAAAAATATTTATTTCAGGCTCTTTTTGCCACCGAAACATTTGCAATGGGTTTAAATATGCCTGCAAAAACAGGTTTATACTTTATTTTATCATTTTGTTTTTTTTTTGTTTAATATAATTCTTCTTGTGGTATTTTTTTTAGTAATATTTTATAAAAAGTTAAGAGATATTATAACCTACAAACAGTTTTATATAAAGTATAATAATTTTTTTTAAACCGTCTAATAGAAACTTTAAAGAGTATTCTTATTATATTCATTAAAGTAATTCTAAACATTTTATTTTATATATTTGATAGTTTTACTTTTTACTATATTAATTATAGTTTATAAAAGTTACTGTTTTCTTAAATAAAATTTTTTTTGAAATATTTTATTTACTTTATATATTAAAATTTTTTTTTAGTTTTAAAAAATTTAATATTTTTTTTTCTACAAATAATTAAAGCTTTATTTAGCTTATGTATTAATGAGTTCTACTATAATTATTATAGTATAACAAATTAATTCTTTTTATAATATTAAAAGTTTATATCTTAATTACTTTATATTTTAATAAAAAATATTTATAATACTTTATTAAAGTAAATATTTTTTATTATAAAAATTATAATTTTATTTATTTGCTATAGCTTTTAAAAATGTAATTCTTTCTTTAAAGGGAAAACTATTTCCTACTTATTTATTTTATGTATTTTTCATAATACATATATTTTGTGTATTAAAAATCATATTTACAATACTTTTTATAATTAATAAGTTTTTTAAGCTTCATTTACTTATATGTTATTACTTTATTACTATAATTGTCGAAAAGTAAATTTTTTATACTAAAAAGTCTATATTTTGTCTTTATTTTTAGTTGTTTTTACGAATGTTCGAAAGTTTGATGGTAAAGAGCATCGCTGGATTACTAGTAAGTTGGATACTTCTGCATTTATATTTATTTTATAACTTTTTACTATTATTTTTTATAAAAAAAACTTTTTTTTTAATATCTTATATGTGTACACTTATTATTTTAACTTTTGTATAATTTTTATTATACATTTATCAAAACTTTAAAAGTTATGGCGTTATTTTTGTAATATAGAGTTTTAGTTAATTAGTATAAATTATTATATAATTTTGTTCGAAGTTCAACATTTCTTTAACAATATATAATAATTTATTAAAGTTAATAAGTAAAATATATGCATTATATGAAGTTAAAAAATATATACAAGTATAAAACAATTAAATAATTATCTAGAGAAAAAGTAACAGTAATTATAATAAATCATTTATATGAGCAAAATCTTATAAATTTCTATATTAATCTTTATATTATTTTTGTATAACTTTGTAATGTTTATATATCTTTGCATCATATACACATAACTTTTCCTATAACTCTTTGCGTTTTAGTTTTTTTGCTATTATATTATAAATTTTTTGTTTTTTATTAAAATATATTACATTTTATTTATTTTTGTTATTGTTACGATTGCAACATATATATTTTTTTACATGAAATATATTATATTAAACTTTTTGTTAATTTATTATATTACTTTTACTTAATTAACGTCCTAATATATTATTTTTTATGTTCCTTTAATTTTTTTTATTTTTCTTTTTATATTTATTTATATTTTAAAAATCTTTTTTATATTTTGTTCATTATTATAACTTTCTGTTTATTAATGTTATTATATTTTTATCTTAATTTTTTATAAGTAACGTTATAGTACACATTTACTGTTCATTATTATCCTATTAGATTTTTAATTTAATTATTCAATAATGTTACTACACTTTTACTAATTTATTACTATTATTGTAAGATTTTCCTTCAATTTTTTTATAATAATTATATTTTTCATATATTCTTTTGTTTGAAATTTATTATATTAAATTTTTTTGTTAAAAATTATATATTTTATTTGCTTACAACTTTTTTTTTCCTTTATATTTGTTTTATATTTTAATTTTTTATTCTTATAACTCCTCTTTGTATATTTTATATGTTAATATACTAACTTATATTAATTATATAAATATATCTACGTGTTCTTGTATTATTATTATTATATCTTATAAATATTTATTTTTATTTTTTTACTATAATAACTTTTCTTTGTATAATTTTTCATTATTTATAATTATTTTTTTATTTAAAAAATTCTTTCAACTTTTATAATTATTATATACCATTTAAAAACTTATTCTTATTTTCTCTTATCATAACTTTTCTTTATATTATATTTTATATATTTATTTCTTTTTGGTTTTAGTAAATTTTAATTTTTTTTAATTTTGTTATTATTAGGATATATTATTATAAATACTTATTTTATTTTTTTTCTATCTTAACTTTCTGTATATTATTTTACGTTAATATATTTTTTTAGTTAAATTTTTTTTTTATATTTTTTTATTTCTATTACTGTACTATATTTTTATAAATACTTTTTTTATTATATTTTTATATACTTTGATATATATTTTCTTTAAAAAAATATTTATTTGTGGTTATATATATATATTTATATTTGTTTTTTATCATTTACTTGTTATAATTTTTTTTTACTTTTTTATAAACACACTTAATAGGCGGTGAATATATTCAGATGTCTGGCCGTGCCGGAAGACGCGGATTGGACGATCGAGGTGTTTTTTCATTATAATTATTGCGTATATCTACATTTTTGAAGCTTATAATTATTTTATATTATTTAACCATAATTCTTCATGTAATCCTTCTTTTTACTTTTTTCTATTTACTATTTACATTACTATTTTTATTTTTTATTAAATATATTTATTATTTTTAAAAGCAATTATAATTCCGATATATATTTTTTATATATTAACATTTTTTTTTAAGCGTATAGTTTAGGTTTATAAAAAATTCTATTATTATAGTGTTCTACATTTTATTTTCCTTATTTTTATGATACTTTTGCTATATTGTATTGTTCTTTATTTCTATTGAATTTTACTAATTTTTTTATATTATACTTTTATAATATTTTTTGTTTTACTTGTACTATTTTTTTATACAATTTTTATTATTTTTATCTTTTATTTATTAATTTTCGTAAGTAACTTTATTATTATAAATTATAATTACTATTAAATTTATATATATTAGTATTATACATTGTATTTCGTCTATTATATTAATACTTTTACTATTATATATTTATGTATTATTAAAATATTTTTTTTATATACTTCTATAATTGCTTTTTTTTTTAATACTATTTATATTTTTTTTTGTAATTCAAAATAATTTTTCTTAATTTTTTTGTATATATTATTTAATATAAATTTCTCTACCTTTCCTGTATATTTTTATTTTATGTTTTTTTAACCTATTAATAATCATTAAATATTTTTTTACAGTTTATAAATACTTATGTTTATTTGTATCGTTTTATATACTTTTTTTTAATATAATTTACAATAATCTATCGGATGACTTGTATAATATTTTAAACATTTTTTATAGTTAATTTTTTATCAATTTTTTATTAATATTTTTTGATATTATTATTATAGACTTTTTATTTTACTTTTGCTTTATATATTTTACTTTATTATTATTGGTTATATTTATCTTTATGAAAGGAATTGTAATATTGATGGTTGACCAGAAGATGGAGCCCGTCATTGCCATGCAACTTTTAAAAGGCGAAGCCGATAAACTTACAAGGTTTTTATAATATTTCTTAGTAAAATTTATTAAGTCTTTATTATGTTTTATATTTTTTTTTTAAATTGAGACTATGATAAATATACGAGCTTTTTATAATATATTAGTAAAACAAAGAAAAGTTTTTATTATTAATGTTTTTATTGTTTTTATATTATACAGAATATTATAAACCAATCGAAACGTAAAAATAATTTCTTTTTATATATATATATTTTTTTAATTATATTATTTAGAATATGATAAACTCACGAAAGTTTATATATTATTTATTAGTAAAACTTTGAAAAGTTTATTACTGTTGTTATTTTTTATATTATTTAAAAATTGATACGCTGAAAAAGTTTTCTTCTTTTTATTGATGCTAATTATATTCCATTATTTAAAAGTTGAGAAGGTTTCGAGTATAACTTTTTGAAGAGTTTTTATTATTATATTAAAGTTTTGTATATATTTTCATTGATTATAACTTTTCTCATTTTTTTCAGAAGTTGATGAATTAATAATTTTAGTAAATTTATTAAAGAATTATAATAACTTATTTATATTTATATTTATCGAAGTTTTTTTATATATATTTTATTTTTTAACTTTTTTTATATCATCTTTTTTTAGTAATTAATAAAATTACGAGGTTTTTTATAATGTTTACTAGTAAACTATGAAGTTTTAATATTTTATTAATGTTATATATATTATTTTTTTACTATATTATTTTATATAGAAGTTGATAAGCTTATGAAGTTTTTTTTAATGTTTTCTAAAAACTTTAAAAAGTTTTTTTATTAAAGTTTTCTTAATTTTTTTATTATATAAATTTATTTGAAGGTTGATTAAAATTTCAGCTTTATATTATACTTAGTAAGTAAATTTTATAAGATTTTTATTATTATACTAAATTTTTATATTTTTTTATATAAACATGTTTTATTTGTTATTATATTATTTAGAAATTGCTTTACTTACGATTTTATAATGCATTTTGTAAAAACTTTATAATGGTTTTTATTATTTTATAAAGTTTTTTAATTTTTTTATATTTTTTATTGTATATTATTATTTGCTATTTAAAAAATTTTGTGATTTTCATAATATGTATTAATAAACTTTATAAATTTTTTTTTATATTCAAGTTTTTAATATATTTATTTATTATTATATGAACGGCCATATTTTGTTGTGCAGAAGTCGATAAACTTTTTATTATATTAATTTGTTTATTAGTAAATATTGGAAAATTATTATATTATAAAAGTTTTATATATATTTTTACATTAATCTTCTAGTTATAATTTTTACAAACTGATAAACTTTACTACACTTTTTACAATAGAAAACTTTAATAATAAAGCTTCTTTCATAAAGTTTGTATAAAAACCTTTTTTATAAGTCTTTTGTATATCATACTAAAGAATTATTCATTTGTTTTTCTTGATAAAATTTGTCTAGTCTATACATACATTATTTTATAATAATATTTATTTAACTTAACCTATCTTTTATATATTTAAATATATTAATACTTTTTATATATAAATATATATTAGTGCTTTTCATATTACTTATAATATGCTACTGAATTTACTTCGAATAGATGAGCTTAGTCCGGAATATATATTGGGTGGGCTTAACTTTTTATTTATAATACATTTTATATACTTGCATTATTTTTTTTGTTATTATCTTTTATTTCTATATAACTACATAAACTTTTTACAAATTTATTAATATTTACTTTTTTTTTATAAGAGCGCTCTTTTTATCAGTTTCAGCATAATGCTGAATTGCCGCACTTAGAAAAAAGTATTATCCAATAACTCGTATTTATTTTATATTATACTATGGGATTATTATTATATTTTTACATAAGAACTTGAAGAATTGGAAATTGAAAAAGAGAAGTTTGTTATTGATAATGAGAAGGCTATTGCAGAATATTATGAACTCCGCAAGCAGCTTGACAATGTACATAAATATATTTATTAAATGATTTAATCATTCTTTTCTCTAATTTTATTGGTTTTTATTATATAAAAAATTGTTATTTGTTGGCAGGTGTAATATTTTTCTTATTTTTATTGGTTGTAATTTATTATTATATTAATTGGCTTAATTCTTTTAAAAAAATATTTTATACGTGCATCCTTTTTCTTAATTTTATTAGCTCTCATTTTACTTTATTATTACATTCATTGGTTTATATTCATTAATAAATTTGGTATTTTTTAGTCTTATTTGCATCGAAAATATAGGATTTCTATGTATTCGCATCTGCTTATGCTTTTACACCAACTTTTTTCTCATACTTATTAGTTGCATTGTTTTTTGTCATATTTGCACCTTTTTTTCTTTGCCTTTTCTACTGTATTTTTTTTACTTACATATGTTAACTTTTATATAGTTATCTCTGGAAATGCACGATATTATTATTTCGCCAAAATATATTCTTCGCTTTCTACAACCGGGTCGTTTAGTGACGGTGAAGTTTATTATAAATTTACTATTATTGTTAGTTAAAAGAAATAATAATATTAAATAAAAATTAATAATTAGAAATACAAAAAGGACTTATAAATAAAGATGAGCTAATAGTTATAATATTTTTGTTTATGTAGATATTATTAATATGTAAAGTAAATATAGTAAGTTAAAATAAAATAATATTAATTTTACAATGAATAATATAAGTAAACTATTAATTATAGTAACACTAATATATTTATTATCGTTATTAATATAAAAATTAATTATTCTTTAAACCAATATAATAAGTAAGACATAATAAAAAGTTTTATTTTATATAATATAAATAGTAAACTATAATTTAATAAGCTAATAATTTTAATAACACTACTATTATAGTTATTGATTTTAATCTTATAATTTTTTAATTAATATAAGTTTTATAATATGTAATAATAAGTGTAAATAAAAATATGCTAACAGTTATTATAATATTCATTTTTATTATTATTTTTATAAATTAAGTAAGTATTTGATAATAATATAACTAGTTTTATTATCTATAATAAAAAATAATTAAATGTAAATAAAGAAACCTTACTGAATTTTTTGTTTTATACATATACATTATAAATTTTATATATAATAATAGTTCAAGGAATAATGAATAGGTTTTTTATAATAAATAATAAATTCTTAAAAAAAAGCTTAAAATTTTTTAAAACCCAATTTTTCTTAATGTATAAAGATTGATAATCTTTAAAGTAAATATTTATTATAATAAGTGTTTAATATTATAAAGAAGTGCTAATAATAAAAAAATAAGATTAAAATCATTATAATATTTATTATTATCATTGCAATTAATTATAATAAACTATTAGAATAAGAAAACAAGTCCAGATAAATAATAACTTTATAAAAATTCAAGAAAGTAATACTGATACTATTATTAGAATTTTTAGTAGATTTTATAATAATATTTATACTCAAAAATAAAGAAATTTCAAAGTTTATATAAACTTGTATCGATATTTTTATAACTTCAAGGTTTCTTCGGATACGGAAAAGTATGATTGGGGCTGCATTGTAAACTTTCAGAAGAAAGTGGATCAAAAAAAAGTTTATTATTATTGTTATTGTTATTACTATTTTTTTATTATTATCACTCTTACCAGAGTTCTGTTCTTGTTAATGAAAATGAAAAAAAGTATATCGTTGATGTTATAGTGAAATGTTCTTCCAAACACTGTTAACTTTTATTTATATTCATTAATTTATTGCATAATAAAAATACTGTTGTAGCCGGTAAAGTTATGCCATGCCTTCCCGGGGAAAAAGGAGACTTTCAAGTATTATCATTATTATTTTAAATTTTTAGGTCTTTTATTTTTTAAAAAAGAAAAACTAATAAATTTTTTATCATGTTATACCAAAAAACGGGGCTCTTTAAATATTTTATTCTATAATAGTAAAAATATAATTATTAAACTTTTAAATAAACTAAATCTTTTTTTTCCTTTTTTTATAATTTTTTATACTTTTACTGATAATTTTAAAAATACTGTTATATTTATATAAAAAAGTTTGATATATTAAAGTTGTAGAATTTAAGTAATTATTACGTTTCTTTTACATAAATATAGAACTTTTAAATGATTAATATAATAATAGAATAATAATTCTATGTTAAAAATTTGTAATTTATTTTTTTTAATATATTCATATTTTTTTATATTTTAATTATAAAACTTTAAAAACTCTTCAACTTTTAATTATATAATTATAAAGTTGTGGAATTTAAGAATAATGAAGTTTCCTATTATAGTGGAACTTAAAAATGAATAAATCTAGTAATATTTAATAATAATACTATTAAAAAAAATTAGTAACTTATTTTTTTAGATTTATATATCATAAAGCACTGCAACTTTTAATTCCCTGTAGTGCAGTTTTACATGAAGTATATTATTGTTTGCTATGTTTTATGCTATTTGGTGCTGTTTAGTGAAAGTATTTTAAAAAAATATTTTACTTTAACATATAGAAGTGTAACTTTTTCATTATTCATTAAGATTTTTTATACTTCTTTGCTTTTTCTTATTTTATAGTAGTGCTAATGACTTTATTTTTTACATACTTTTTATTATATGTTTTTAATACTACTTCTTATATAATTTTTTTTCTTTTATATATTAATATTATTTTCATATTATAATTCCACTACTTTATTTTTATTTACTTTTTTATATATATTATTAGTTCATTTTCTTATATACTTTTTCATATCTTTTTTTACTCTCATCTTTCACAAACTTTTTTATTATTTATATACTTATTTTCATTTATACTATATTTATACTCTTTTTCGCTTTGTTTTTTCTAATGTTAATACTATTTTATCATATATTTGCTAATTATTACATATACAATTTTTTTTATTATTTACGCTTTTTTTAATACTTTATTTTATTATTTTTAGGCTTTTTTTACTATTTTTACTAATTTTTACGATTTGTTATTATTACTATTTTGTATATACTATTTACTTTTCGTTATTATTAATATTTTTTTTATATTTCTTGTAGGTTATTCCAGTGTTATTGGATACGCTGGATAAAGTCAGTGCAGTCAGGTCTTTTTATATATTTATCTTTTATTCTGCTTATTCTTATGTTATAGTTGACTTTATAATATTTAGTAGCTTTTTGGTAATTTCGTGTATTTTCCTATATTGTATTATATTTGATGTGGTAATAATAAAATTTAAATTTTAATCCGAAAAATGTTTTTACAAAATGCAACAAAAAAAAAAATAATTAAGTTTCATTATTTATTATTATCATATTTGTTATGCAGTGGCAGAATTTTTCTTTCTGATATTAATATTATATTTCATAAATTATTTTGTTAATTTTTTTTATTCATAAATATTTTTAATGAGCGTAAAAATAATTATTATTATCGGTTTAATTATAAACTATATATTATTTTCTTTTTCCTGTAGTGTTATTTTATGTCATTATCCTTTTTTTAATTTTTATATTTGCTTACTGGTTTAATCCATTTAGTTTCCTTAATTTTGCTTAACTTTTATTGTTATTATATGTATAATGTATAAGATTTTATTTTTTAAACATCACTGTTGTATATGTAGTTAATATTTATAAAAAAGTTTATAATTATTTTAATATTCGGTCTATTATTTATTAATAATATGTCGAAAAATTTTCCCTTTTTTTTATTTACTATAAATTTTATTAGATCTCTATAATAATTATATCATTAATAATTATGCTCTTTAATAATTTTACTTATTATTAGTTTTTTACTTTTAGAATTTTTTATTAAAGTGATATACTTTTTAATTTTATTATTTATTTATTTATTCTTTATATATTAATATTTACACCAATATTTATTATTTCTACTTTATTTTCAGATAAACTGTTTAGTATAATATTAAATATTTATCAATTTTATGTATATATATTTTAATTATTAATTTTTTATTTTTTTATACTTTTTTCTAAGGGCCTTTTCCTATTTTATGCATTTAAAATCTTTACTTCCGCTTTATTTTTGAGTTTGTTGACGTATTAATTTCATAATTGTTTTTTTAAAAACTCTTAATATTTATTTATAATTTTTTTCTTTAATATTTTTTGTGATTGTTTACTTTTTATGTTTATTTAAAATAAAATTATTTTTATATATATTATGTAGAATCCAACTTCCTGATCTACGTCCGCTGGATAATAGACGCCACGTGGAAAAAATGATAAAAGTTTTTACATTTTATAATAAGTCTTTGTTATGATTAAAAAATATTAAGTTTTGCTTTTTAATAAATTTTTTTACTACTGCTAATATTAATATTAATTAATATTATATAAATTTATACTAGGAAATTATTAAACGGTTTCCGGACGGTATTCCCCTATTGGACCCCATCGAAGGTTCTTTTTTATAATATATCTATTTATTAATTATATTTTTTATTGCACTCTATACTTTGCTTTATTATAATTATTTATAGACATTAAAATTACTGAAGATGGCTTTAAAGATATCATTAGTAAAATTGAACTTCTTGAAAAACGTTTGTATTCCAGGTTATAATTATTATCATTATATATAACTGCACAACTTAAGTAATTTGTTATTATCATAATAGTTTTAATATTTAATTTTATAATTTGCTATTATACAACTTTAGCAGCTTTGTTATTATTACGCAAGACGAATTCTTTGTTCTTGTTGGTTTATACAAGAAGTACTTTTGGCCATTTATCTTTTAGGGTGCTTAGAGCTATAGTTTTTATTGAGCGCATGGACACACGTGTCATTATTATACTTTGAATTCTAGTTGTTTTGGACAGTATAAATATTTTTTACTTTTACATTAAAATAAAATGTAATGTTCATGGTACTAAAGAAAAAAGCACACCTTAATAAAGCTTTTTATAGAAAATTTGAAAGTAGAAATTGTTTGTGAAGATATTCTAATTAATAATTTATTCACAACCTCATTAGTGCAGTTTATTGTAAACTTTTTAATAGTGCGCAGCGCCCTTAATATAAATTTTATTTATTTTTTTTGTTTGCTATAGAATTCTGTTATTTATGGTTTACGTCTTTTTACTTATAATATATATATTAGTGAACTTCATAAAGCAGAAAATATAAGTGAACTCTACAATTTATATGAAAGGAAACTTCAAATTTGCCTCAATATTGATTTGGTTATATATATTATTAATATTTATTATATTTTTTTAAATTATTATTATTATTACTATTATATTTTACAGTTAAAGAAACAATTAAGACAGCACACAACTGTTCTACAAATGGACGATTTAAAATGCAAAAAAAGAGTGTTGAGGAGGTGAAATCTTTTTGGCGGTTTTATTAATTTTTTTTTATGCTTTTATAGGTCGATCATGTGTTACACATGACTACGTAGTTTTTTTGTTTCTTATAATATTATGAATTGATGATTACACTATTATACTAACTGCTATCTTATTTTTATATCAAAACATCCTCCTCTCTATATTTAATTTATTATTAATAATAAACACTTTAGGCTTGGGTACACCTCGTCTTCAGACTTAATAGAAATGAAAGGAAGAGGTTAATATTTTTTTGTTTTACCGCTTTTCTTATAGTTATATTTTTACTTGTATTTACAAATTATTTTTATTATTCCCATTTTATACTTTTTATTTTTACTTTTATTTATAAATTTTTGTCTTTCTTATATATTTTTTACCTCTATTTATTATATTTATTTAACTTTTTATTATGAACATTTTTTTAAAATTTTTTATTTTTTTTATTTTTGTAGTATTATTATAACCTTTTATAATTAGTAATATTCTATAATAGTTTTACGATAATTTTTATATCATGTTTATTATTTCTTTCGTTTAAATATTAATTTCTCATTAATTTTTTTTATAGTTGCATGCGAAATTAGTTGTGCTGATGAATTATTACTAACTGAAATGATTTTTACGGGGTTTTTTATTAATTATATCATTTATTTTTTTAAGCAGTGAAAAAAAAAGTTTTCATAGTAAAACGCTAATATAAAAGTATTACTATTAAAAAACAAAAGAGAATAATAATAACGATAATAAAAAAATTTTAGTTTATATATAAAGGATCGAACGTAAGCGAGTATCACAGAAAGTTTATGTTTTTTTTATTATTACTATTATTATTATTATTAATGAGTCGTAGCAAAATAAAATTGTCTGTTAGTATTTTTTATTTACTATTAAAAAAATATTTGATTATTTTTTATTATTATAAGTTATAGCAAATTATTTTTTATATTTTAATTTTTATTTTCAATTACTCATCCAATTTTTTTCAGAGTTTTTAATGATTTAACGGTCGAACAGGCAGTTTCACTTTTGTCATGCTTTGTTTTTCAAGAAAAAGTATGAATTAATTTTTTTTTTATCAAGTTTTTTATTATTATATAACATTTTTTTTGCTATAATTATAAATAAAAAGTTTATTTTTTTTCAAGATGAATGAAAATCCAAAGTTAAAGGAAATCCTTGCTGGCCCACTACGGCAAATGCACGAGTCGGCTAGAAGAATAGGTCCTATCATATCCAATATTTTATTATTTATTATATATTTATTATTATTCTATTATAAGTTACTATCTAATTAATTATTATTAATTATTTCTCTTTTTATTTACTATTATTATCTTAATGCGATTATTATAAGAATGTTTTAGGCACTTTTACTAATAATTCTCCTGTTCATATTATTCATAATATATATTGAACTTACTCATTAATTTTAGCGCGAGTTTCCAAAGAAGCCAAAATACCAATCGACGAAGAAGAATACCTCCAATCGTTTCGTCCTGAAATGATGGATGTTGTTTATAATTGGTCTAAGGTTTTTATACTATTTATGATTTGTGTACACTATGTTGATGTTAACTTAATATTATAAGGGCTCAAAGTTTTTGGATATTTGCAAAATCACAGAAATTTTTGAAGGCAGTATTATTCGGTGCATTCGGCGAGAAGAAGAGTTATTGAGGTTTTTTTTTTAGTATAAACTTCTTTAAATATTATTAAATGTTCTACAGAAAAATATAAAGCTCTTAAAGTTTTTAATAGTTAACTTTATTGTATTAGGGAATTTTTTTTATATTAATATTTTTATTACAAAAGGACGAGTTTTTTTTTTAAATATAAAAAATTTATTTATAATTTATATTTATATATTAATTTTTTATTTTTTTATAATTAAATCACTTTTTTGAAAAATATACGTTTTTATTTTTTTGTTTATAACCAAATGCAAAACTTTATACTATAAAATTTGTATTGTTTTAGAAATTTTGATAACTTTACTTTTAATTATAATTTATTTTTAGTATTTAGTATTTATTGTAATTTATAAATTTTCGTGTGCTTAAATGTTATAAGTTATGTTTTATAAAAATATATAAACAGTTAAAAAAAATTTTTATTATTTTATTAATTAAAAACTTGATACATTTTTGCAAGAGTAAACTTTTTTAGTAATAATCATGAAAATAAATAGCATCAGAAAATTTTTATTTTGGGGCAAATTTTTTATTTCTTTTTTTTATTAATGAAAATTTCGGTTAATGATTTTTATGTATTGCATGTACCTTAAAAAAGTGACTTGACTTTTTTATACATATAAACTTTTTCTAAATTAGTTTTTTTAGGGAATTGACCAACGCAGCTAAAGCCATAGGGAATGCTGGTCTGTTATTTTTTCTCTAATATCTATTTATATTTTTTAAATTTAATTATAAATTTTATTTTTTATTTTTAATTAGAATTAGAATATAAATTTAATGAAGGAATTACCCGCATTAAGCGGGATATTGTTTTTGCTGCAAGTTTATACTTATAAAGCACCTTCACTGTTATAGACTTGTACATTATAACCTAATAAATTATGCTTTCTATTTTTGGAGTTTTGAAACCTTTTATACATATTTTATATATTTGTAAGAAGTTTTTATGAATGTTTTATAAATTTGTTAGATTACAAGAAGTCTTTACAAGTTTTAAGAAATTGTTTTATATTATTACTTTTCACATGCGCATTTGAAAAATGCGTGTAACTTTTTATAGGAGGTTTATAATAATAAAAGGAATAGATCTCTTAAAAATTAATTTTAAATTAAAAATGTATTTTCATCTATAAGAATTCGTTAACAATTTTTTAAAACTTATTTTTATAATTCTCTTTTCCTAATTATTTTAATTATAAAAATCAAATCTAATATAAAACAATATAAGAAAAGTTTATTATTGAAATCCATAATAAGAAAGAAAGTAATTAAGATTAATTTACTTTTACTATAGTAAAGCTTATGTACTTGTTAACTTAGTTAATATAAAGAGAAGAAACTTTGGTAATATCGTATTGCTTATTAGATATATAGCGCACTTACGCTTATAGTACTTAATTTTCAAAAAAAAAAATTTAATTACTTAGAATGTTTTATTAAAATTTCTTAATCAACTAAATTTTACCAAAAATTTTATGCAAACTAGAAAAATATTATTTAATTTATATGATCTTAAATCAGCCCTTATGTGTATTTTATTTATTTATTTTATAAAAATAATGTATATCTGATTTTCTTAACGTTTGCTCAACTACACTTTCGTTTGTAAGTAAATTTATATCTAACAATATTTTTCTTTGAAAAATTATAGTAATTAAAGAAAATACATAAATCCCTGCAATTTTAAATTTTATTAAATTTTAGAACATGATTCCTTTAATAATTTGCGAGGTAAAAATTTATAAACTCATCCTTACTAATAGTTCCAGATCCTAATAAGCACGCATTAAGTATTATAAAATCAGTACAAGTAGCCTGTTAATATAAACTTACCGTCAGTATCAATAATAGAAAAAACGCAGAGAGCATCATCTCTGCTTAGTCGAGCATTCGTCAAATTGTTAATTCTTAGAGGATAAAAAAACGTTAAAGTATATTTTTAATAAAATAGACATCCATACAGGATCATATATTCATCGACATCGATTCTCCCGTTCCTATCATAATCAAAATCCTCAAAAGCTCGTAATGCGGCTTGTTTTTTATTAATAGCAGTTGGTTGAGAGGAGTGGTCTATAGTGCAAAATGTCCATAGAAAAAAATATTAAAGAATAGTACGCATTATCTGTATACTTGCAGGAGGAGGGCCGAAACTAGAATTTTGTGGACTCGGGTATCCTGCGTTGCAATAAAAAATGTGTTAAAAAGAAAATGATGACCACTGACAGTTCTGAAGTACAACCAATTTCTAAAATTTTTAAAATTTTTAGCAAAGTAACAATTTATAATAAAAAAAAGTAAAAATATTCTATAACTTATTTATTACGGAACGGATAACTAACAATTTCCTTGTTGTAATAATTGAAAACTATATGATAAAAATGCTGTACCAGCCGGAGGAGAGCCGAAAGAGGGAGTAATAATACTACAAGGCTGATGTCCACCTTTTTTAAAAAAATAGTTATGGACGTTAGAGAGCATTTATTTTTTAAATAGTACACCTTTTTAAAAAATAAGTTGTTAAGGTTAACTTTAATCATTTATCTTTTTATTAAATTTTACATTGTAAAATAAATTTACTTTTTTATTTGCTAAATACCTTGGGTATACTGAGGAGCAGAGGATGTAAAACTTGGTGGATACCGTTGGTAGTTTATATTAGAAAAAGTTGTTCCCTGTTCTTGTTGATGGTAAGCTGGAGCAGGATAATTAGGAACAGTTGAAGGAAAACTATCTATATCTTGCGGAGGATAAGGACAATATCCAGGTGGTTGTGTTCGTAAATTTACAAGGAGATTTTGATTATAAGGCCGTTGATTAGGAACGTTGGCCTGGGTAAACGTTGGCCTCTCTGAAGGAAAAGAATTATAGGGTGTATTAAAGTTCTCTTGTGGCTTTTGTGAATGAAATTGATCTCTATTAACACTACTATTATTAATATTATAATTAAAATTATCCGACATGACTCAAGGGAAAAGTTTGAAATAGTAGTTTAGTTTAAAAAAAAAGTTTAACAAAAAATGTTTTAAATGGTGTCGATATGACCAATCAATGAACTGGAATGTATAAACTTTAAAGAAAAAATTTTATTTAACAAATAACAACCACCTTTGTTTTTTATAAAACCGATATGCGTCAAGCAGCTTTTATGTGAAGACGATTATTATTATTTCTTTATAATATTGTAAAGGTTTAAATCTGCCTAACAGGGTATAGCAGCGGTTTCCTTTTAATTTTATTTTTTAAGCTATTGTAAATAATAGATGGTGCAGTAAAGACTTCTGTGTTAGCAGTATTCTGTTTTATAGTTGGGGGGAAAAGTTTTATGCTTGTAACTTGTGTGTAACAACAGAAGCTATATAATTTAAGTCTATTTAAAGAATTTAAGGGATCATATTTTTTAATATAATATATTCACCCTCTTTAGCGAGGTTTTAATTTAAATCTAGTGAGTTTTTGTAGGATACAGTCATTATGGTAAAAAGTTATAGTAAAGCAAATATTAAGAAGTATACAGAACAACTAAGAGTTAAACATTGTAACTAAGAACGGGTATTATGAAATAATTACAAAATTAAACATGAGGCAACTTGAGATAAAATCATAACTCTTGTTTTTCAGATGTTAGAAAAGTGGGAGTAAGGATAAGCTTATGGCCTATTTAAACTTTAAAATCTATAAAATAAATTTAAGAGTTAAAGAAGACTTTCTACAAGGCGAGTTGACGTAGGTGAAGCGTTAACTTGAACGGAACGTTTTTTATTAAGGATCTTAACAGGGGTAGCCATTTTGTTTATTACTTTTTTAAAGAAAACAATCAAGTTGAGCTAATTTACTGTAGGTTGCAATAGCGTCGGCTTCCAAGGTTAAGTTGAGCTAAAATTAGAACAGAGCAGGTTGCAGAAGGCTATAAGACCACAGCATACAAAGTAGTTGGGGCTGTATCCTAAATCTAGCAGTTAAGCTTACTTAGTGGGTAGATTAATATACCAAGAACAGTAAAGGCCATGAGAAGTTTTACTAAAGTAAACGGACAATGAAAAAGCGCAAAAATTGTCTTTACCAAGAGGTACTGGAATTGTTACAAACTCTGTGCTGTATGTAGAAACGGTTGGAGTTTACATCTAAGACCATTTTGTGGGTCAGCTCAAAAGAGAAAATATTTTATACTTGTAAAAATATAGACTAAACGTCTTGGGTAGAAATAGCAAGTCCAGGGGTAATTACAGAAGGTTAAATTTATAGTAGACTACCCAACATTAAAGGCGTACCTTAGCTGCAATTGACATTTCAACTCTTGTGGGGTCATAACAAAAGATGTTAATGAATTAAAAGAACTAACCTAATAAAGTACAATTAGTTAAAGAGTAGATAAAAATTGTTAGATACCAAACAGAAAAAAGGATATAAGGTGTGAAAGACGGAGAAACAGAATAGACGTTAATTAAATTTAAATAAGAAAGCCTTCAACGAAAACTAAAGTGTTTTAAACGGTAATTATTGAAAACTATTAGTCAAGCAAAGTAAAAAAAAAGTAAGAAAATATTATAATAAAATGTACAATAATTATAAGATAACTATCGTTTTTGCAGTAGACGCCCTAATATTGGGGAGGCGGGATAAGGTTATAGACAAAAAAAATGTGTCCTTTTATATAAAAATAGAAGAGAAGAAATATGAACTAATACAAAAAAAAACCTAAGCTGAAGATAAACCTACCTATTGAATGTATTTTTATATAGTATAGTGTTTGTATGCGAAACTTGTTAAAAAAACAAAAACAGTAGTGAACTATTAATAATAGTATTTATATTAATGTTTTTTTATTGTATAACCTCCCTAATATGAACACTTTCTCAACTGAACAAGTTCATTCTTGCGAGTAATAGTTCTAGAAAGTTGTTAGATGGCAACCAACTGGTTCTCTGGCTCTAGCTAAGCCGATAAAAATAAGAAAAAAAAAAAAAAGGAGTACTATCAACTGTATTTGTAATTTTTTTAGTAGACTGATTTTTGTATAGTTTTACTTTGCCTTGCTTTTTTTTGTTCTCTTACTTTTTTCCCCAATTGTTCTAATAGTTCAAGGCAAATTTCTAAATTTTGAGTGGTTTAATCACAAACTACTCAAGAATATTTAGTTTACTTTATCGGTGTGAGTTTGTTTTTTGTACTTTCTGTTCGTTTTTAGTTATAGTTATCATGTATCTGTATGCGGTTGTTTTTATTAATTTATAAATTCTTTTCATCTTTTCCTTTTTTTATTAAAAGGTGATTTAGAGTATTATGATATGTCTATATTTATTTGAGGTTATGTGGGGAGCTAAAATGAATGGAAGTTAAATTGCGTTGACTATAAACCAAGTTGCCGTGGTTGTAAAGGTATTTAAAGTATTGGCAACAAAGAACAAAACTAGGAAGAAGAAAGACGAAGGCGACACTTCACTGAAAAGAATATGCCTAAAACTTGACTAAAAGATGTAATGTACACAAAAGTAAAAAAAATTTTTATCTAATCGTAATAAAAGATTTTCTTCTATGTATACTCAGACTATTATAACTTTCGCAGACTTGATGGTTCAGACTTCAAAGATATTTTCATTCATTTTTAATTTCCTATTAAAAAAGTTATACTTTTAATGTTACTCTTATAATATCCCAAAAAAATTATGTGAAAACTATTGCATTAATAAAAACTTGCCCAATTCCCGAAAACATAAATTAAAGGATAACGAATACGTAGAAAGATGTTATTTTTATTAAAATAGTTACTTGTAATAAGAATATTACCCCACTAATATTTAAAAATACCACGTGCAGACTTCTGCGATATGTTTTTGCAAATCTGTTGTTTTTCTTATGATTGCGTGTTTATATAAAAACTGTATAAGTTCTTGTTTACGTTTCCTACCATATTTTAATTATGGTTTTTGGGGGAAAAGCAGAATATCAATTTTTTTAAATTTACAAAAGAATAAGGGGAATAAAATATCGGCTAATATTAAATCTAATTTTTTTCTGGCTCACAGGTTTTGAAGTAATTCATGGTAGTAATGCACTGGTATTATTAATAAAAATAAAATATTTAGGGAAATTAGGGCTAAAAATCCTGATAGATTAAAGAGGTTTTTAAAGAAAAAGAGAAAAAGAGAATTAAGGAAGGAAGAAATAAAGTTAGCTGAACTGCGAGTATTAGCTAAACTACGTTTGTTTATAACTTCTATTCGGCTATGTTAGAGTTTACAAATATTTTTTTATATAGTTCGTTTACTTTTTAATTTACAGACTTATTGGTTTGTTTGTAAAATTTTGGAATTCTTTATTTTCTTTTGTTTTATATTTTCTGTTTCACATAACATTTTAGGTTAACAAATCAGATGTTTTGGTGACAGAGGAGCTAAATGTTATTCTTCCCTTATACGAAAGAGGATTGGGTTTTTTAAAATATATTTATTATAATTTTATAAAACTTTTACTATATATTGGATATAAGTAATATTCAATAGTTCAGTGAATCGTCGTTTTTTTCAGTACTTTTTATTTTTTGAAATATATTATACTAATTTTAGAAAGTTTGTAAATTTTTTTTAAAGCTATTCAATCTTTTTGTGCTATTTAATGTTACTTTACTACTGAATTTTTTGTGTTTTTATATAATATTTTAAAAGTTTTTTGTTGAATAAATATTTGGTTTTTGTTTTATAATTTTATGGATGACAAAAATAACTACTAATAAAAAAACATTATTTGGTTTTTTTAAAATTGATGCTAATTATGTTATAATAATTAAGAACTTAGGCTTCCTTTTTTTGCCCACTGCCAGTAAATTTTCAAAATATTTTAATATTTTATATTATTTATTATTATTTTTTTTGAATTAATTTATTTTTTAATTTTCTATTAATTTTTTATCCCAATTGCAAAATTTCTAAGACAACCTACAATTTTTTTATTGATTTTAATTTATATTTGTTTACTTTTTTTCTAGTTCTACTAGAAAAAGAGCCGCATGAGATTTTAAAGGAACTTGATAAGAATACCGCTCATCATCCTTCTCGTTTCGCACATATTTTATATGCTTTGGTATTTTTAAATTTTGGAATCAGTTAAAATAATTATATAATTCTTGTTAAAGGGAACGAAAGGAAAACTTAAAGACGCTATAAAGGCTTTTGAACAACGCAAAAACTTATATTCTTTAGAAACGATAAGAGCAGAGTGTCTTCCATCTGAAGTTTTTTTATTAGATCCTGGTAAAAATGATTCGGAATGTTTGGAAAATCAAAAAGATCTCGATACTAGTTTTGTTTTTTTTATAAATTCGTGAATTATAACTTTTTAAGGAAATTTAGAAACTGAACTGGAGGTATCTACAACTCGAAAAGAGGAAATAAATTCTTCTAGCTATCCTTTAGAAATTTTGAAAACTGAATTAGTTGAATCTTCGGCTTTACGAGATGAACGCAACTTTTCTGAAGATCAAATAAAAGATTCAAATCTTTTTGAAAGCACCAAAGTAGAGTGCGATACTTTTATTACTTCTGAAATGCAAAGTAAATCTGAAGACGTTTTAAGATCAACTGATCTTATTCGGGTGCCCGAAAAAAAATTTACAAATTTTTTAGAAATTAATGTGAATCACTTGGTTTATATATAATATATATTTATAGTTCATTAATTTAATTTATTTATAAATTTTTTGACTTTTTCAAAATTTTTAATTTTTGTCTTAATTATTTATAGTTTTGTTTGAATTTAACTTGTGACTTTTTTGTATATTATTAAATTCTTTTTTACTTGTAGTGTTACTTTAGTATATATATTATTTTTTATTGGGAAGGAAATTTCTTTTTTTTCATAATATTTTTCAGTGGAGCAATAAATTTTAAATTAATTTTTTTCTATTATTTTTAAATTTATCATTATTTTTACTACTCTTGCTTTTTTTTTTAGATTTTAAACTTATATTAGAAACTTATTTTTTTATCAAACTTAATTTTCGTGTACTTTCATCTTTTTCAATATTTGTCATAGAAGTATCGCAAATTTTATAATTAATACTTATCAATAACTTTCTCTATACTTATAGTGATTCACTTACGCTATTATTTATCCTTAATGTTCAAACTTCAGCAAAATTTTTTGGTTTTTTTTATTTTATATGAGATGCCTGAAATCACGAAGATTTTATTTGGATTATTATTAGTAGAAACACTTTTTTATCGCTTTTTCATATCAAAAAGAAACTTCTTCACTGTTTTATTATTATTATTAAGGAAAAAGAAGTAAAGCGCTATTATCTGCATTACTGTACTCATTATTATTATAATAATTTAATCTTTTTATGTTATATTTAGTGTACATATTAAAGTGAATACCTTATTGTAATGTTTATATTTTATATCTAAATAATAATAAAATATTACATTTGAGGTTTTTCGTTATTTTTATTATAACTATTTTCTATTGTTATTTGAGTAAATGTATTATTTTAATGTTCTTTTTATTATGCGTTAATAATAATAAAAAATGTTTTATTTAACTTTTTTATTGGGTTTCAGTATTATTATTGTGGATGTCTTATTTTTAGTGTCCCTTATTTTATATGAAGTAATGAGGATACGTTTTTACTAGAAGTTTCTATTACTTTAAATTTTAGAGAGTTCTACTCAGTGTGGGTATGAATTTATATGCGATGGATGGTAATCCCGAACGAACGGAAGAGCTTTTTAATAAACTTGTTGTGGGTTGAAGTTTTTTTCTCTAAATATAATTTTTTTAATATCAAAAGAAAAAATTTTTAATATAGAAATTATATTTTTTTCCAGTAAATTAAAATTTTTAATTAGTTTTATTAATACTATTATTATAATTATTGGTATACTAATAAAGCCCAATAGGCGGCTTCGCTCCGAATGAAAGAGAAATTCTTATATTAATGAAAAGTTATGTGAATGCTCACCAGTTTGAAGCCGCTGTTATTAAATATTCATTGTTTGCCAAATTTGTAATGAAATTTCTTTTTATTAGTTTTTTATATAATTTTTATGTTCTTCAAGTTTTTTTTGCTATAGTCGTTACTAATTTTGCATATATTTATAAAGTTGTTATAAGGTTTTATTTTATAAATATTGTGTGTACTTCATTATTGCTATAAATATTATAAACTTTAGTTTTTAGAAGTTTTATTCTTAAAAAACTTAGTAATATATTACCTTTGTAAAGTTTATTCTTATTATTTGTGAGTATAACTTTCATACATATTATGTTATATTTTTAATTATTATCATTATTATCGCTATTATTTAGAACGTTTCTCCCTCGGTGATTACATATTCATTTTTAATGAAGCATAGCATCAACGCTTCGGATAGTTTTGATCGTGCCCTTTCGATGTACTTTATGCATTGTTTTATTTGTTTATATTTATATTTATTTATATTTCATTGTTTTATGTTGCTTATAATTTCTTTTAATTGGTTGCTTATGTTTAGTGCTGTTTGTATATAAAATATATTTTATTTTTATTTTCAATTGTTTCGTTTATCGTTGTTTCCTTTGAAATATATTTTTTACTTTACCATTTTTATTAAATATATATTAACATATTTTTCTATCTCCCTTTTGCTTTTTTCTTTATTTTAAAATTTTTATATTGAATTATATTATCTATTATATATTCTTAAAGGTGCTATCATTATAAACTTGTATGATTTTTTTGGTTATTACCATAGTGGTATTATGTTTTTTTTGTAGATATAATATGTTAATAACCTTTTTTTATAAAGCCATCTTTTAAGCCTTATTTATATTGAGGTACAATACAGAGGAAAAGCTTTATTATTTGTAAACTGTTAATTTTGTTAATAATTTTGTGAATAAGTAAATTTTTAATAAAAATAAATAATTTTTGTAATATTTTTTATAGTAAAATTTTAAAAAAAATTCAAAAATTTAATTTTTAAATGAAAATTTTTTTTAAATAATTTAATAATATTAACTTTATTGCTTCATTATCATTTAATTTGCCCCTCTTACCGGCTATTTTGGTTTGTATACCCTTTTCTATGGACAGTTACGCGGATATGCTCTCAAGCGGACTGAAGCCGGATAGTGTTTGTTACTCGATATTTTTTAAAGGCTGCGCTAAAGTTATTATTATTACTATTATTATTTTATTATTTATTATTCTTATTTATTGGTGTATTGTAAGTTTCGAGAAGCAGAAAAGGCACTTGTTATGTGGGAAGAAATAAGGGATAATGTCAAGTTTACCCCACCTATGTATTCCGGGTATATATTAATAATAATAATAATATTTATAATGTTTTAATGATATTCGTTTATCATAATCAACATAATAATAATTTATTAAAAACTCTTCAGTATTATTTTTGATAAAAAATTTCTTTTTAATATAAAATTGTATATAATAACTGTAATGATAATAATTGTAATATATATAAGTTATTTTTAATTTTCCTTTAATTTTTGCCACTTTTATAGTTTTATGAACTTTTTATCTATTTTTTTTATTCCTGAAAAACTGCATATTTTATTTTTAACTTTATTATATTTAGTTTGATTAATGCATTGTCTTCACGTTCGTCGTTACACGAAAAAGTTTTTGACGTTTTGCTGGAAATGAAAGAAAATGGTTGATTGATTTTCAATTTTTTTTTTGATGGTTTTTTTAACTAATGAAAAATGCTAAAAAGGTGTTGAAGTTAATGATTATATTCTCGGAGGCATTTTGAAGAGGTTTTAATAATAATAAGTATAATAGTATATTTTCATCTGAATAATAAATATAACTATATAATGTAAACAAGTAAATTAAAAATAACAACAATAATAAAGTATAAAAAATTTTCTAAAATAAAAGGAATAAAAATTAAATATTTATTAAAAAAAATAAAAAATATTATTTATTTAAAAAATAAATATAATAATAAAAATTATTAGAACCCACAAATTAAAGTATTTTTAATATAATATCTACATTAAAAAATGAAATATAAAGAGAAAAATAAAAACACATGGAATTATTATTTATTTTTAGTGTGAGGAAGAAAAGGTTAATAGAAACTCGAAAATTTTTTGTTTAGTGAATAACAAAATTTATGAAAAGTTTTGATTGGATGTACGCTTTAATAAACTTAATAAAATTTTTATCTTTTTTTTGTATTAAATATAAATAACTTTTAATGAAAGCGACTGTTTGTATAATAAAATATATAAATGAAATACAAAACTTTTTATAAAGAAGTAAAAATATAGTATATTTTACAATAGTATAATATGAAAACTATTAATATTATTAGTAATATTATGAAGTATTTTTTTTTAATAATTATTATTAGCAGTAAAAAAAATCAGCAATACAATTATTTTTTGAAAGTTTACAAGAAGTTTTAGCGATATAATAAACTTTTATTTATCACTTTTAAAATAATTATAGAAAGTCACTAATATCTATATTATGTTTTTTTAAAATGAATACAATAATTATTTTTATTTTATGAATTATGTAATATTTAAGTTCTCATCTTTGTCGTGAAATCCTTTTTTTTTAAAATATTAATATAATAAATAAATAAATACGTATGTATATTTATATTTATAAAAAAAATAATATTAAATAGAATAAACTATAATGAAGCTTTATTATTACACCTATTATTTATGAATACGACTTTCAATTTTTTTAGAGATTTACAAATAAAATGTTTGCATACTATAATTGAATAATATTTTTTTATAAATTTTTTTATAAATAACTTTTTGTTGTATTAATTTTCTATATAATATCTAGTAAAAATAGTTTATTAATGAGATATTAACTATAATAAATAGAAAATAAATCAGAAAAATTATATTTTTTTTTTAGGTTTCCTTATTATTTTTATATAATAATATTTCTTAATCTTTTTTCATAAAAATATAAATTTTATAATTTCTGTTATTTATATTTTTTGAAACTATTAAAGTTTTATTTATAAAATGTATATTATTTTTTTCAAGTTTTTGTAAGTTTTATTATTTTTTATCTACATCTTTATACAAAAGTTTTTATTGATTAATAGAAGTTTATATAAATTAAATCTATTACAGAACTTTATATTTCTTATTGCATATAATATTATGATAAGGAATTTTGGGTAAGAATTATTCTTTTTATAATAAATACCTAATAAAAGTTTATTCCAAAAATAAATGCTGTTAAAAATAAATTTAAATTTTTCTAGTTATTATTACTTATATTATAATATTGTATTAATAATTTTTTATATAAATATCTAAAAAGAATATTAAATTTATTTAATAAATATTAAACCAGAACTTTTATATTTCGTTTATAATTGACAATAACAATTTAGTATTATTATGTTTTTTACTTTTTTTTATATATAAATATATTTAAAGTTTTTTGAATGTAAATAAAAATAAAAGATTATAAATGATATTTATAATAAATTTATATGATTAATTAAATTTTATTAATGATTTATTAATATCTTCATTAAAATTCATATTAAAAGTTTATAAACTATTTTATATTTATATTTTCTTTAAGTTTATTAACGATAGTAATTACATTTTTTTTAATATTATTTTTAAGTTTAATGAAATTTTGTTTACTTTCTTTATAATTTTATATTTATGAAAAAGTTTATAATTTAAATATAAATTATATTTTTATATTTATGTTTAACTTTTCTTAAAAGAATATATTTATTTTTCAATAAATTTTAATCCAAAACATTTATACTTATTATTATGTATATTTTTTATTGCCTTTTTGATAATGATTATAAAATTTATACTATAATTTATTAGGTTTATTAAGTTTTTCTAATTTTTTTAGATTAAGATCTACTAAATATTAATTTTATTAAATAAACATTTCCCAGAACTTTTTAATTTTATATAATTCATTTTATAAAAATTTATAAAATGCTTATTATAATAAATTTCTATTTTTATTTATAAGTTTGTTTATGTTTTATTAATTTCCTTATAATAATATATTTAAATTTTATTGTATAAATATAAATTTAATAAATCTTCCATATAAATTTTTTATATACTTTTCAGTTTTCAAAAAGTGTTAATAACTTATTTTTTATTAAATAAAAAAATTTATAATCTTTTCTCTACTATTTTCAATATAATTAAGCTTATTAATAAAAAATAACTTTTTCTTTAGCTGTGCTAAAAGTGGGAACGTTCGAGCTGCTCATCTCGCTTTCAATAATTATAAAAATACGTACGTTTTATACATTTTCTTATATGAATTATATTATATTTATAATAATGTCTTTTCTTGCATATTAAATAATAGTTATTTTTATTTTTTTATTATATTGGATAACATTTTATTATATATAGTTATTTTCTTATAGATAAATATATTTTATTATCGTTGCAGGTTAAATAAATATATTATTTACTAATGCAGATCTTCTAAGCAATCATATATATTGTAATTTTTTTTTATGAGATATATAATTTATATACTTAACTTTTTTTGGCCGACATTTTATAGGTCATATATAATATTTTTTTAATTTTTACATTTAATACGATTTTTATTTTATTATCTTTATATATACTTTTATTTATTACTTATTTTTTAAGTATTTTATGTTATTGCAGACCTTATAAACAATCATGTACATTATATATATATATATATATATATATATATATTATATCTAATAACTATGCATATGATTTCTTATGATTTTTTATTTCTATCTATTTTTATATATAATTATATATTTTGCAGACTTAAAGAGTTTCTCACATAATATATATATATATATATATATTATATGTATATTATTATATTATTTCTATCTTTTTTAACATATAATTATCTTTTATTTGTTAAATAAATTTTTAATTATTGCTGACATGATAAACATTTAATTTTTATTTTAATTTTTTGTATTTTCTTATATTACTTCTCTCAATATTTATATAATTATTATTTACTTTGTATATTTTGCAGATTTAACAAATCTTCATTTATTATATATTTTTAAATTTTCATATGTTTTTATATTATTTTTATATATACTTTTATAAATAATTATTCTGTTTTTATAAAATATAATATTTATTATTATTTATTATATTTTAAGTATACTTTTATATTATATTAATTTGTTATTATTCATAATTATATTGTTTTTTAAAGATTCTATATTTTTTTGCAGACCCAACAAGTATCATTTTGTTGGATTATTAAACGTTTATGGCGGGAAAATAAAAATTATTGTAGACGACCTTATGAATGCGTAACTTTTATTATATATTTCACTATAAATATATTTTCACTATTATTTTTTTAGGAATGCATATTTTTTATATATATATTTTTTTATGATTTCTAATATTATTTATAAATTATTATATATACACTTCTATATTATTATAGTATATTTACTATTAATTTTTTAAATATATGTGACTATATATTCCACTATATTCTTTGATATTATTTTTATATATTTGCTATTATATATCTATTATTAATGCGTAATTTTTATTATATACACATTAATATTACTAATTATAATAATTCACCATTTTTATTTTTATAAAAATTCGTAACTTTTATTTTTTAACTTTCACTATTATTAATGTAATTTTTATATTTTCACTTATATATAGTTCTTATTAATGGGTAATTTCTTATATATTTCACTAATATTAATGTACTTATTTACTTTTCTCTCTAATATATAAATTTATTAGATTATAAAATTTTCATTATTATATTTTCACATTTATATTTTAATGCCTAACTTTTATCATATATTTTTATCTCTATTTATGATTATCATTATTATTATCTATATTCATACGTATTAGACATTTGAGAGGGGAAGTTTTGCACTTGAGCATGCAGCAATTGGAAAAGCAAATATTTCTTGTACTTATGCTTTATTTATTATTTTGATATATTTTATAAATTTATTTTGTTCGAAGGACTCTTCATCAAACCTTTCACGTAGTTTTTATGATACGTCCGTTAATTGGAAAGTTTCCGAATTGATTGGTAGGGATTAGCTAAATAGGCACCTGTTTGTCTTTTTTGTCGTACTTTGTAACTCTTTTGGCTACAAATTGTTATAAAAAAATGAGATGTCATTGGATAATAAGTTATTATATAATTTTTTGTTTATGAAGCGTCCTCCAGTTTTCGATATCTCATTAGCTTTTGATTTGTTGAATGGTGGAATACTATTATATACACTTTTTTTTTTAATTAAAAGCGTTAATGATTGGTCTAATTTTATGAGTCTAATAATATTAACCAATTAGATATTTCTTCTCGTCGGTTTGCACAAATGAAATCGTTGGTATTTATATATAAACAGTTTTATATAATCTTTATTTTTTTTTTTACTTAGAATATTTCGCCTGATGTTGAATTTATCAATTCCTTTCTTCGTGTTTATTGCTATTCGTTGCAATACTCAACGGCTCTCGGTATTATTATTATTATTATTATTAACACAATTTTATTACACTATTATTACTATTATTATTACTATTATTATTTCAGGACTTTTTGAAAATATGTTTGTTAAGTATAACGTGGAGCCAAATGTTTATTCTTATCGGTAAATGTTTTCTATTAATACTTATAAGAGTTAAAAAAAAAGGAGACTTATATTTTTAGGCTTCTTATAGAGCTTTGCAGGAGGGTCTCTCAGGTTTTTTGTTTTTATATTTTTACCAATCATAACTAAAAAAATATATTATAAAGATAAATATATTAAAAGTATAAATAATAATATTAGAAAAAAGTTATAAAAATAAATTTTTTTTGTAGCCGGTGAAAGCTATTCAACTTTACAACGAGTTGAAAAGGAGTTTTCCGGGTATTACTATTATTATTATTAATATTATTATTATTACTATTACTACTATTTCTATTATTATATTCCTAGACTTTTCTAAGAATTTTTTAGCCACTAATATATGCATTGATGTCATGTATGCTGTTGTTCTGTAAGTTTTGTATATTATGAATAGTAAATTTAATATGTTTATATTTATTATTAATAAAAAATTATTGTAGTATATATTTTAATTGGAACGTATAAAATTTGACCAATTATTGAAGCTTTTTATTAATATGACCAATTAACATTAAATATTTATAACTAATTATAAATAATAAAGACTTGTAGATTTATAGAAAAACTGAATGCTTTAGATTTTATTTATATTCAGTGTTTATTAATAATTTTAATTAACATTCTTATGATTATTATCTTTATGCTGATTAGTGTTATTAATAAATAAACTTAATATAATTATCATTTTCTTTAGAAATTGTGAAGTTTTTTGTTTACTCATTAAAAATTATATAATATATAAATTTTTTAAAGATATTGTTTTTATAAAAGTTAATGATTTTTATTTAGTTTTTACTTACTTTTTCAAAAATGTTTCTCTTTTTCATAAATTATTATACGTTACTTAAAAAGTAAATATATATACTTTTGAATATTACTTTCTTATAGTTTTACTTTTAATGAATTTATTATTTTTCGTCAAGTTAATTTTTTTTTGTATATATTTAAAAGGATATAATAAAATTTATATATAAAAGTGTAATCTTTTTATTTATCTTTCATATTATATTTATTATTTTCTGTGATTTGGATAAATTTTATTATTTACTTTTTATATATTTAATGTAAAAATAATAAAAAAATAAGTATAGTACATTGATAATATTTTATCAATAGAATAATAATAATTCTTTTATTTTAACTTTTTTATAATTAAAAGTTGCATTAAACTTAAGTAAATTTATATTATTAATGAAATATTCATAAGCATATTATATTATTTTTATTTATTTTTGTAAAACTTATTAATATTGATTTTTATTATTATTTTTTTTGAAATCATATTTTATTTATTACTTTTATATTATTTTAAAAGTTTTTATATAAACAATTTATATTAATTATAATTATTTTTTTTAAAGTTATTAATCTTAACAACAATTTTTATTTTTTTGGAAATAATCTTTTTACTACAACTTTTATTATTTTAAAAGTTTTATATAAACCTTTTTTTATATTATTTATAATTATTTTTTATAATTTATTAATATTAATAAGTACTTTTAATTTTTTTTGAAATTATTTCTGTTATTACTTTAATTTTAAAGTAAAAGTATTTATTAATATCTTTATAAGTAAATTTAAATCAACTACTATTTATAAATTTCACTATTTTTTAGTAAAATATAATTTTATTATTACTTTTATATTAACTTAAATTATTTATATAATTTGAGTAAATTTATACAAAAACAAAAGTTTCTGTTAACATTATTTATACTGAATAGTTCGGGAGCTTACAGGTACGCTGTTAAAGTTGCAGAGGATATTTGTTCTAAGGGAATTTCTATTCCGCCTCCGCATACTCTCTTTCAACTGCGCTCCCTGTATGTCTATTTTTATTGTAAACTTTATTTTAATAGTTAAAAAAAAAATTTTTTGAAGTTTTTTTTCTTATTTACTATTATTTCTGCGTTTCTTTATTAATAAATATTCAATACTTTTTTATAGTTTTTTAAATCAATTTTTTATTTATCGCGTGTCTTTTTAACCATAAACTTTAAGGCAAAAAGTATATAAGTTTTAGTGTTTTTATAATATTATACTATTATGTTTGCTTTATTAATATTTTTCTGAACCGTTTTTATTTACTACGTATAATACTTTTTATTATTAAAATTGAAAAGAAATGCGAAAAAAAGTTCTCAAAGTTTTTATTTTCTTATATTATTAGTTTTCGTATATGTTTAAATCTTTTTTTACTACGTTGTGTATTTTTATTATAGAATTTAAAGAAAAGGTTAAAAAGTTATCAGAATTTGCTTAGCTTTTACTTTTGTTTATATTATTTGTAGCTTTTTATTTATTTTAATTGTTTATTACTCTTTTTTATTATGCGTCTGTTTATTTTTTTTTAAAGTTTTTAAACATAGCGACAGTAGTTTTCGAGTTTTTACTTTATTATACTATTATTTCTGCTTTTTATTCTTTACTACTTGATGTTTATTTTTATTATAAACTTAAAGGTTTTTGAACTATTATTTTATTTAATTTTTACTTCTGCTTCTAATTATTTTATTTGCAGTTTTTTTTAACTTTTATTATCATTTTCAAGAAATTTGAATATTATTGACAATTTTTTAGTTTATATTTTTAAGTAATATTTTATTATATTAAAAAAAATTTCTGCTTTTATTTCTTGTATATTTAATTTTTTTTAAATTTTTAATTTTTTTATTATTATTTATGTCATTGTTTTATTTAAATTTTAAAAAAATAATTTAAATATTTTTATGACAATTTCTTTAGTTTGTTTATATTTTTAAAAGTATTTATTAAATTAAAAATGTTTCTGCTTTTATTTTCTTAATTTGTAGTTTTCTTTTAACTTTTATAATATTTTCGTATATTATCAGTCTTTTAAACTTTATGATAATTTTTTAGTTTATTTAAAAACTTATTGTTTAGCTTTGGAAATTTTTTAATTCTTTTTTTAATGTACTTTTTATTTATGTTTAATTATGTAATAAGAAAATTAATATTTACAATATGAAAGCTGATAATTAGTAACTTTATATTATTGGTAACATTTTTTTATATAATTAATGCTATTTTATAATATTATTATAAGCTATGTATTATGAAGAACAGAAATTTGAAAGATTATCTTTATTTATATATATATTTATTTATATTTAATAGAAAATAAAATATTTTATTATTAGTTTTAATAAAAATCATTTATTACTTTTCATCCTATATATTTTTATATAGGATGAATTTATTCTTTTTTTATTTCTAAGAAATAAGTTACTTTTTATTTAACTATTAATTTTACTCATTAAATTTTTATTATTATTATTTTTATTGAAAAAAAATTGTTTTAAACAGTTATTATAAAAAATTTAAAATATTAAATTTTAGAAAGTAATTGAATGTTTTACTATTTTGATTAATATTTTATAAAGAAGTATATAATATTGGTACTCAAAATTTTATTTATAATAACTTTATATATCTTTTGTCAGTCGTGTTATCTTTCACTTATTGAGAGTTTTTTTTAAATATTAGTTTATTAAGTTTTTTCTTTAAATATAATTTCATTAGAATGATTGAAGGTAATGCCGCCGACGAATGGGAAAGTATAAAAAGTTTATTTCTCAAACATGATAAATCGGGAAAGTGGTATGCACATGTTCAAATTTTTTCTTTGCTCATTATTTATTATAAACTTTTACAAATGATTTAATATTTTATTTATTTAACTTTTTAAATATTCATTATAATTTTTGCGATACATGAAGCTTTTTTATTTATTTATATTAAATTTAATTTTTATGAATTATTTACAATAATATAATATTTGTAAAATATTTTCAGGTTTGTTATAATCACTCAAAATAAAGAAAATATTAGAAAATATAAACCCAAAAAGCTACACCGAATGGAAAGAGGTTTCCGTCGCAGAAATTTAAAGTTTTTTGGAGAATAAATTATATAGTTGTTTTTAAGAATTTGAATATAATAAAAGTTATTATTTTTATTGAAGTGTTGAATAAATAAAAATATTTTTTTGATGACTGCTCTCGAAAACTTTTTTAACTTGAAAAACGACGAATTTTTCTATAAAAGTCAATGAGATATGCAAGAAAAGAAAATTTACTGTAGAAATTTTTTTTCTTTAACTATTGGCGTATTAAATTTCAGTTATTCAGCCTAACCAGGCAAATCGCTTATAAAGGAAATAAAAATATTCTCATTGCAATAAATGAAGAATAATATAGAATTCTTTATTTTAAAGCAAAAAAAAATTAAGAATTTTTGACGCTAATGACTTCGCCGTTTTATTCTGTTATTTCTTTTTTCAAAAAAAGAATTTATGGATTTTGAGTACCAATGAATTTACCGTATTTATCTGTTGTTATTTTTCAAAGTTTGTTAGAATAAAGTGTTATATTTCATTTAAATATCGCATACATCTTTATCCTACGGAAAGAAGGTAAAATGTTTTACTTCTGATTGGGAGCCGAATATGCGCGTCTGACGCTCTTTTACTTGGTCTTGGATTTATACCTTTGTATTTACATAAGATAATGAGCTCACCCTTAGATTTGGAGAGGGCACGTTTTTTTTAAATAGGTGGTGGTCTTGCTGTAAATAAATAACGTAACACTATTAACACGTGGTGCAGACATGTGCTATAATATACCACGCGGAATAAGCTCGTGATTCATCAGTATTAACTCAAACATCTTACTTTATACGGATTATTAGATTTATGCCTTTCATTCAACTCTCTACCATCTCATTCTTATCTTGGGTAACTAAATAACAACCCTTAATCTTTTCCCCCTAATAACTTTCTGTTTATAGCTTCTTTATGCAAACTTTACTGTGCATGAAATCAGTATTTTCATTGGGGTTGTCCAACAAACTAACTTTTATATGCAGTCACGTGGCTATTAATTGTTAAACTTTCTTGATGGGATTTACTGTTAACTCACTATTGACTCATTCTGAGATGGCCTGTTGCTTTAAAGTTAACTAACACACAAAGAGCTAGCTACTCTTTCACTTATTTATTTATGCTCCGCGTTGAGTACTGGCATTGTCTTCCGAAGCAGTTCCGTGTAATACGACTAGGATGAGCTGTTGTAAGCAATACATGCACTATTATAAAGTTTGGCGAAAGCAGCTAAGTGGCTAGTTTAAGCTTAGGCTGATGTTAGTAGCAAAGACGAACGCACCCTTAAGGACTGGACTAGCAATGAGTGATGTTTACTTGGACTATTGCTCTGTTTCCGGAGCCGCTGGTTGGACTGTATCTTTGTCCCGGCTGTGCGTAACCACACAATAATAGTGTTACTATATAGCCCTAGGTGCTAGTAGAATATGTACTAGCGGCGGTGCGGTAACTTTCCTAAGAATTAAGGTTAATAAATTGGCAGCTAGTATCCTCCTTTTAAAAATTAACTTTAAAATTATGAGAGCTAAGCACAAAACAGCTATATTATTAAGGACAGGAAAGCGTTAACCGCATATAAGCTTGTGAACTTGAAATATCAAGCAGGCAAAGACTGCGGATTAAAATGCCTCACAATAGTATTATAGGCATATTTGGAAATGATTAAGACGAGAGGAAGGGAATAAACCACAATTAAAACAATTAAAACAGGTCATCGATAAATCATATATCTGGTAAGAATAGATTTAATGGCCAATCTTTTTTACAGGATCGTCGGGTAGAGATGGTGAGTAAAACTTTGAAAAGGAACAGATGTCAATGGTAGAACCAATTAATGTGAATAAAACTAAACCTGAATTATTTTATGCGTGAAATGTATCTAAAATACATATTGTTTCAGACGGCGCAGATAAGCTAAGAAAATACTTGGTGGAAAGATAGATAACGAGGGAAAGATAAGGATATTTTAGGTATGAAACAGTTATTCGATTAACTAATGATTAACGCAGAGACAATTGCAAAAAACGATTATTAATTGAGGACAGAGAGCTTATGTTTAAAAGTATAGTTGCTGTTAGAGTCGTTGCCTTAGCTTAGCGGCGCAATCACGGCGAACCTCCAAGAATTATTAGTATACAAACCTTCAAATGAAGGTTGAATGAAAAGTTGTTATTAGTGAAAGTGAATACCCCGCTCTAGCCCTCCTATCCCTCTATCATTTTTAACCCTGAAATAACTACTTTTATCTGGCTTTTGCGAATAAATATGTTCCTTCTCACTTCCATGGGAAAGCTCGCCATTCAACGCGGTACAAAACGAACTGCTAAGGCTTACGACAGGTGCCTTGAACTTGGTACGCAACAACACCTACGAAGTTCTGGAATACCTTGATAGTATGAAACAAAGAATTAAAGGAATAGGGGTTCTCTTAATTGTTAGTTTGCATAATTTTCACACTGAATTTTATATATATTAAACGAAATTTAAATGTTTAGAAATATTCTACTTTATATAATATATATTAGTTTTAATAAAGCGGTTATTGAGAAGTTATGTTCTGATATAAGAGTGATTTTGTAAATATGTTCACCAGATTAAGTCTCGAAGGTGCATATTCAATGTATTTTCCTTTCAAAGTACGTCTTTGATGCAGAGATTCGAAAGGTCACCTTCTACTATACATTTTATTGCTTCGTTATTGATATAAAAATTTTACTTTAATTCTAGTTTGAAAATTTTTTTTAAAATATACTTATAGAGCCAATGTATTCGATATAGCCTTAATTAAAGCAATGTATTCGACATCACGTGAAGCTATTTATTTATTTAGTACAGTTACATTTATAATAGAAGGACATGGCACTGGAGAACCGTTAATTAATGTACTTTAACCCATGGTGGTTTGAAAATAACGTTGTCAAATATTTATTTGCCTCATGTAAAGTAAAAGGTGTCTTAAATAATTTTCGAACGTGCTTGGAAATATTTGGCCAGCAAAGAAGGCCGATTGGATTTACCGACTTGATATAATTACCAAATATTCTCTGCTGCTGGAAACAAAATTTATGGCTTACTTTTCTAAACTTTCCTAATATATTTCTAGAGGATAAAATTGTATCTTTTTTTGTTTCTGTGAAGAAGAGAACTCGTTAGGTTTAATCTTATAGCCTAAGAGCTGTACACAAAAATAGTACAAGAAACGAATGGGTTTTTGTATGACAAATTATTCGGCTATTACATTATTTGCAGTTTGCGGTAATATAGAGAAGAAATATATGGAGATTGTAACTGATTTTTTACTGGCTACAATAGTGAATGACAAAATATTGGGAAGGATACTATATAGTTGGTAAACTGAAAACGTATTTTTGTATAAAGATGGGCACAAAGATTGCAGGCACTTCTTCTCTTTTTACTAGTTCGCTCTCGTTAATGTACTTTTTGTTGGGGAGCGTAGTTTTTAAAATAATTTCATGCTCTCTGACTCGGTGTTTAATTATCTAAATTATACTATTTTTAACCCTTCTATATACTCTTACCAAGTCTGCAAGTCATTAATTAACCGCACGCTGCTTTTAACAAAAAAATGGTTCAATTATTGTTTAATTAAGAATACTATTAGACTTATCATGGTTATTGCAATATTAAACTACTTTCTTTCATAGCGCTAATTTTATTATGCAAAAATTTGCTAAAGCCTGCTTATGTACATATCCCCTAAGACCTATGCATTGTCTACAATTAGCATGTTCAGGTCAACTCCTTGTGGAACACAACAAAAAGAACACTTAATATGTGCTTATCATTAACTCCAGCTCTTCGTATTAAAAAATTTTTTTAGAACATAGATATAAGTATACAAATATTAAGAAAACATTTGGTGAGCTATTTTTTGAATTAAATTTATATACACAACAGAAGCACAAGATTAGCCCATTCGTTATTAAGTTACAATCAGTTTCATATGAGAATGTTTGAAAAAGGCAGGATACCGTTGTCAAATGAAAATAGAAATTCAGATTCTACTTTAACTTTCCTAAGCAAGTTTACATTAGCAACAAGAGGACGATAAAATGAGGGAACGCCTACTCAAAAACCCTGATTTAGTAATATACGCAATTAAAAAGCGCCGAAATTCTTTAGTTTTTTCCGGGATTTAGCTTAATAACAATTGTCTATAATATAAAAAAGTAAAGAAAAGAGATAAATAAAAAATGAAACATCTTAAACAACGAATGTACTTATTTTTTATTATATTAATAAAAAATATCTGGTTGGTTTAAAACCTTTCTATGATAATTTAACGTTGCGCAATATTTTGGTAAATATAAGAGGTCATTGGTAATTAAAAAAAGAGATTACTACATAATGCATAGAAGTAAGCTAAAACTTTAATACATTTTTATAAATTAAAAAGAAAACTCTGTTTTTAATATTCATTGCCTCTATTTTTATTTTTATAATTTTAAAAAAATAATAATTCTAAACATTTGGAAATAAGGTAAAATTAAAAATCTATTATTGCATAAAATTTATTTGTTCAATAGTTTTTATACATACATATCTAAAATAAAATAATGTAGATTATACTATTACTCTAGAAGATCTATTACATTTATAAATTTTATCTTTTTTTAAATCAAATAATATTTGTTTAAAAACACTGTTATTTATTTTTATACTACAAACTCTTTTTCCTACCCACATATTAGTTTTTTTTTGATTCTTTCTATTTTTGAGCCTTCTTCTTTCGTGTTTTACTCGATATTTTATTTTAATAAGATTTTAACAATTCATCTTTAATGCAGAACAACTTCGCTTTTGGTTAAAGTTTTGCTGTAGATATAAATTAATTTGGTCCAATTACCAAAAAAACGATAGCGTAAATAGGATTAACCAAATTCGATGCCAAATACAAAAAAATTTTTAAACCTCCAAAAATTATTTAAATTTTTTCATCCAAATTTTTCTGAAGTTTCTTTTTTGGCTGCTTACACATTTAAGGTTCTTCTTTCTGCACGGTTTTTGTGTTGTAGCGTGGTTCACTCCCTTCTACTCCCCTTGTTCGTTATACGAGTGATCTTTTAGACATGGCTACCTTTATGTTTTAGTCTTTAGAAAGTTTCTTATATTCTGACACTTTTGTCTCCCTCATTTACACTTAGAGTTTTTATTTTTAAAATTTATTGACTTCATTTTAAAACTTAATGAATAGAACCTTAATTTAATACTTTTTTTTTTATATGTTAGTATTACACATTTTTTTTACGCACTATTGAATACCGATGGTATGCAGAGTAGATTTTTTACTTGGGAAGTATATTTTTAACAAAAAACTTGAATTTAATTAAGTAATGTTTGCTTTCAGTGATTCTAACTTTTATTGCTCTACTTACTTATAATAATCTAATAATAAATTCCAGTATGAAAACTCGTTCCTTTTATAAGAATTGCGAAGAGACTTCCTCTGTTAATTTATCACAACGCAACGGTGCTCTTCCCTATTACTATAAGTCAAAGTGCCATAATGCCAATACTGTTACCAGTAAAAACAAAAACAATAAAAATGAAAACAAAAATGAAAACATCGATCTTATAAGTAATAATATTATGAGTAGTTTTATAATTGAATCGGATGAAAGTACCATAGAAAATCTGAATAGTCATAAGAAGAGTCCAAGTGTTTCTAAACCAAGCGCATGTTTCAAGTTTTCTCCCTTTCGAACTAATTCCAAAGGAAAATATAAGAAAACGATTTGTCTTAAAGATCCTTTTACGTGGAAATACCAGACTCCTCCACGGAAAAAGTTCTCGTTAGCGAATTCAACCGATAAAAACTCTTCAACTTTGGAGAAAACGGGTAAGATCTTTATATAAGAATATTTACAGCTAAAATTTAATTTTAATTGATTTTTTAAGTATAATTAATTACTTTAATAACTTTTTATAAAGCTTCATCGGCAAACTCTAAAAGCTTGTTAACATTCAATACCCCTCCGGAGAAGCGTCAGGTTACTGATCCTTATCAATTGTAAGAAAATTTTTTTTTAAAATCTTTTTGTTCACTTTATTGAAGACAAATTTTTTTATATTTCGCTAACATGCGCGCTTCGCTTTTGCAATAAAAATTATATATTATTAATTTTTTGAAGTTAAACTTTATTTATTGCTTTGATTTAGAAATTTTTTACTATCGAAAATTTCAAATACCTGTTATAGTCATTTTATTATATTATCAGCTTTTGGCAGACTTATAATGTACATATATTTATTTAAAGCACTCCTCCTCGTTCTATCCCTGATATTTCTTCAACGAATCCGCTGCGTACTCCTAGCGCACAGAAAACTAGTAAACGTATAAAACGTGTTACAAGTGAAAAAAAAAGTACATCTTCCTCTTCTCCCCTCGCTAACGTTAATCCCTTCCAAAATTGCAAGTCTTCTTCGTTACTGAGAGGTTCACTTTGATCACTTAATTTTATTAATAATGAAGTTATTCTTGTAAATTTTATAGTTTATTGTTTGATTTTCATAGTTTGAATTTTTTTAATATTTTAATTTCGGAATTTACTTTAATCGTTATTCGCAGTTTTCTTTAAATTCTGTTTTATAATAAAGTTTTTTTTAGATGATTCTTACTCTGAATTTGAGGAAAAAGCTTCTCGTTTTCATATGGAGTTTCAACAACTTGAAGAAATTGGTAGCGGCGAATTTGGTACTGCTTTCAAGTGCATCCATCGGCTGGACGGTTGCGTTTACGCTATAAAGCGAATAAAAAGGCCCATTATGGGGTCATATAAAGAGTATTTTATATATTTTATTTTTACAATTTTATAATATTTCTGTTTTAGTTAATTTTTGCGTTGAATTATATTAATTTTAGTTAAAAAAGGAAAAGTTTTTATAATTTATATGCTTTTGTTTTTTAACTATAAAAGGAAAATAATTTCCTTTTGTCTAAATTTTTTTCTCTAAGTTTACAATTTTTCTTTTTAGACAAAAAATTTTAAGAGAAGTGTACGCCCACGCAGTACTTGGCGTGAATAAGCACGTTGTTCGCTATTATTCGGCGTGGAAGGAAGAGAACTTTTTATTTATTCAGAATGAATATTGCAATTGTGGTTCACTCGAGAAATTTCGATCTAAAATCTGCAGCTCCGCTCTTAACCAGTCGTTTTTATTATCAGTTCTTAGACAAGTGGCCAGTGTATGTACTAACTTTTATTATTATTATTATTATTAATGTTTATAGTGTTTACTATTGATTTTACATATATTCAACTATTTTCCTAATTTACTACCGCTTTACCTTATTTTAGTAAGCGATTACGATAAAGAAATAGGAACGACCTTAATTTTAATTAAAATTGCTTTTTTTTTCTGTTTTTTTTTAAACAACAAAATATCTTTATAAAAACTTTATTAATCAAAGAGCCTTTTAATTATAAAATCCTTTATACTTTTAAACTTTATTTTTATTACTTATTTTAAAGGGATTAAGATTTCTTCATCGTCAAGGTCTTGTTCATTTGGATATCAAACCAGAAAATATTTTTGTTTCGGAGATACAGCACAATCAAACTAAAGTTTTATATACCTATTCTACTGCCCAATCAGGAGATACTTCTACTTCTGGCAGCAATTCAAATTTTAATATAGAAACGCTGATATTTAAAATAGGAGATTTGGGTATCTTTAAGTTACTTATATTTTCTATTATATTGATATTAAAGTAGTTATTTACTAATAAAACAATACTTTTATTAAATAATTTATATTACGTCTGTATATAAAAAACAACCGTGAAAGGAGCGTTTAGATTATTATGTTAATAAAATAATAGGAAAAAATAATATAAAATAAAAACATTTATTATTATAAATATAATAATAACAGTAAGGAAAGTATAATATTGAGCACATAAAAAGTTTTTTAAAATATATTAAGTTACATAAAATAGTAATGAATTATATTTTCTTTGTATGATATATGCGTTTTGTATATTACTAACTTTATAAAAAAAATAAAACCATATAAAATTTAGGTAAATATTAAGTCATTAAAAAAAAAAATAAAGGCGTTTAAATATTAAAACAAAAATAATTATATTTTATAATTCTTTTATGCGATATATATATTTTTTGATTATTAAAATATTAATGATAATAATATAATAATAAGTTTATCAAAAACATTGTGGCATATTGTTCATGATTGAATAAAGTAAACAAAAATGTTATTTATATATACACTATGTGAATAAATAAATATTAGTGTATTACTATTTTATATACTATAAAATATTGGTAATTAGTACATAAAAAATTTTAATATTTTAAAAATGTTTGTTAAATCAATAATCAAAAGTAATTAAAAAAAAAGTTATTTTAAAATATTTGTTTTCTTTGGGAATATATAAATTTTTTTGACTACCTTTGTTATTAAATATTAGTAATAAGTAAATTAAAAAAATAAAAGTTTTTTAAAAGTTGCTATATAATAATACTCAATGGAATATTAATAAAGTAATAAGAATGTATCCTACTTTCTTTGCTTTTCTGTATTTTATATGAAGCAGAGAAAAATTTTGATTTAAATTTTTTTTAGGCCACGCGACTTTTATAAGCGATCCGCAAATGGAAGAGGAGGGTGACTGCCGCTATTTACCGAAAGAACTTCTTCAAGAATCCTTCGACCATTTAACTAAAGCAGACATCTTTTCATTGGCTCTTACTATCTATGAATTGGTCCAATCGCGTTTATATTTTATTAGTAGTATATATTATACGAAGTCTCTCTCTTTTTTTTACTTATTAGCTTTACAAGTTGTTTCTTGTTTATTTGTAAATTATTTTTTTAAATTTCAATAAATTTTGACTTTTCATAGCAGAATGATTTCTAAGTCTCCTTTACCACCACGTGTATTATACAATCTCCTGTTTGTTATTTTATGTTGGTTTGTTTTTATTGGCTCTTTTTATAACGTTTTTTATTTGTGCACTATTTTTTTGTTATCAATTTTATATATATTATTTTCTTCATTAATTTTTCATATCTTTTGAAAAGATTTTGTTAACTTATAAAAACTTTACCAAATTTTTTTGTATGTGTTGAGCAGCAGAAATTTCATATTATTTATTGGAACGCTTTACATCGATATTGATTAAAAGATTGTAAGTATAATGCATCTAGTTTAAATATATAGTTCTCTTTGAGGCGATTATCAAGCTTTATCAATTTTATTAACTTTGTTTAAAATTTCTTGTTTCTTAAATAAACTATTATTGCTCTTCACTAGCTTACTATAAATATTTATTGTATTAAAAGTAATCTTTGTTTTTATTTTAATTTACTTTTAGTAAAATTTTGTTAATAAATGAATATTACTTTTTATCTTCTATTTACAATTTTTGAATTATAATTTTTTGGATTCGTTATAAAAATTAAGTTCAAGAAAAAATATTTATATTTAAGTTTTTTAAAATTTTTTTAATTTACTTTTAAAATTAAAATTTCCACATTTTATAAAACTTTTTTCCCAAAAGGGCAGGAACAGTCCGCTTCCTCCCAACGGGCCCGAATGGCATTCAATCCGTGAAGGTTTATTAGAGCAACTCCCGTTCTGCTCTTCTTCTTTTAATAACCTATTGAAGGTAATTAATTGAAATAATAATAGTTTTGCTAATAATAATTAATATTAAATTCGCGATCGAAAATTGAATAGTAATTACTGTTTTCTTTAGTTATCAAATAATTATTAATCAGTAGCAGTAAAGCTTTTTTTGTGTTCAGAATTATATAAACATTAGATTTTATATCACAATAAATTTTTTTTTACCATAACATAAGGAAAAAACTAACAAATAGACTTCTATTAATATTAAAATCTTTTTTTAAAAAAATTATGTTTTCTTTTCTTTCGAAAAGTTTTTTTTAATAATAAACTTTGGGATTTTTTTAATGTCCTAAAATGTTTTCTTTATTATTTTGCATCTTTAAAAAATTTTTAATATCACTATTTATGATTTTTTTATATGAAAAATATATAATTTTTTATTAAAAAAAAGAAAATGGTGGATCCCATCCCCGAAAAAAGGCCTCCTTCTGAGTTTGTAGTTCAGTTCGTTTCTGAAATTTCCAGTGTAGAAACTGAAGAAAGTCAGAAGAAACTTTTGATATACAAAGAACTAAAATCTCGAAAAGTTAAACTAAGAATAGCGCAAGAAGAGAAAACTAACGGCGGCAGTAACTTGGATCAATTCAAAAAGCAACGCTCGCTCATTTTTAAAAGTTCGAGTACTGCTTGGTAGAAAATGGAATTATATTTAAAGTGTTTAAGGCTTAGTATTGTTGAGACTTTCTGTTTTTAAGAAAGTTCCTAAATTTATCAAAAGAGTTACAGTGAAATATGAAGGATTGCTTGATAAATTCTTTTATAAGTTGATTTTTTAAAAAGTTCTGAAAGCCAGTTTTTCATTCATTAAGTTTTACGAAGTTTGCAAATAAAAATTAACGAGTGAAAATCGAAAAAAGGGAAGAAAATAGATAAAATAAAAGTCAAATTATTAATCTTGTAGCTTTTTTTAAAATAAATTTTCGCTCCAGCTCGAATCTTTTTCCTTTCCCTATTTTTTTTTAACTGGCATTTCTTTCTTGTTTACTTCATTATTGTTTATTCTTTATTAATTCATTCGAATAAATTTCGTTATACGGTGTTACGTATCTCCTTAAAGTTTAAGCAAAATTGCACTAAGTATTTTTAAGACTGGCAAACTCTCAAAATTTTGATAGGAGCTTTTAAAGGAGTTCATGATTATTATTGCGGTTAGTAATATATGTGTTTACTCACTTCTCAGAGGCTTATAATAACCTTGTATTTAAAAAAATGCTCAGAAAACTTTTTTCAGTAACACAAGGCTTTTTCTGGTGAATAAGCAAATTTTTAAGTAATAATTTATTATAACCATAAATCTAAACCTTTTTAAAAAAACATTAAAAAAAAAAGGAAAACAAAGCTGTTAGGTATTGTTTGTGGTCTAAAAAAGAAACTGCAGGGCAAACGCTATGTTTACTTGCTCCTCAGCATTAGTATAACTTTGTATAAGTAAAGGGTAGGAACTCAAAACAAGCAAAAAAAAGTGCTCGCAGAAAATTTTTATTTCACTAACACACAAAGCTTTTTCTGTACTTGAAAAAATTAATAGTTAACAATTTATTATATTTATAAATCTAAACATATTATTTATTAAAAATAATTAAAAAAGGAGAACAAAGTTGTACAGAACAGTTTGTAGTCTGAAGGAGGTACTGACCACCGTGCCCATCTAACATGTCATCAAAGGGTCACGCACTTGCAAGAAACTGTAGCCAAGGCGAAATTTTTCTTTTCTACGTTTATCCCATCTACTTTTTAATTTTTAATCTTTTTTTTTAATTTCTTTGTCTAATTTAACTGAAAAAATATATATATATAATATAATTTTTTTTTAACTTTTTTATAAAGTAATATAATACTTTGGACTGAAAAAAATTCTTGAGAATATTTAATTTTATCTTCCATGCCAAAGCCAAAGTTTGAAATAACTTTTTTAGATTATGAAAACTGTAAATTCAAGTTCAAGAATACTAACTTAGCGTAAATTTTTGTACCACTTTTTTCACTATCCCACTTTTCCTTTTCTTAGTTTGTTATAAACCTGTTTAACTCTAAATTCCTTTTTATTGTATATGTTCAAATTTCCCTCCGCTAAGTATGGCCAATTCTCTGAGGCGTGTTATGCTCTCTGAAGTAGCAACCGTAAATATTTGAAAAGTGTAGATTTTATTATTTATTAAAATTCTTACATAAAATTACATTTAAGATGGCCATTGATCTTGTTGAAATTGAAATCAACTCTTCCGTTTTAATAGACGAGTTTATTGCTCATCGTCTCGGTTTAATACCGCTAGTTAGTACGTTTGTGGACAAAATTAACTACAACAGAGTACTTATTAAAAATATTATATTTTTCTTAGAAATTTAAATATTTTTAATTTTACGGCATTAAGTTTAAAGAATATTAATTTACTTAATGTTTCATACTTTTTTAATAGAATTTTTTAATTTTTTATTAAATATATGTAAAATTATATTTGAGTCTTAAAATTATCGTAACCAATTATAAGGGATTTTTTTTGTTAGCTCAATTCTATATTTATTATTTATTATAAAAGATGGTTATATTATTTTGTGCCCTGTGCACTGATTCTAAAATATTTAAACAACTTATCTATGAGCTGACCCAGTTTGAACCTTTTTTAAAAAGTTACTTAAGTTGTTTACTTATATAAGCTTGAATTATAATACTTAAAATTATTAGATAAAAACTTTCTTGCATATAAATTCCACTCTATTATTATTTAATCTATAAAAGTATTGATTAATTATATTTTATTAATTGATAAAAGATATGCTATAGTTTATTAAAGTTGCTCTTATATTTTCTTGTATATGCTAGTTTGAATTCTTTATTTAGTATAAATTCTAATTTTATATAAAATTAATTGAGAAACAATAAATTATAATTTTTTTTTTAAACTCGTCGCTATATATTATATTTGTAAATATTGTTAGCTTTTTATAATTTTATTATTAAAAATATATAAGTATATTGAACTGATTTTTTGAGAGTCTTAAAAAGTTTTCAATTATTCCTAAGAAAATTTTTAATTTAGGATTAATTTTTTTGTGCAATTTTCTATTAAGCTCTTAATATATATATATATAAATTTAATGAGGAATGCACTTGTGTTTCTTATTGTGATCAGTGCGCGGTTGTTTTTAATTTGGATGTCGAAGCAGAAGAAGACGAGGAAAGGAAAATTACAAGCCGAGATTTAGTTTCCCACAACGATGAAGTAGTCCCCGTGAGTAATGTAAATTTCATACTATTTTATAATTAAAGTTTGTTTTTTTATAATTTTAATTTAAATTCAAAACTTACCTTTTTGTCTTTTACTAGAATTAAAATATTAATATTTACTTTTTTGAATTCACTAAAGTTGATATTTAATACTTTTTAGTGTATAGTAGTATTGTAATCTGAAAATTAGAAAATTTTTTAAACAATTATAAAAGCTCTTAAGAGATTTATAAATAAATTATAGTTTTAAAGACCTTTATGTATTTACTAATGAAGATAAGTCAAATTAACTGTTACCAATTATATAATTAATTTTTTTAAATCAATTTGTAAATTAATACAGAAAAGTTTAGTTAATATATTTTTATTAAATTTTAAAAGTAAATAATCAGTTATACTAATATTGAAGTGGAGTTATTTTTAATCTCTTAATTTTCTGTTTAGTAATATTACAGTTCGAATTTGTATTATTTACCAATTTTGTTTGTGAAATTTTTTACAAAATTAAGTTTTTTATAAAGCTTTTTGGCTACTTTATTTTATTGTAGCAGTAGAATTCTCTCATTACAATCTACTAATTTTTAATTTTTTTAGAATTTTTATATAAAGAACGAATTTATTACTTTTTTGTTCAAAAAATATTTTTAAACGCTTTAGATCTTTTAAGTATCTCCTTTTAATATTATGCCATATCAACTTTTTTGAAAGATTTATTTTATAACGCAAAAGCGACTTTTTTCGGTCTAAAATAATAGTAAAATCTTTTTAGTAGCGAATAATAAATATTTTATATAATTTCTTCAGACTTTTTTGCTTTATTCACTTCATATTTTTATTTTGTATTAATATTTTTAATTATTATATTTTTATAATTTTTATTTTCTAAATATTTTTTACTATTTATAATAAACTTTTGTGTATTCCATAAATATTTATAATATTAATTTTAATAAACTTAAATTTTCCGTAAAAAATTTTACGTTTCGTTATAAAAAATATAAAAAAAATTTCAAATTTTATATATATATATATATTTTTTTTTGTGGGCAGAATTTTTTTATATGCAATATTAAAGGCTAAACATTAATATTTTATAAGCATATATATATATATTACTTTTTATATATTTCAATAGAATTTAAATGAAGACGAGTTTGACGAGCAAGACGACATTCTTATCGTTAAAATAAAAAACGGCCAGCGCTTAAAACTTCGCGCCATTGCAAAAAAAGTCTCTTACGAATAATTTATATGAAAAACTTTTATTTTTTTTTAATAATATCACTTTCTTATTTATATATTATTTTGAAGCAAATATATAGTGTAGCATTTTTCTACGTCATTTTATGTTTTTGGTCATTTTTTTCTTTATTTTAAGTTCATTTGTGGCTGCTGTACAGTAGATATGTAATACCTCAAAAATTGCGGTAATTGGCGTATCGTGAGAAAAACTCTACAAATACGATTGTCTGGTTAACAATTATCTTCCAATAAATATGTGCTCATTTCTAGTACAATCAATAACGGTGAAGAATTTGTTTAAGTACTTGAAACCAAGAGGAATGCTTAGAGCATTATAAGCTATAATATAACTTTGCAAGTTAATATATATCCATATACATTTTTAATAAATTTTTTGTGGGGAATTTAATTTTCAAAAAAATAAAATGAAATTTTATTATATGGCTTATTTATTCAAGCCTTATTTTTCTTCAAGGGCATTGGTAAAGAGCACGCCAAGTGGTGTCCGACAGCAGCCATTGGCTTTGAGTACGATCCCGACAACATTGCAAGGCATACGACCTATCCTGTGCCTGATGAATGGTGCGTCTTAATTGAGGGTTTTTTTTAGAAATACTTTTAGAGTTGTTTATTAATTTATGTTTTTAATAGTTTTATTTTTATATATGTATTATTTATGCTTGTAAACTACTATACATTCTTTACTATGACAAACTTTTTTATTCTGGCGCAAACAACACTAACTAAGTCTTTATGATATTCTTTGAGAGAATCTGCATTGATTATTATACTTTACTAATATTTTATTATATATGTGCACTTTTATTTTTAATTAATTATTTATATATAAAAGTAACATTAATTTTTTAAAAAAATTGCGAACGTGTTTAGAATTTTCTTCGAAGTATTAAAGATACTTAATAAACTTTTAGGCCTAAAAGTGAGAATTCTGAGTTGCCTGATACCGCTTGTGGTTCAGAAACTGTTATATTTATTTTTTATATTTTTATATATACAAACTTATTTTTACGGAATTTTTATTATAAATACTTTTTAGAGAAAAGTCTAAATTTTGGGTTTTAATTTTATATATTAAAATATTTTTTTATTTTTATTACTTACGGAAAATAAAAAGAAGCGATCATTATTGTCACGTAAAGAAATAGGTTTGAAATAACATGTGCTATGACATGCGATAAGAAGCACGTGTAGAATCATGAATCACAGAACCAGAAGTCTCGTGATTTACCAAGTGATTTATAGAGTTAAATTCTGCAGTTATGTTATGGCATTCCTTTTTAGTGCGTTTGTCTATATATATAAGAAGTTTGCATTTGCGTTGCTTATTATAAATTTCTAATACTGAAGGGATTTAGTATAACTTATATATATATATATATTTCTTATAATACTTCCAAACGAAAGCTCAAGGACCGTACGACCCCAATTATGTAATCGATTCGTTTTACTTCGACGTTGAGGTTTGTACTGCTTTATATATATGAAATACACTACTGTTTTTTGAGGTAATATAATAGTTATTAGAGAATTTTTACAAATATATAGTTTATTATTTTTGAAACTATATTTGATATTGTTATTTTCTAAAAAGTTGAAAAGAAAAAGTTTTTATTATTATGGTATACATGAGAACGGTACATATTATGATTATGATAATTACTGGGTTTGGATGCTTTGCTTTCTCTGCATGGCCAGAGGTACAGCCGATGAAAGCCAATTAATTTATTGACTGGTGTCTCCTCTTATTTGCTTCCACGAGATTTATTTTTATAATATAAATCATCAATAATAAGCAAGTCGATTTGGCATCATTACTTTCAGTAGTGATCCTCTTTTCGTGCGTAGCAGCTCATTATCAACGTGCTTAGTAGAGAGTAATAAAGATTTGGGCCTTTTAATAACTTAAAAAGTTTTATAATTTAATTTAAAATTTTAAATTAATTTACTGAAAATTTGTTTTGCGATCAATTTGTGGTGAAATAGAGACTGCAGTTTTACTGCAGCACAACAATTTTTGTTTCGTGATTTTTTGAGAAATATATATATTATTTCCTGCATATAAAAATATATAGTTGTCTTTTTTAAAACACTTGTAATTCTGCTAAAGAAACGTATAACTTTAATTTTTTTATTGTTTATTCTTTTTAGAAGAATTAAGAACTTATTTTGTGATTAGTGTAAGACAACTTAGAGAAATTGCTTTTAGGGGTTTAGGCCACAACGAAAAAGATGAATTTTTGTAAAATTTTAAAATAATTTTAGAAGTATATTATGAATTGACTCTGACTTGACTAATAAGCTATAACGATTTTTTTGAAAAGTTTTTATAATTTTTTAAAAACTTAATAAAATATTGTGCATTCCGGGTGTCTTCGTATTAATTCTAAAACTTTTATTTTAGTTGTAATCATTTTAATTAATTTTTTATGAATATATATTTTATTTTTATATATTATATAAAATTTTTGTATACTAGTTATTATTAATATAACCTTTTTTAAGGAATTTTTAATCTACTTTATGCTTAACATTAGTAAAACCAACTGTACATAATTTCTAACTATAAAGTAACATAAATGAAATTATAACTGTAACAACTGAAAAAATTAAATAAATTAATAATATTTACTTTCAAATGTAGAAATTAATATAAATAAAAATTTTAAAAAAAGTCTATATTATAATAATTGCTTAAATTATAAATTTAGAGTACTGGAGCTCTAAAACCGGAAAGAATCGTTCTTTCTGCTTTAAAAGCGTTAAAGGAAAAATTACAAAATTTAAATAGCGAACTTCAAAATCTATCCCGAACTTTTTGAAACCAAAAGAATCTTTTACTAAATAAAGTCGAGGAATTTTTTTTATTTTATCTTATTATCTGCGTGAGTTTTTTGTACACTTTTACCAGTTTCTACTCACACATGAATGTTAGTTTGTTTATTTTTAGCTGCTTTTGTACTTTATTAGCTACAAAAAGTCCAGTAATTTATTAGTTTCTTTTATAAAAATTACTTTTATTATCATAAAATACTGAGAAATTGTACAACTATTTCAAGCTATAGCGTTGGCCTGAGCGAGTCAATTGTATAAGACAATATACCTTACACGCCAGCGTATCTTATATAGCACAGGCAACGATAACTAATTTACTAAGACTCTCAAATTACTGATATTTATTTGTTATCAAAGACAAAAAAACTTTTTTAAAACACCATTTGAACTACTTTTTTCTTTTTTCTTTGACTGATAGCCCGTAAATAAATATATTACTTCGGCTTTTAGGTTTTGAAAGGTAGCCTTCTTCTTTAAAGATTACTTATGTTCGCATTCATTCCTCCTTTCACACTGGAAAAGTTTTTATTTAAAGCTTAGTAGCGTTTTTAACAGTAGTGGTGTACACAAATACACATAAAACACATTTAAAGTAAATTTACTTTATAATAAAGAAATAATTCAGATAGAAAGCTAGGTAGCTTCCAATGTATGCCCCTTTTAAATTGCATAAGCGAGTATTTTTTTTTTAACTTTCATTTAACTGTTAAAATTTTTTATTTAACGAAATGAACTAATTGACACCATAAAAAGTTGAAACAATTCAAAAACGGAATAAAAAAATATCGGTTTAGCTTATTTCCCACTGCGTCTTATTACTATACATAAGTAGCAGAACTCGTTGCTAATCTCTACCGGATTTTTCGTAATAATACGCTTTAGTTTTACTTTTTAGTTCTCAAAATATTATATATTCATAATAATCTTAAGTGGTTTTCTATTAAATAAATATTTAAATGTTCTCAAGTACATATCAATGAACCAGGAATTTAAAGAAAACTTACTAATTTCAAGTAAAGAAAGTATAACTTAATGTTTATTAATTTGCATTTTTTTTACTTGTCACTAAGTAAATTTCTCTGAACTTATTATAAATGTTAACAGCAATTATAATATAATTTATATGTGTTTTATATTTCTAACCTAGACGGTAATGCTGCACTTGCCACAGACAATAATGACTGCGTAATAAAAATGCTTTCTATTTGTATAACATATATTCGATAATTACTTATATTAAGAAGTTAATCTTCATACAGCTCTATTAAGCTATTTGTCTATTTAATAAATTTAATATACATTTTAATAAAAGAGTCAAACTGAGGATTTATATTCTGATACAAATCATCTTCAAAAACAGTTATGTGACGTACGTCTCTAAATTTTAATTATGCTTTCCTTATAAAACAGTTAAAAAATTTTTAATTGTGTTTGTAAAAACCGAATTATTAATTTAAATTAAAATTATTAAACAGGCTTCTTTTTTTTAATTTTAATTATTAAATTTTTTTGGTAATAACTAATTTTTATAAATAACATTTAGCAAAGCTATAAACGTTATTTTTAATCATTTTTCATATAATTTTTGCGTTCCATCTTTTAAAATTTTAATTTAAATTAATACACTTTATTAGAAATAAGTTTGCTTAAAATATTGAATATTTACTTCGTCTTTCTCATTTACGCAATTAATTTAAAGCATTCATAATCTTCCTTCAGACTATAATCCTTTTAAAATTTCAGATATTACTTTTGTTAAATATTTAGTTATTACCATTATTCTTCAAATAAAAATTTTTTTAATTTTCTAATTTTTTATTAACTTTAATAATATTTTAACCGAACAAATTTTGTTGAGAATATTTTAACTAAGTTCCCAGTTTATAAAATTTATATATACTTAAATTTTAAATATATTGCAGTATATATTTATAAATACTTATAAAAAAGGAAATTTTTCTGGTTTAAGTTTTTGAATCTTTTAAACGGAATGCAAAAGTCAATCATTTACTTTAATAAATTTTTTCCCTCCGTTAGTTACAAACTTTTATTTTATTTAATAAATTGATTAAATTCTAATTAATTTTATTTATTAATTTAAATTCCGAAATATATATTTTTTTTAATCCCAATTAGTAGTAATTGTAGTATATTTTTATAATATGATAATAGTATAATTTTTTTTAATTGTACTATAGCACTGTTATATATTAATGAACTTCTAAACTTAGAGGATTGAGTTTAAGCTAAACGTATACTTTTACTTTTTAATTATCTTTATTTTTCTTTGTGAAGTTAATTTTATAAAAACCTAATTTCACGAAATTACCTGATACGCTTGGTTATGTTTAATCTAAAAACTTATTTAAATTTTTTTTTTAAGTATAGTCTAGTTAATACTTAAAAAGTCAGTCCTCATCATGATGCCATATTTAAGTAAAAAAAATTTTTTAAAATTAAATTGTAATTTTAGTTATTATAAGAAAAGTTTTTTTAAGTAAAATATTAAAGCCATTTATAAAATTTCATAATAAATTTCTTTTTGTATTGAAGAATTTTCATCTAATCATTTACTTGATGAATAAATTTATTTTCTGCCTGAATAATTTTCTGTTTGAATCTCGTTTATTATCAATTTTGCAACCGCATTAGCTGAAAGCGTAACAAATATTAAAACTTTTTTCCTATGTCTTGTATTTCGCATTTTATTAACTTTTTTATTTTTTTAAGTTAATTTATTAAATCTATTTCAGATTTATATTATTTTATTTAAAAAATTTAAGGCCTCACTTTGGGATAACCGTACTTCTATTTCTGTTATAAATCCAACCGTTATAGGTATAAAAAGACATTTCAAATTTTAAATTTAAATTAAAAAAACCTTTAAAGATTTGCTAAGGGTAGTATAAATATACGTTCCTTACTTTAGCCTTTTCTAATACAATTTTTTTATTCAGTCCAACTTTTATGCTTATATGGTAAATTTAAATTAACCTTATAACTTCTTATTATTAAACATTATAATTCACTATTAAAATTATATTAAGTATATATCAAAATATAATAACTTTTTTTCCCTATTTAATATTCTACAACTGTATATTAGCGGGGCCGTCCTCGCAGTTCGTTGTTTATGAAGTCTTAAAAGAGGTACCTATATAAGAACGCGTTGCTAGCCGCTATAGAAATATATAAGAAATATTTATAAATATAAAAAGTTTATTATATATAATATATAAATATAAAAGTTGTCAAACTTTTTTTAAAAAGTTATAATTATAATATTAATTGTATTGAAAAAAATATATATATTTTTAGTAAAGTGTTTTAAAAAGTAAATAAAACTTCAATATATAAAATGATATTATTAATAATAAATACATATACTAAAGTTTTTTGTAAAAGCATAAAAATGGTATATATTGGAAATTACAAACATATATAATGCGCGTAGTAATATTAGTTATACCAAAAAATCTGTAAAAAAATATACATCAAAGTGTTTTGTATAAGTAACAAAATAGTATATAAAAAAATTAAAAAATATATAAATATAATATAATATATAGTAATATTATTAATTAATAAATCTATAAATAATAATATCAATAGATAAATATATATACTAAAGTACTTTTTAAGAGTGAATAATAATATGTATACAAAATATAACTTTCATACTTTTTGTTTCTTTTATAATTATTATAATTATATATCAAATATTCGTTACTTTTAAACAGAATTTACTGAATTATATCTTTTCTAATATTTTTTATAAATAATTCAAGCGTACTAGTTACTAATTAACTTAAAAGACTGTAAAAGTTTAAATTGTTATTAATAATCTTACTTTTATTAGTTTCTTTATAATTCTTTAATAGTGAAAAGAATATTTTTAATTTTACTTTATTTATCTTAACTTTTTATTTATTAAACTTTAACAATTAATAGTTTTAATTACAATATGTAAATAATGTAAAAGTGAATTATATATATTTATTTATATATAATGGTAAACTAATATTTTACGTATTTTTTTTTAATTACAATTATTTTTTTTGTTACGTTCATTTTTTTACTTTACATTTATAATATTCCTTTACAGCAGCTTTAATATTTTTGTATATCAATTATAAAAACTTAATATTAGTCAAGGTTTCTTAAACTAGTTATTTTTTTTGTATATATAATAAAAAATTGATTTTTTGTGCACAGCCTCATCGAGTACAACGGAGGTTCACTGAATTTCTGCAGCTCAGAAAACTTATTACGGCCAATCATCCGGGTGTTATAGTTCCCTCCCTTCCCCCCAAGACCACGTGGGGTACTTTTACTAAATATCAGCTTCTCCAATAGTTGAGGTTAAGCGTAGAAATTGTGAAACTTTTACATGCAATGATTAAAAAAAAGATTTTTTTCCCTATTGTGTAATATTCCTAAAAATTAAATAAACATCTGTTATAAAAAGCATAAAGTGCGTTTCTTATGCATTTTAAAGGGTTCTTCTCTTAGCTTTATTTATATATTTGAGCATAAATTACATATTATAGTCTCGCTGAATATAAAAATATATGTAAAATATCGTGTGTGCTTTTTAATAGAAAACAGGTTTAGTGAAGATTTCCTGGAAATTCGACGTTCTGCACTTGAAAGTTTTTTAAGGTGGCTGCAGTGGATACCAGAATTAAGCGAAAGTGCAGAATTCCTTTCTTTCTGCACTACACAGTCTTCGGTAAGTGGTGAAATCTTATGGTATATGAAACTATTTTTATGAAGAAAGTACTATTTACAACCACTTTATTAGTTTAATAATGATCTCGTGGTAGTCGAAAAAAAGTTGCAACCGCTTTTTTCTACGTTTTTCGCTTCGAAAGCAACCCTTTTAGAAACTTCCAGTAAAGATATGGTTTTCCTCTATAACGCACTGCTTTACTGTTTTTGCGTAAAGCCCTCCCTCGAGACAGTACTTGGAGCAGCAGGAAGCACGTGTCACCAGAGTACATGGTTTATTAGCGGCTCTATATGACTCTTTTAAAGAGTTGAAAGTTTTTCGAAGAGGTTTAACACATGGAAATGACTTAGCTTTATTGGTGTATTCTTTTTTTGCCCAATAGAGTTATATCTCATTGATCACAAAATTTCGCGCGCCTGGGATTCCTCCAAACTTGGATTTCACTCGTTCGATCTCCGTAAATTATTAGCTCTTCTCGCTGCAACCAAAACAGAATTTGTACGTCACAAAAAATATTAATAACAATAGTAATCAGTAATAATAATAATAATAATAATAATAATAATCGAATAAAAGTTACTTCCGAATGCAAGTAAAATTTTTGGAGCGCTTGATATGCTTAAGTCGCTTAACGTTGGCGCTAAGGTTTCACGAAGTTTCTAATTATATTTATGTTTTTATATAGTAACGGATATTAATGTTGTTATGACTTTAACGATTATATAATTTTGATAACCACCAAAAAATTAATCCTAAAAAATTTTCAATTTATGGAATAATAACTACAGGAAGCCCTTCAAAAACGCACAAAAATTCAACGGGAGCTACTCAAGTTACAAACCGTCACTGAGGAGGCAATTTATTTTGCTTTTTTATTATGACCATTTCATAAAAATTTTAGTTATATTTAAAAAAGCGTGCAAATTTACTATCAGATGACTTAAAAAAATTTGACAACAATTTATTGATTCATCTGAATATCATTTCAAACTTCACCACAAACTATTTATGCCACGTGTTGGTTAAAGTACTAGAAGAAAGCATCAAACAGCAAACTCTGGTAGCGCACGTGCTCAAGTGTGTTGACTTACCATTAAACTACTTTAATAGAGCGTAAAGTTTTGGAAAGAATTGAACGAAAAGGCAGAAAACTTGTAAGTCTTGTTAGCCAGTAGCGGAAAACATTATAAACATTGACATAGTTAATTAAAATTATGCTTTAAGTTTTGCTATAACGCTATATTTTGTATAAAACAGCCATAAAGGAAGAGAAAGATTAGCAAAATCCGCACTTTTTTTAATGAGTAGCGAACTTATAGATTATTATTTATTCGTTAAAGAAGTATCCGAGTGAAATATGCACCACTTAGTAGTACAAGGGAACATGTATATTCTGCATTATTGGTTGTGTTTTTTTTAAAAACTTTCCACTAGCAATTCTGTTTCACAAATTCATTTACACAATAAATACAAAGAACGACACATTTGTAGTCTACCGCGTGAAAAATAACCCCAACATAAACTCATCACCTTTTTCAAAATAAACTTGGGAGGCCATGCGAATAAACCCAGTAAAGTCGAGGCTCGCAGTATTTTTCTCACACAATAAACCACGTGACCCTTTCAACATTTTTGTACCAATCGCTACAGTGCGTTCTCATTTATATATACACAAACTAGAAACTAAAAAAAAATCCTTATTAATGACCAGAAAAAAAATTTAATTACAAAATAATATTTATGGGAACAAATCAAAGTCGATTTCCTGGATATCTATAAATTCGGTTAAGCTGTCTTCCTCTATTCTTCTCACGAGGACGCGGCCGTAGTTAAAAAAGCCCTATTGAATAAAAATAAAAGAATAAGTAGTAAAAAGTAATTATAAAAAATATATACTTCTTAAATGTATAACAAAATAATTTGTATAAACCCCTAACAATGCAGTACATCATAAATATATTTTTGAAAAAAAAATTTAGCAAATCAAAATACAAGTGATGTACGTTGCTCAACTATTTCTATTAACAAATGTATAAATACGGGAAGGCACAAAAATAAGTAAAGTCTACTACATTACGAAAAAAAAGTCTTAAAATACATTTTAAACTTATTCAAACTTTATAAAAAAATATTTTTTTTCCGGTGTACTCGATAAACTTTACTTTTCTATAAGAAAAACTTTATTAAAAATAGTAATCATCATTATATATAATAATAATAGAGAGTAGTAATAATAATAATAATGAAACTGACATTATTTTTCCATTCGGCCATTTGTGCCGACGAGTATGGGCCATACTTCGTATATTCTTCATAATCTAGTAACTCTAGCTCTGAGTCGTCCTGAACCCATATGTACTCCCACGTACATCCCCTCTCCTCCTCCGCCAACCGAAATTCAGTTATAGGGCGAGCGCGTTTATCCGCTCTTCAAGTAATATAAAAGTATAAATAATAATATAATATAAAATAATAACTTTTCGGAAGAAGATTCCACCAGACTTTCATCATGATCACTACGCCTTCTTCTTTCAGCCCAGTTAATAGTGATCCGTCTTCCATCTAAAATCTATATTTGGTATTATTATAATTATTATTATAATGAGTCGTAGTGGTAGCTAAAAGTGTTATTATTAAAACTATTTATATATAAGAACGGGAGTAAATTTAGAACTCCATTTCACGGCGTTCTCAGCGCTGTGGTGCTCCTTAAAATCTAAAAAAAAAATAGTAATTAAATTCAAAACCAACAAAATTCGATTTTTTAGTCGATTTTTCATAATATAATATCAAGGCAACTTTTTATAAATATTTAAAACTACATATAAAAAATATAAAAATACTAGAATAATTCATATATAAATCCCAATATGAATTAAAAAATTATTAGCTCCAGAAAAGATATAAGAACAACTTTACTATATTACTATTAAAAACGCTGTTATTATAATTTAATATTTCCTTTATGCTCAAAACTTCCAACTGTTCAAATTAACAAAACATATTTCAGTAATTTCTTACTATCGTCTTTAAAAAATATTTTTTAACATCATGCTTAAATTCATAAACAGGTTAACCAATAAAAGCGAAGCCTTGGGAGCGGTCGGTGTCTCTGTACTTCACAAGTCTAATGGTGTGAAGATCTCCAAATCGTCTGAGAGATTATATATCGTAAAACATTTTTAAAAAATATTATGCAGCTCACAACACCAAAAAACAATATTAATTAATAAGTTTTCTTAAATAAAATTTAAAAATTACCAATTATCTAATTCCTATTGTGGGAATTTTTAGTAACTTTAATTTATACGTTTATTAATAAATAACTTCTAAACTCCAAAGCAACAAATATTTATTACTTAAAAAATCTTTAGGTTTAACAGTATTACTGTTTAAAGTTAAAAGTTTAACTTTTTTAAAATATTTTTTAAAAAATAATAATAATTTTATAAAAAAATTATTTGCCAACTATATTATAACTAAATATTTTATAACCAAATATTAAAGTTTAACTTAAAATTTAACTCAGCTGAATAAATTAATTTTTATTACTATTGAGAACACTCAATATTACTCAAAACAAGCTCTTAATTGAACTTCATTAGTGTACACGGAAAGACCTCCCACAAAAACGCGGTAGGTTTCTAATTTATAAAAATAGTTATTAAAAGTAGTACATATATAATTTATAGTAAAATTTTAAAAGCAATAACCAATTACTAACTGAGGTGTTCTGAGACTCTAAGCTTATTAAAAGGTGAATTTTTAAAAAATTAGTAGAGCAAATATTTAGAGTGCGATAATCACAAAATACGTTTACAATAACACATGAAACTGTATTAAAAAATTCAACTGAAAAATTAAATTCTTAGCTTTCAAATTAATAATGCGTCCAGTAAAAAAAAAAAAGTAAAATATAATACAAATCAAATCAGAAAAAATAACGGTAAAATATGTTTTTAAAAAAAAGTTTTTTACGACATAAACGGAGAGACCCCAGTCACTAAAACTGAACTACGTAAAAATAATTTTATTAATAATATTAAATATAAAAAAACTTTGAAAAGGGTAGGGGGCGGAATCTTCGAGAGGAGGGCGAGAACTAAACTCTTTATTGTAATAAGAAAAAGAAGCTTGAGGTTGTCCTTCAGAAGGAATATCGCTAAAAACTTCTGATTCCCCAGAAGATGGAGAAAAGTCTTTATAGGAATAACCGTAAGTCGTCATAACCGTTATGTATTTCAATTGTCATACTCCTTCAAAAAGCGAAATTACAGGGTGCAACCACTTCAAAATAGTATAATTTGTTTTGTTTATTGGTAGGTTGACATGTGGGCCTTACTATTCCGCCCTAATTGGCTTTTATTATTTTGTAAGTAAAACTTTTGGTCTGTGGGTTGGAGATTAACTGAAAAACTTTTTTTTTTTAGCAACGTTTTAACGTGAAAAGTCTTTGCAATTTAGTTATATTTTCAAAAAACCTTCAAATGATATTTTTTAATTTTAAGATGCGTTTTAGTAAGCTTAACGTGTTTTTTTTGAGCAGAGATTTGTATTTATATATTTATAAATAGAGGAAAAATGAAGATTTAACGTGTAATTTAACTCCAAGGTTTCCAAAATATCTAAATTAAGTTTGCTAAGTTAATAATAAAGCTTTAAAAATTATAAACTTTTTTTATAAATTGAGGGGGGGAAGATAAATTTTTACGTTTTCACTTAATACATGAGGAGCCCATTTTGATTCCGTGTAAGATATTGGTGTTACCGCAACGTAAATAATAGATTTGAAGTTTGAATAAACTTTTATTTTTCAAAGTGTAAAGACTTAGTTAAATAGTATTTTTTTGATTTTCAATATAAAGTAAACAAGTATCAATCCGAATGAGGGCCTGATTAAAATAACAAACGAAATTTATATAACTTAACACCACTAAAAACATTTGGGATCTAAAAGAATGTGTATGTTTAGGGTCCACATAGAAATGGTCGTGTGCACATGGAGTGGCATTGTTTAGCTACGCCGCCCTGTCGGCGGTTAGAAGTTTCTTATTATGTATGTTTTGTGCAGTAAAAAGTTTCATGTAACCTATTAACCTTTTTACAATGCTTAAAAGTTTAGTAAGAAATAAAAAATTCTTTCATTTATTATATAGGTTTCTACTCTTATAATACTTTGTATTTTTACTAATTTATTTTTCATTTTTTGGTAGAGATTTTTCGGTTTCACCTTTGGTTTTGAAAGAAAATGAAAAAGTTACAGTTATATTTGAAACCGAAGATGACGAAGTTAAAATTACTGGAGATGTTGGTGCTTTTTCAGTAGTGTGATATATAAAAAAAAATTAACTTTTGTTGTTTGTTTATTAGGGGAAACTGTCTTAGATGTAGCCCAAAAAAACAATATTGACCTGGAAGGTATAAATTAATTAACTGTTTATTTTTTGTTTAATAAAATAATTTAGGTGCTTGTGAAGGCTCGCTTGCTTGTTCAACTTGCCACGTTGTAGTTAATAAGGACTTTTTTCACAAAATACCTCCGGTATATAAAGTTTGCGTTAAGAAATTTATTCTATCAATATTATTTTAGCCTTTAGAAGAAGAAGTTGATATGCTCGATTTAGCTTACGGACTAGAGGAAACTTCTAGACTGGGTATAAACCGCGTATTTAACTATTTTTTCTAAAATTTTTATATATTTTTTATAAGGCTGCCAGATTTGCCTTACTAAAGAACTTGAAGGAGTTCGCTTAAAGTTGCCTAAGAATTATTTTAGTAATAAATAGGTTATTGGCTTCTATCAGAAATCAATTTTATTTGTTTATTACTTTATTTTAAGACGCTAGTTACAGTTAAGTGGCTCATCTCTTGCGTGAGCAGGACTTCATAATAGAATGTTTAATGTTTAAGTAAATTAGTTATCATGATATATACTACTAAAAAAAGAGAAATTTGCATTATGCTGCACTCAACTTGAATAATTTATTTATATAGTTACTATATTACAGCCGTAAGTAAAAAAAATATACTGTCTAATCTGATTTATAAATAGAAAAAAAGAAGTCCACTACGTGCGGTAAGAAAATGCCGCGGGCTCCTATAACGGGTGTAGGCACCTGTCTTATAGGTTATAGCTTGAACAATTAATCGCTGGGAGGAGCCAAGTAGACATTATAGCACTCCACAGTACTGCAACGAAAATATATAGAAAGCGTTTTTCCATCTTGAGTTAATGATACAAGTAAGCACTACGATCAAACCATAGGGCATCTATACTTATTCGTAAAAGTTGATTTTAAATCGCTTAAAGTCGCTAATGTGTATTAAACTACTAGATCATTTTTAAAATAAATAATAAGTTTTTTGCTTATTAGAGAATTCTTGTTACAAAAGAAAAAAAATAAAGTTTTTTAATCACCCTCTCGCTTTGTTGGGGAGGTAGTTAACTTGATAACGCCACGAAAAATGTTTGTCGATCCAGGCATTTAATTTCTTGACCTCCATGGGCCAAGGGACCGCTGGACCGTAAAATGTTATAGTAGCTGCTTTTGATAACGTCTCCTCTTCGATACAAATATCGCTTTGCGCTAAAGTGCGTTTACTTATATTTACCACGGCCAGACCGTACCTCAAGGTAGAGAAATGCGTACGCACGTGTTTTTAAGCTAGAGAAGGTTTGTAGCAAGCATAGACAGCCGTGTCATCCGCACGTTGTGGGGGTATCTCGGGTATGGGTACGCCCGACATGCACAAAGCAAAGAAGAGGGAAAATAACACTGAGCATTGTTGGGACTTCCGTAGAGTTAGCTTTCCCACTCTGGTATAAACTGTCCTTTACTTCCTTTAACAGAGAAGACTGAAGAAGCGAAAGATGGTCTGGTATCTTCACCATAGTTTCCTTTAAAGCTCAACGTGCCATAATGCTTTTTCGATCTCTGTATATTAGTAGATTGTTTTCGAATGTTCCCGAATGTTCGACATTAACCTTAGCATGTGCCTCAATTTGAGGGTATAAATAGCTTCTGTGAAGGGCCCACGAGAAGCCCTTTTTCTTGTGTGCATGGAGGGTTGCGCTAGTTTGGACTTTTGTGTGGTAGTTGATTCAGTACGTATTTGTTTGTGTATCGGGCGAGTAACACAATAAAATTGTTGATATACAATTCTTGTTATCCTTTGCTAACTTTTTAGGCGCATTAGTTAGCCACTACGCGAGAAGAGTGAGCTTTTTAATTAACACATCTAAAAACTATACACTCGTTGACGTATTATTAAAACCCTTTCGAGATGTATTCGGAGAGCACAAAAGCTGCTGCTTAGTGACCCCTCTGGGTCCGAAACTATAGCTTTGGTATACAACCGGTACTCTTTACAACTTTCCGCCATCGTTCAAGCTTTACAGCTTTAGTTATTTTGTCTATACATCACAAAAGCTTATTAAACCGTAGTCTTTAGAATTTGAAGGACACTTTGAGTGCACACCACTGCTTCCGTTTTCCATCGCTGAGGGGGTGCACGGGACTTAAAAGACTAATTAATAAGTGAAACTAAGGACGTTATTGCTGTCCTGGGTAGATTGTTGGTTCGCACTTCTTAGTACGCAGAAGAATTTTATTTGATCTCACATCCCTCGAATAGGTCCATTCGCATGTTATATTTCATGGATTGCTATTGCGATTAGCTATTTTCGCTCGCCGGAGCTACTACTTTATGATTAGGCAATGACTAAATAAACCTCGCACGATTATACCCATCTAAACTGTAGTCAAGAAATAATCGGTCCCCGTCTTAAGAGGCGAAGGATAATGTTTCTTGCGTTTTTTTATATAATTGACAAATTGCCATTAGGGTGCAGGGTTTCATGAATTTTTAAGCTAGGCAATTTTCAATTCCCAAGTTTCATAGCGCAAACTTGAGGAATTTGTTTAATATTTGTTAGGTTTGTTAGGAATTCGTTAATGTTCGGAGTCTCTGGTGGTTTTGTATATAGGTTTTTGACGCCTTCTTGAGTTGGGGAGTTTAATCAATTTCCATAAACGGTTTACACGGAGGTCCTTACTGTAACGGAAGCCGATTTATGTGTTTATATTATGGTGGTCTCAAAATGGGCCACCAAATTATTGAAGGTAACGAGGAGTCAAATTTAACGAATTTTCACAATTGCTTCCTTACTGATAAAAATTTATTTCAGTTTGTATACCTTCGTATCCAATACAGAGGATAACTTCACAAAGGTCACCTTGGTAGAGCACGGTGAAGTGGTCCGAGGAGAGATCCATAGCGTGGTTAAATTTGAGGCAATTCGTTTGTTTTTTGTAAAGGAAAGGTCAAGTACTCCTGAGACCCTCTTGAATATATGTGTGCTGATCTAAAGGGCCGAAAACAAGGAAATCTCTTTATTTAGCGTAGTTGAAGATATCCCCACGGTGGAATATAATTATCAGTTCTTTAGGTAAAAAAGGCAATCCTCGGGGGGTTATATGCGGAAACAACAACATCTCCCCCTTGCACATAAAGATTAATCCTGACTGCCTCTGCTTCAATAAATTTTAATTATAAAAGCGGTATTAATGATAATGACTGCTCCACCTTTTCTCAAGTGAATCTTGTCATGCCTTTAAAGCGGGTAACTGGGGAAAATTATATGTTCTGGTTTCAGATGGGCATCCGATTTTCTGACTATTAGGAAAGTATTGATAGCCGTCTCTTTTACAACGCACCACCTTTTTTAATGCTTCCAAACATTACTCGGAATGATAGATGAGTTGGTGTATACTGATATTTCGTTCTATTTCATTTCTTTTAAATCTTTGGCAAAGTTTGTTTTCTGTGGTTATTAGCCCCCAGTTAGACTTTTCTCCAGAACTCAAATCCTCTAAAATTTTTGCTGGTGACTATTCGTTTAGGAGAGAGGAAATAGATTCTATAAGAGTTTCCACAAGCGTTCGGAGTTGATCCTAACAAATTTCCTTAATACCTTTACTTAAAAGTTTACCTGGCCAAAAATTATAAAAGTATGCAGTAGTTTCAAATATTTTCTATTTTTTTAAAATTTGATCACCATAAAATTCTTATGTGCGCGAAGTTATACTGCGGAGGTTGGCAGCATATTTCGTGGCCTCGGCTTAAATTTGATAAGTTAAGTCCGCCCTTACAAACATTGCCTTTGTCATAACCTTTGTCATAAACTTCAGTAAACTAAGAACCTGCATTTTATCTAACATTAGATCCCTATTATATGATGTAAATTCACTACCAACGTCACTAGGGATCTATTTTCTGCGTATCGTTTTCTAAGATATCGTCTTAGATTTTTCGCCCTTTTGGCGTAGGCCTTTGCTTCACATTCTTCGCTGAGAACCCGAACGAATTGAGTGCGTTTACACATTGGTTAAATACATTTCGATCCACTAAGCGGAAGAGGATATGGGCCATTTACGTCTAAATCTAGTTCTGCAAATATATTTAGGAGTGAGTAATCAGCTTTACTTTTTCTTTCAACTTTTGTTTTTTGAATATATATATTTAAAGTACCACATTCAAAGTCTTCAAGTATGTTGCTACACTTTCTGTTTGTGCTTTAAAAAACCTTAAAATATATAATTAAGCTTAGTTCTCCTAAAATTTTGTGTTACTCCATCTTAGACTAAACTCTCAAATTTGGTTGTTCTTGTTTTGAAGGTTCCTAGGAACCCAATTAGTAAACTGCTATGATGCACTTTTTAGTTTAAAAGACCGTAATGGTTTATAATTAAAAATAATCTAAAAATCGTATAATTATTCTTATTTATTACCAGACATACTACAGCCAGATTCTTTCTATGAAAGAGGGCTTGGTATACTGCTTAATCTAATCTAAGCAGGCACATGAACGCCCATGCGAAGGAGCTTGAACTACCATGACTGTATCGAAGGACTAGTCGTGTGAAGGAAAACCGCAAAAACCACAACCTGGAGACACCGACCCACATTGCCAGCTAGGCCTCCTCGACTACGAGCTCCTCACCCAGGAGGGAGGAGACTATTCTGTATGGTTAATGCACTAGTGACCCAAATATAAACATATACACTTAGTAAAATGAGATTTATAAGGGAGCTTTCTCGGTGCTCATTTTTGTCTGCAGGGCTTAGTAATCAATTAAAGCTGAATTAAACCAAACTAAACGAAACAAAAAAAAATAACTAAATTAGTAATCTAAAGAGTTACTAGTAAGACTTTGAGCATTATTTATCAAAACAGTTCTTACAATTTCAGGCGATACTTATTATATAAGAAGAGCAAAGTAAATGGTACCGGAAGATCAAGTTCGGCAATTTAAAGAGGAATCTATTAGATTGATAGAGAAAAATACAGAAAAATAAAAAAATATGAATACAAAAATATGTATATATTTAGAAAAAAAGAAATAAGAAAAATAATGAAATTAAAATCAAAATAGGGACAGAGAGGGATAATTAGATTAACCGATTCGGTTCTTATTCCTTATTTTAAGTTTAATATTAAATAACCTACAATATCTAGATTAATTGATAAATCATAGTTGATTGAGTAGTGAATAAATACTTTTTTAACGCCAGATAGCCTAATCCCCCGCCCACAAGAGAATTTGCGCAATCTCAAGGTCTCCGTTCGATTCCAGTAGGTGCCAACTCACAGTTTTCCAACCTGGTGGTTACGTGCACAACTTCCCTACAAACAAGATAATGTAGGTACCGACGGGAATCTAACCCGCGACCTTGAGCTAGGGTGGCAACACAAATCTTCGGTGGAAATACCACGTATACAACTTTTGTGACAAAATTCTGATGGTGCCAACTGTCATTTTTCTGGCCTAGTGGTTACCTGTACAACTTCCCTACGAACAAAAATTCTTATGTACTACATGGTTTTTGTAATAAAAGATGGAAGTCAAGGTTATCATTCCGGAGTAGTTTCAGCTATTGCCATATTGGTGAAAACCTCCTTACATTGTTGCTTTTGAGGGCGGTGACATTAAAGTTCCTGACAACGTTGAAACATTCAGAGGCACAACATTGCTTGAGAACCGTCGAAGAGGCTTTAAAGTTTAAAGAGTTAAAATATGCAATGGAAGCTAAACTTGAAGCCTTGGATAAGACAGGAAATGGGGGATAACTGGGAGGGCAGGCATCAAGGTCGTGGGAATTCACGATCAAGAACGACAGAAAACTAAAAGCTCGGTTTTGTGTTAAACGGTTTACTTATACTAAAGGACTATATTATGAGGAAACAAAGTCCCCGCTATATTGATAACTTGCTATTCAGTTATGATAGGGAGAGGTTAAAATTGTAAAGTACTACCTCTGAAGGCGTTTTCAAGTATTGACCATTTTAAAAGGGTCACTACAGTATCTCGCAAATTGCTCGAGACCTAATATTCAGTTAGAAATAAATAAACTAACTCGACGTTTTAAAGCTTATACAAGCCAACACTGGGTAACCGCAAAAGCGATGTTACTCTATTTAAAAGGAAGGCAAAAATAAGTATAAAAACTTTCCAATATTTTAAAGCTCTAGTTTGAAAAGTTAAAGTGTCAAATTTCTTATTTAAAGTTAATATCCTTTTGTCCCTAAATAATTCAATTGTTAAAATATTTTCCAATCTTAAAAATATATAAAAGTTAATGTTAATCGACCTTCGGGTTTAACAAGTTATTTTTATCCTTTTTTTGGTATTACCGGAAGCCCAAGCAATATTTTGCGTAACGACATGTACTTTGATCGTTTTCTTTTTATAAAAAAATAATATTTCTTAAATGTTCGATCTCTCAAAAAAACATTCAAGTGACGAGCTCTTAATAGGGTGACAGGGTACAAGATGGATTTAGGTTTGTACCAAAGCCATCATTTATGGAAACATATTCATTTGTCTCTAACTCTAAGCCCTACCGCATACGCAACAAAATTATGTACCATGCTCGGCATGGATAGCGTGCACCCCCATGGCTCGTAACTAAGCTTTTCTGTCATCATTACTCGCTGGTGGGCTCATTGCTTTTAAAAAAAGCTAACCAGGGGCTCTAACTGGAGAGCCTGGTGTAAAGCATCGTTTAGACAAATCACAGCGTCCGCACTTAATGCTTCAATGCGAAAAGGCTGTGCGTTGCATGCCTATCTAAACCGCTTCGCGTAGTTCTTACAATATAACTATAGTTCCTAAATTATAAATAACAGAGGGTAGGGTAGAACTGGAACTCTATTGAACCGCAACTCCCGCCTGATTTTAATTTTTCGAGAAAGTAATAATACTTTTCTTTTTGTTTGGACTTGATACCTCGCTAAATTGGGACATAAGTTAAAAAAATAAAACAAGAAGTGAATAATAATGTATAAAAATGAAAACCATTTAATAAGGTAAGGGCGCTATCCATTGCCATTCTAGGTTGTTTACTAGCTAATAGCACCCTTTTATAGTACTGAATCTACAGTTAGTCAAATTTCTATAGAATAGCACTTTTCACCAGCGATCGTCCAGATTTTAATCCGAAGACCAACCCGAAAGAGGTGCCTGTACTATAGGTATTTGAACTAGCTGTAGTATAGGCTCTAGCAAATAGTGCTATTAGCTTGTATACTACCTAGAATTGCAGTGGACAGGAAGATATGTTAGAACATCTTATCATTTACTTGAAAAATACAAGCAGTTAACATGTTTCAAATTAAAGTAAACGTTTAACCCCTCAACTACTATCTACGGGCCAGACCGGCCCAGACGAGTTTAAAATGCTTGTTATTTCTACTACGAAAAATTATATTAATGCCATTTGAAATTTTCCCTCAAAAAATATATATAATTACAGAATATTTTACCCCGATATGCTTAACAGCAACTGATAATTAGCAGCTTACAGGCAAGGTGGATTCGGGGGTATGACTTGCAATATTTTTTGAGAATTTTGCTTTTTTTTATGTTTCTTCTAATTTACCTATCAATAGAACTTATTACAGTATTTTCGTTGTAATAAAAATAAATTGTCAATAAATTACATATATCTCTTATTTACATTTATAATGGGTTAACATGGTCGATACGTATCCTTATGGGGACAGTACTCGAATTGACCTTCCATTATAACCTACACGCAGTCACGTGCATTTTCGGAACCTGGTTTTTAATAAGTATCGGGTAAAAAGTAGGATACGTAAATAACTATACGAGGGAAGTTAGTTTTTCATGAGGCTTAACGTTTCTTGCGATTCTAGTATTCTTTATTCCGAGTTCGAAGGCTACAAGCTAGTTAGAAGCAAAGAAGGTAGCGCCTGTTCAAAATGGAGTTACTCGCCTTTTCAAGCTAAAGGTTTAACTGCTGGTTTTCCTGATTGTTTGCTTTCGGGTCCGCCCATCTGCAGCAAAGCTATCACTCCAGAAAACTATTCAATTGAATTTTTAAATATTATTGCCTCACAGAATGGTTTTTATTGGGATCCTCACAGTTCTTTTGAGAGTATACTATTTGTAGATAAAAACGGGTTCCTAGTTCGCCTGACCTTTGAGGTCCTCCCTTTTTTTAGTTAAATTTTGTATGTTTAAAGTAGTTCGTGGTAGGAGAGAGTCAAAGAATTTAAGTTATTACAATTGCCAAACTTAAAAAGTAGTTCTACTATACCTACCATATTGGCTATTTCTTCTGATTTCATCGTTGTTGGAGATGGTTGTAGTACTTTATACTTTCTTGAGCTTCAGAACGGCGAGGTAACTTATATTAATTTGTTAATATATATACCCTTCTAAATATTTAATATATACTTTAATGAGTAAGTTCCTCTGAGAGGAGTGTTTAGAAGTTTGGTTTTCTTAATGGTCCTTATATATTATATTTGCAACTTTTAATAGTTGGGAATAAGCTACGAGCAGCACCTTGAGCATTGCTTCACCTTTAAGCTTCTAGCAGCAGATAAAAAAAAGGATATAATTGTGTTACTTTTCTGGAGCTCAAAGCACGAGGGTTTCGTTGTTTATTTTAATTATAATATTAACTTCTAAGCTGTCTTTGTAAAATTAGGAATAATAAAAAAAGGAAGCGTTTTTTATCCCGTCCAAATATCTCTTTTAACTTTGAAAAAAAAAAAATCAGAGGAACAGAAAGTTGCGTATAAAGTAGAGTCCAATATAACTGTTTATGGATTCAGCTTTCCCAGCTTTGGGCAGATCTCTGGAGATTTTGACAAATTTGCAGTTCTAACAAGGGGCAATTTTTTCTATGAAGAGTTATTTTGTTATTTTTATGAATTTCAATTTTTGGCTTTTTTTAAATTTAATTACTATATAAAGAGGGGAAGAGCCTGAGAATGCGGTATGTCTGCAATTCTCTCGAAGTAGTGTATACTTTTATAAACTTTTTATTGACTTTTTAATAAGAATGAAGACGATTCACTACAAGTGTTAGTCTTTGGCAGCTCCAAGCAAGAACTTACCAGATTTTTCTTTTCTGGTAGTTCAAAGTTTATGCTTGCCTCGCCACCTAGTAAGTATGAAAATATACTTCAATCTTCATTTTATATTTTATTTGAAAGACGAAAGAAACAGATCGTCTTTCGGTGTTGAGAGCGGCGTTGATTGCCTTTTTTATGAATTGAGTGACGATCTTTCGGGTTTTTCCGTGTTTCGGGTTTTCTCCTTTTTTTTTTATTCTTAATTTTTAAATTGTTTAGAAGTGAAACACACAACCACCTTTCCCGCCTTTGCTTATATTCTCGAATCGAAAGAAAACAGCAAGTATGTCTCTTGTGACATGCTAAAGAATTACGTGGCTGTTTGCGAGTGCTCGAGGTTATTCGCTTATCTTTTTTTTAAGGCGCTGATTTTAAAAATCCATAAGGAGGCTCTATATTTATTATAAACCAGAATCAAATTCCTTAACCGGCATTCAACGCGTCATCGAGTTGGATGATCCGGAAGGTGATTGTATTGCTTGCCTGCTTAGCCCTTCTTATAGAGCAACTGCTTTGCTATAGAGATAATAGGACTCTGCCTAACAAAAAAATTTATAATTGTCTCCACTAACCAATGCCTGCACTGCTTCGATAAAAGCGCTCTTGATATCGAACCGGCAGGGGTGCCATAAAATCTTAACTCAGCAATTGTGGATGACTTTTAATTTTATTGCTATAATTATTATTCTCCTTTTTTAAATACCACATAATTTGCCTTTTTTTATGTTTTTATTTACGTTGAAATTTTGCACGGTTCTTTTTAACACTAGTCACTGTAGTTAGGAAGCAGTACTAACAAAAGGCCCTAAAACCCCTCGTGATGCAGGTGTGATGGCCATTAAAATAAATTATATTTGTCTTTATTTTTTTGTAAGCAGAGCCTCAATTAAACACTTTTACATAATGATGATGGTAATAAAAAAGTAACGATCTAGGAATCAGAAAATATAAACAAGCCGTAATAGAAAAAAAAACATAATAGGTAGTAGACCCACACCGAGAAGAACGGGAGTATGTATATCTAGTCCTTTCAACAGCGGGCTTACCATTTTCTTGTACAACGAGCTTAAATTTGAGAGACTCTATTCGCTGTAATAGGGAACTCAATGGTCAGCGCAACTATTTTAATATATTTATAATAAAGTTAATAAGTGCTATAGCGGAAAGTTGCAGGCCTAAAGGTTAATCTGCTATCTAATGATAGAATTGAGTTTGTTGGCGTTTAGAGTTTACTTCTTTTAGCGAAACAGAAAACCAATAAAAGACTCGTTATAAAAAACAAACATGAAAGCGCATTTAATAAAGTAGAGGGTTGGTTATGTCCACTGGCTGGCCAACTTTTTCTTGTACATCAACTCTCTTACTATTATGCAAGCCACGATTAGACCTGCCGTCGTCATGACCAACATCGGTTTGTTGAATCCTTCACTCAGCGTATCGAACGTGCCGCTGGGCGTTATTCGAGTACTGTACAGGCCTAACCCATAAGCAAATACAAGACCTGCAAAGGGGAGTGAGGAAGTAAAAAAATGTAAAAAAAAAAAAGATACCAAGCGACTCCAATCTAGTGGTGGACGTAATAATATTTTTTATATGAGGTACCTGCCCAAAAAAAAAAGTAACGCGTAATTAATGTAACTGTTAAAGCGCGTACCGTGCGATTGTAATTGATAACATTAAGCGGATCCATAGTGTGAACAGGGCTGTAAACGGGAACGCCTGCTTTTGGTAAATATTTTTTGACTAATTAACTAAAAGATAAGCAGACCTGGAATTGAACTTTTATCGGCTGTTGTCCGTCGAGTGTCGAGAAACCTCTTATCTAGTGCATAAAGCTGGCCATTATTAAGGCCCAACAAAAGTTGCTTCATGGTTATGCCTGCAGAAAAGCAACAGTATTATAGTGTCCATAAAAGAGCAAATACTTGAAAAATTTTAACCTTGTTTGGTTTGCGTGACAGAGGCACATGAAAGACCTTCAAAAAAATAATAAGACTGGCGCACCACCACCGGATTATTTGCAAGGAACGATGAAAAAGGCTGCCTTTATAACGAAACGTTCAAGAATTGGCTCAGCAATTGACAATAATCTTACCAACTTGGTCTTTTCTCAACGGGCTTTTGTTCGTATAAGTCCAAAGAAACAAAGATATATTTCATTTCCTATTGGTTAAAAAAAGTAGTTGCAGGAATAGACGGACAAAAGCGCGGCAATCTACCAGAGAGTCCCAAAAATGATAGTACACCGAATTCTCTGAGTGAACTATAGTTACCGGACGTGTGGCCGTAAAGCGCGGATGAAAAGTGCGGTGAAGAAGGCGACCAGTTACCGTATCGATGAGATAGACGACCAGTTCGCTGGCTTGTTAGAAAGGGCTTTTATAAGAGGACAAAATCACGTGCACGAGAGAAAGACCGGCCGGCGAATGGGTGGCCACAGCAATCATATTGGGATTCAGATACTTGTAAAGAAGATTGCCACGAGAGTCGACCGACTTATACAGAACCTTGACTTGCTCTGCACACGTGTGGAAAAGTCAATATAGCATGTGCAGAGAAGTATCTTTTTCATAACTGAACCATAATGCCGAGGAGAAGAAACCGTAAGCATCGTCTCTTCGAGGAGCGAAAAAGTGACACTCCATGCAGGAACAGATTTTAAAACCTGTAGAGAGGAAATACATTTAAGAGTATTTTAACAAAAGAAATCTTTGAGAAGGATTACAGACTCGTTTGTTATAAGTAGTCGACGCCCGTCAAGTTTACCGGTGCTTTTATTGACAGAGTAGAAGAACAAACGAGGCGCCGCACGCAGAGCAAGTGATATTGCGTTGGGCGTCTTTGGCCACACGTGGGCCTGCTTACAAAGAGAATTCTTCTCAGAACAGTGGAAGACTCGAGCTGCACTAAGTAAGGACTTCTTCTTTGTAACTTAAAAATATTGTTGGCTTATTATAGCCGCCATCTACTTCGTTCAGCACCAGCGCGTGCTTTACAGTGAAGGGGACCTCATAACGTACCACACTGCCATGCAGGGGATCGAGCTCGTATATATAACTCTGGCCACCCTGTAAATTGGGGAAGTAGACTATTGCCTAGGGCTAGCAAGGAAGACGACTACCCTATCAGAGCAAGAAAGGAGGCATAAAGGCGGAAGGCCAAGAGGACTCGGGAATCTCGTGACTGCAAACACGTCTCCAGCGGAGACTACAAAATCTAAAAGTGAGAAAAGCAAGACAGTCTAATAAAAGACGCCGCCTCGATTCGAGTAAATTACCCTCGTGAAGGAGAACACTCCATAAAAGGCTGCCTTTGTCAGAAGAGAGTCCATATATTTTACCAGTGGAGGAGACACAAACAATAACTTTAGAAAAAATATTATTCATCACTATAACTACTAAAGCATGTGCCTATACGTTTCTTAAATCCAAAAAAATCCGAATTGTGAAGTGGGTCCCCTTTCATTATAATCTTGTTGCTAAATAAATCTCCGAACAATAGATTTCGGACAAAATCCTGCACGGCTGGTAAGTGGATATAAAAATAAGCAAAAAAGATTCTTAAGCCTTGAATTGCAAAGCCTGAGAAGAAATTCTCTTGATAAACTTGCTCAACGGTGAGTCTGCTATAAAATTAAGGCTATGAAAAAAGGAGAACACAAGGGGAGGTGTGTAGGACCTTCATTGACGCCGAATTCTTGAACCAACAACTTCATCTGCGCTGTATTCGGGGGTAGTCCACAAAAAGTGACCTCCTAAAAAGAGACGAAAAATTTATATACGAAAAGATGGTTGAGAAGTGAAGAGACACAATAGTGGCGAGTCCCTCCTCACGCGTGTACACGTGGCCATTGTCGTTGAAGTGGATCAACGCATGGTCCGAGGTGGTGACAAATGCTAGGATACTAGCACGGTTGACGTATAAAAGTACCTGTTGTTTCAAAATATGAGAAGTAATAGGTCAAGCTACTCAAAAAAAAATAACGTTATTCAAAGAAGCATGTGACGAAGATGCAGGCAAAACCACAGTTTGTTCATGCAAGACGCGAAAAGAAGTACTTTCAACGCAGGAAATCTCGCTGTAAAGTTTGTTATTCTAGACAAAAACCTAAGTGAAAGCATTAATTTAATTAAAATAAAAACAACCTGCAATAGAAAAACTCTACTGATGTAAGTTTTTCTCTGCGAAGGAGAATGGTGAGAACCGAAGATCCCTGCTTTACCCTTACACCATAGAGAATACAAATCAGCAGGCACAAGGCTCGTAGTATAGCTCCGAAGTCAGCCAACCTTCCACAGTTTGGTTACTGAGAGACTCCCGTTTTTCATACTCATAAGAGCAACAAGCTCCTTAAATTTTAGAAAAAAATATATATCGTCAGCATTCTGTAAAGTAAATTGTAGATTGATTCCTTCACTTTTGAAAAGCGCCTATTATATATAAATGTATATAAATTATTTGTCGCTTATTTTAATAATTAAAAGAGGCAAACCTCAAGAGAATGTTGCACTGCTTGAGAGCCCGGCAGCAACAGCCGGGAGCAAAGGAAAGCAGGCCGACAGGCATAGAGTAAGTGACCAGCAACAATTATATAATCGCCAGATGGAACTGGAGGCCCCAAAAAAACCAGCTGCGCAAGCAACAGTTAGTAGAAAAAAAAGTAGAAATTGAAATTAATACGTTAAGCAGCTCAGAAGATAACGCACTCCTTTCTAAAGTTACAGGGAGCGGTACAATTTCGTTATCTCTTCGAGCCACTAGAGTCAAGTGGTTTGCGCCATCCAGAAAGACTCGCTCGCCTATCCAGCTTTCGTTTTAGCTTAAAATTTGTCTTTTTAAGGAACGAGCAAAAAAAAGGCTACCCGCGAGGGAAATGCTGGTAATATTCTTTCCTCCCGCTTTTTAAATCAAATACATTTAAAGACTTCTCTCTTAAAACAAATATAAAAGGCCTCCCTTGCAACTTCACTATCCGCAAGTCGATGCCTGGAGAGATTTTAAATTGAAGCTTTACTAGTTTATAATTAAAAAAAGTGATTTTTTTGGTGCTAACGAGTCGACATTTAAAATACTCGGAATAATTACAAACAGGAAAGAACAAAGAATAATAAAAAGTAAACAGGAGTTTATAATTTAAAAGAAAATTTGAGGTGAATCACGTGATACTTAGTTCCGAAGTGGAAGAAAAAACTGTCTCCCAAAATATATCGCCGTTATGTACATTCCAGGCACGTAGAATTCCATGGAAAAGAGTGACCGAGACTGAAAAGTTACTAAAGTTTTTAAATATAGATAAAAAGAGAAGTGAAACTAAACTGTTCTTATGCGAGTCTACTGAAAGAGGCTTCTCTTTTTTTGAAAAAACTTTTAACCAATCTAAAAACAAATATTAACTATAAACCCACAGCTAAAGAAGTTCACAATAACAGTAAGGTACCAATCTCGCCGCTAACTGTGACGGAAGCTAAAGAATGACGTTCCGTTAAAACTAAAAGGCGTCTGAAATCTGTGCTATATTTAGCTTTAATAACGTTTCCTATATACTGACGGTACCTTTTTTCAGCAAAAAGAGCAATAACTATCATGAAAATTATATACCGCAAAAATTACTAAAATTACCAGCTAAAGGAATCAATTTGATCCTCGTATATTACGCATAAGCACAGTTGTAGTAAAACGCCCAAAAAGAAGGCAAAAATTCCGAGTTTCATGGAGACCTAACCTACCGTGGCCCCGCTAGAATAAGAATATATCCCCTGATGCAGGTTTAAGCCACTGGCATATATCATCTGTAAATGTGGCCCGCGCACCTTGTCTCCTTAAAATTTGGAAAAGTATTTGACTTACTTACATAGTGCTTCATATGAAATATACTTATATATATTAGAAAACTTAAATTAGGTAAATTAATAACTACTGACTATATATAACAGACCTTATATATAAATAAATTATTTATTATTATTTTTTTTTCTTTCTAAAAATATATATTTATCTTTACGTTAACTATGAGTCCCTCCTCTGACTAACTTATAGGCTATTGTTGAAGAACTCAGAAAAGAGTTACATATTACTGAGGCAAAGCCTCTTGACGTTACTAAAAAAAACCCTGGATAAAAATAAGTCGAAAAGGCGAAAGGAGCCTTTCAAAAATATAACTATCAATAAAAAATATTGTATTTGCCAAATGCTTTTGAAGTGATACTAGAAGGTAGGAAAATTTTAAAGGTTACAAAAAATGAGTCTTTCCACGATCGTATAATTAATATTAATAATAGTAGTAGCGGCAGTAATCTTAAGACTAATGATTCCTGCGTCAACTATATTTATATAATTGTTAGCAACCACCAGAAATAGTAAAATTAACAATGTTAGAGTAAAAATAAAAATATTAGTAGAAATAATAAAAGCAATAAGTTTAATCCTTAAAAAAAAAAATAATAACTCCAATACGGGTAACGTCGACTTGAAAGCTCTTAGAGACTCAGAAACGCCCTCTAGAGCTTTACATAAAACCGTTGACATTGAAATGGGCAACGTTTTTAACACTACCCCCACCTTACTAATGTACGACCACCTTATGAGTCCCCCTCTCTATGAACTGAGAAAATCCCTCTAATTACCCATATCAATAACAAAAGTGACCCCTTCTTGTACAACTTTTGCAAACCAACGACGTCATGATCCCGAGTCCAAGAGATACGCTTTTACACAGCAAAAGTACCTATTAATTATCTGAAGACAAGTCATTTAATTTTCTTATTTGTAGAATTTACTGTATAATGACATTTCCTCCATTCGAGGAGGACCTGCACTTGCAAGACATAACACCCCTCCGGGTGGCACGAGTTTATACGGACATTTTTGATGGTGAACGGAAGAAGCTTCCGTTACTATTAGTGCTGGTGCATACACCCTAAACCGAACGACAAAAGCTATTAGGTTCAAAGACTATTTCCAAGTTTCAAGCCATAGTAGAACCTCGAAAAAGTAATTGCGTTGGCCAGTGCCACCGCTGCCAGATCTTTGGCCACGTTGCAAGCCATCGCCCCTGCGGCGCCACGGTGCGTCAAATGAGTTGAGGGTCATTTGACCGCGAAGTGTATCAAGGTACAGAACTCACCTACTAAATATACGAACTGATACGACTTGCGGTGAGATTCCTACCGCCAACTTCCGGTGCTGCAAATGTTACCCGCGTTGGCCTTTAACAGTTCAGCAATCTACGCGACCACCACATCCGATTTCCACTCTGGATGATACTATTACCCCCACTTCATCTTATGCTTCCCACCTGAGAGCCAGACCGCACCCTGCGAATAATCATACATTAATAATGCAGACTCAATACGCCACAAAAACAAGAATAGCGATCGCAACTAAATGTACAGCAACTGTTAGCTTTTTCAACGACGAATCTTTTGTCCATGCTCGAGACCACCATGAAAAGCTTAGAATTTGTTTGCAATAAATTTTAAAATGTCATCGCGTAATCACATCCAATTATAGTTTAGGAATGCGTAGAGTATCTAGAAGAAAAAACCGGAGTTCCAGAAGTTAATGCAACGCGAAAGAATAGATCTCTGTGTCTGCAACCTTGCGACTTATCGTCAGGATCGGTTGTACACCAGTAATGGATGGAAGCTCTCCTTTTCAAGCGAAGCAACCTACACAATTCAACAGCATTACCAGCTCTCCAAGGGATCGCGGCAGTTGCTATTACCCTCAGCCTGACTAGACAGGGGCCCATGACTGAGATTGCAACCAATAAGCCTCCCCAGTCAACGTTGTTCGGTCTTGACGCTCTTTTTAGTGCATGACTCTCCCACCGTTCTATGCGGGGATTTTAAATTCATCCTACGTGGAAGAGCCGGGTCGCAAATAGGAATAGCCACATCTTTGAAGAAGCGGGTTGAGAGCCCTAGAGCCTCAGTTGCCAGCACAAATGGGGAGGAAGACGGCACCTCAGACGTGTTGGATTCGCGATGTTAAAAAATATATGCCTCACAACGGCTATTGAGGCCCTGAATAAATTGTCTTCGGATCATTTGCTTGTCCTGCTCGAGTTGGGCAACGAAAAGGAGACAAATTTCCGATTCAGACGAATTGGAAAAAATGCACCGTAGTGCTCGAGAAGGCGCTTCCGCCGTTTTCGACACCACACAGAAACCCCGTTGAACTAAACAGTGCTGTTGTCGAATATGAGCGCGCGATGACAGAAACTTACAGCAAAGTAATGACAAAACGTAACGTTGCGTAGCGCACTAAACGCTTCCCTGAGGACCAAAGCTATTAATATGCGAGCGACGGCGACTCATCCGAGTAATCATGACTTTTCAACGCGCAGAAGATAAACTACGGCTAAACCGCGTTCCCGGCACACCAGGGAAAATGGCGCATATAAACTGCCAATGGGGTAACAAATTAAACGAAGTATCGTAAGCTGGTGACCTCGGTGGAACCTCCTTTTCGATTTTACAAGCGAGTTAGAATTCGCGAACATTCCACTCGGCCACCAATTTGCAACGGCGAAGCATTGATGACAAAGCGAAACTTTTTGTTGATTATCTAACTGCTCAGTGTTTTCACCTTCTATCCCCTCAAACGTCGTTAACGCTCCCCTTTCGCCTAATCTTACCTTGTCTGAACAACTGATTTCTGGCACTGGTCTACCACAGCTGAGGTCAAAGCAGTTTTCAAACCACTACAGAAGTGAAAGGCGCCTGACCTCAACGGCATTACTAACTTGATACTAAAACAACCGCCAGAAGCTGCTGTGAACCATTTATGTGACCTCGTCAACTCGGTGTTGACCTTTGGCTATTTTCCCGGGCGATGAAAAATGGAGGTAGTCGTGATGTTATCAAAGACATCGCAACTGGCATCGTGCCTCGCAATTGTCAACCCAACGGCCTTTTGTAGGCAGTTGGTGAGGTAGCTGACGCAGTGATACTTAAAACATTTATAGGCGTTTGTGGATGCTCGTGGAATTTTATTAAAGTTTTGTTTGAACTTAGTAGGAGACTTTCAACGACCCCACAACTTTTTTAGCCTAACCGAGTGGATGCCCCAGGGCCTTTAATTTTCAAAAAGAGTACCGACTCTGTCTTTTACAATGTCGAGAGGGCTTTTGACCGTGTATGACATGGTGGCTTGTGGTGCAATCTACATGCTCTGGCGATACCGTGCAGTCTTCGAGAAGTTCTCAAGTCGTACCTAAACGACCAACTTTTAAACGTGCGAGTAGTCGCTGCATTGTCGTTGCCTCGCTATCTTACATGGAGAGCCCTGTAAAGCTCTTCTTCTAGTACGACGCTATTCGCGCTCTATTAGAGTGATATTTCTCTTCCATTGCACCCTCACACGCAGCTCGACATTTACGCCGACAATACAATGATTTCTTCATCGTCAAAATCATCCGTTTTACTATGTCAGTACTTACAAATATCTTTACACGCTTGTAGCTGTTGTGGTCAATGGGGACCCCCCGTTAACGCAGCAAAGAGCAAGGCGCTTTTTATAACGAAGAAACGCCATGCGCTGCTGACTCCATTAACTTTTAAAGGAATGGAAATTCCGTGTTGTTCTCAGGTAAATTACTTGGGGGTTATTATAGATTCTAAGTTGTCAAGGCGCCCGGCGGCCAAAGTCAAGGCAGCGATTTAGGTGTTGTATCCTATACTTTGAGCAAAAGTAAGATCCTGTTGGGCAAAGTAGTAGCTTAATGTGCTGTGCATTCAGTCAGTTATGGCTTACGTTTCTCCTGTTGGGGGCGAACGATTTTTTGGCAACCGAACGTACTCGCTTTAAGTGGACAAAATTAACTACCGCGCCTTTTAACAGAAGCGCCGTGGTTTGTGCGCAATGTCACTTTACCACGAACTACAGTGTGAGCTGCTGGCCTAAATTTTTAAAAAATGATGCCCAGCGCCCTCTACGAAAGGATAGCTGTGTTAATCGCCTTTTGGCGGAAGTACTTACAAGTTGTGGGGACGGCGCGCTCTTAGCATGACGAGTTGGGGAAGATAATTATTTTACTTGTACTAGTTGGACGACTAAAAGCTGTTTAAGGGCTCGTGTATTTAAGTTGTTAACCGTTCGAGCACCGGGAAACGCCTTTTTTGTGTAAGTAAATAAATAAGCCACTGACGGCTTTCTTAGAATAACGACCCTCTAGAAATACTTTTTTCTGGTTAGCATTTTTTTTACATACCAGCGAAAAAAAAATTTTAATAAGAGAGTATGAAGTAAAAATGCTGATAATTTAAACAGAGAAATAAATATTAGTAGTTTAAATTTAGTTAAAAAAATGTTTTGCAGAAGTTCGGAGAATTAAAATATTATAACATTTAGTCTAACCGTAAGCAAGTTATGGGGTATTCATTAATATTGATATCTTTTTTGTAAGCCCCTAGCCCTGCCTTTACTATTAAAAAATTTCATATAGTGCATTATGCGAAAAGCTATAGTATGCCCCATCGCCTCGCTCGTACCAGTTAGCGGTTTGCAGAAAGAAGTACGCATTGAAAACGTTAGATTTTCGCAGGTGATTTCGATGTCAAAACATTGTTTTACACGAACCAAGGCACACCCCTCATGACGCACGATTGCTGGTGATGCCGAACTTAAAAATGCTAGAAAACTATCGGTAGAGAACTGCAGGTCCGCAGCAGATACCTATGTTAAGATTAGCCAAACGCAAAGGGTTTGTTCTTAGCGCAAAAAGAAGAATAGCCTTGGAGCCACATTACCGTGATCTCTGCCTACTAATTTACTTGAGGGCGTCATGACGATATATTATCGCTGGTCTAAGAAATTTTTTTTTCAAAGTTACTGTAGTGTGGATGTTCTAGTGAAACTCTGGGGGCTTTAAAATCATACCCGAGTGGTATTTATATATAATTAGGCAACTAGCCCGTCAGCATTATAAGGTGCAGTGCTCTTAGTAAGTCCATATTTGTTTGAGAATTCAGCATACTTTTCTACTCATTTTTAAGGTTAAGAACTTTTCTTATATTGATTATGAAATGCCTTCTAATGATTATTCCCTAAACGTGTTCACCACAGTTTGTATAGCTTTTTCAGGTTCCATGCCGCTCAGAGAATTATATGATATCATTTTAAAAGTGGTCCGAATTTTCACTTCTTTACTTAATACTAAATTCAGGGCTGTGCATTCTCTTCCCGTCCAATCTGAAAGGACAAAGCGCCGAAAACGTGGGTAGTACTAAAACGAGTGATTCCATGGGGCTCACTTTACCAGTGCAGGATAAAAGAATGCTTTAGGTATTCGGTTTGTTACCTCGTTTGAGCACCAGAAATACTTAGTTGGAAACAACTAAATCCTTGATTTTGCGTAAAAGTTAGAATGTTATAATCTTTCAGCATGAATTCAGCGGGTAAGGTCCTGAATCGGCCGAGGAAGCCTGCTATAGGAATGAAAGACTATTATAGCCTTGAAGAGATTATAATAACCGAAGAAGTACTATTCAATCCTAAAGTCACTCTCATTTTTATTAATTATTATAAATTATAAAACTTGTTAAAGCACATTTCTAGTACTCTTTTAACTGACGTCAAAGGATTTGGTTTTTTAGATCCTTCAAGCGCCGAAATATACGTATTTTTTTTTTGTTAATTATAAACCAACTTTTTCACCTCACAAAGTTGCGGGCAGGCGCGAAAATTGACTTACCTTTGTGGATGGTAGACGTGTTAACCGCCAGGTTGTTTACGGAACTATTATTACCCTCTAGCAGTTAGCCTTTAATTTTCATTCCAACATTAATATTTAAAAAAAAATTGAAAAAAATTATATATATACTACTTAAGCGCTTAAAAAATATTTTTTAGGAACTTCATTAAAAGCGACATACCCAAGATTTTTAGTGATAAATATCAGGAAAGGCTACATGCTGGTGCACAGGTAATACCTTTATCCGGATGGTGCACGCACTATTATAGACTAGGGATTCTTGTAACAAAGCTGTAAGTTTTTTTTATTCTAAAATCAGTTGTTCTTAACTTTCAAACGTTACAGTTTAAAACTTGAAAACCTGGCTGGTCTTTTGAAAGAAGTAAGCGAGCCTTAGAAAGTAATAAATGTGTTTACACAGTTTTTTAGGTTTTTCGAGTGCGTTTTCGACATATTATTCTTTCTGATCACTCCACTGAAACTGACTCCCGTGAGATGGCTAAAAGTTTAACTTCGATGGAACAATTGCGTACCCATCCATTTTTAATAATAAAATGTGATTAGTGTTATTTCTTTTACTTTATAGTGGTAAACTGTAAGCTTCGTTCTCAAACAAATTTTATGGCGTGGAGGAAAAGAAAAGTTTCTTTAAACTTAAGAGCTTCTAAATATCTTGCATTAGATAAAGATGAAGAGGATGAATACCGATGATTTTCTACTGCTTTTTTAAGTGTTCAGTTAATTTTGAAAGTTTGGATTAGGCTTTTAAAAAACCGTCGCTCTGGTTAATTTATAAACTATTGGGCTGTAACTCGCTAAAAGACATAAAAACTTTTTAAAATTATTAGGATCTATTATTAACTTAACTTTACATGTTTTTGTGTATATATTTTGATATAAACTTAAACCTCCCCTTCCGGCGCTGCAGCCTTGACTACAGTTTTAGTTTAGCAGATGATTAGGAAGTTAAATTTGTTGTACTAAAATAGGGCCGTCCATCTATCCAAATCTATATTATCTAGTGGCGAACAGGCAGTATGCCTAGTGTCTGCCATTTAAATTTTAGGTGCTTTTACAACCTTGATAATCATAGATAATTGCATAGGCTTCCTTTACAAGATTTACTTGGGAGGGGAAAAAGTTATTTTTAAAATATTTTCAAACCCTCTTACAATGAAGAGTTCGTACAGTTGTTATGAGCTTTGAAAGGCGGACCTTTTACTAAGGCCTGCAGGGTTATTAACGTATGAGCTGATAAAATTTTCCAAGACCATAAATTTACCTTAACATATCTAAAATAACGAAAGTCTCTTTGGAAAATAGATGCTTAAAAAAATAAAAAAAATATTATAAAAACAAGTTTTGACTATATTTAAAATGTTTTTAAGCGGGTACACGATAAGGAAAGTTTTACCTTATAAAATGAATATAACTAGAAATAGCCCCCTTTTTTATATTAAAATAGTAGGAGTTTCTCCTTAAACAGTTTCCTTATTATAAATATTTTAAGTAAAGACACGTTATTTGTTTCCGTTTCCGCTACTACGTCAAAACAACTATTATTACATCGTTTATTTTATTCGAGCTGAAAGAGTAGAGATAAGTATTATTATTCTATTATTAATTTTTTTTTATTTTATATTTTTTTTAAGGAAGCTATACTTGAAATTTCTAACTTTTAAGGTTATTTGAATAATATCGTCAACTAACAAACTTGATTTCAATTGTATCACTTTAAGCACAAAACTTTTTAATCATATTATAAACCTTTTACCATCGTTTGTTACCCCAAGTCCTTTTTATTTCTTATTCTTCCAGTGTTTATTTTTTTAAAATTGCTTTAACGAAGTTTTTTAAGGATTATCTCTCTCCGCAGCTTTTTAGCACGCTGGAAAGATTCCCACGGCATGTAATGGCTGGGGGCTCCCCAACATCGCGTAGAATGCAGTGTTGGTGTCAAAGGCGATGTATGACTCGCTGACGGGCGACTCCATTATATAAAGCAGCTATATATATGTATAGTAAAGTTTAGGGCTTAAGTGTTTTTTGAGCCTATAAACTTTTATATGTACCCTATAAAGTGATGATAGTATCTAATTTATTTTTAATAAAACGCATAGCAATACGTTCTTATACAAATTGTATACGCAATTTATAAATCGATAAATGAGTCACCGTAGCTCAGTGGTTAGAGCATTGTCACACAATCTCAAGGTTGCGGATTCGAGTCCCGTCGGGGCCAGCTCGCGTCTTTCTGGTTTGGTGGTTACGTGTACTACTTCCCTACAAAACAAAAGTTCTTATGCCTTTAGTCTTTACACTTATATATGTTTTCGGTGATTTTAAGGTTTACGGTTTCCGGCTCTTGTTTTCTATATTACTTTTTTTTTAGGGCATAGTGGGATAACTTATATATTATACTTTTGAACCAAAAAAGACCTTGAAAATATAAAACTGTAATTGGCTATAGCTTGTAAGACGGATAATAGAAAAAAATTGTACTACCATCTGTTGGAAGTATAATAACATCTGGGTGATAATTATAATCGTTTTTTGATACCATGTTAACCGGGGTGAGTTCACTTGACTTTAATCGACTGATTAAGAATTAATAGAGTTTCCTCTTATTTAGACCCCAATATGTTATACAAGAAAAAAAATAAAAATATAGATTAAACCGTTGTAGATTATGTTCTACGAAGACTATAATTGTTCACAAGTTCTTGTCTATAATTGACCTTCACTATATATATGGAAGGTTTGACACCGCAAACCAATTGCTCCCGTACAGTCAATGACCGTAAATATTCTATGGTTATAATTAATTTAATAAATTTATGTAAACTGAATTTGCAATTGTTCTTCAATAAAAGGTAAAGCATCCATGTGCTGTGGGGTGCTTATATTTTATATTTTTAAAAACCAAAAGTCGTAGAGATTATAGCTTTTCGACTATAATTTTTATTAATTAATCACTTTAAACAAAAAGAGTGATAGTTCCTAAAGGTTATATTAGGCTAGATAAATAAAGAGTTAAGCATAATAGCACCTTATGACAACTAATGAAAAAAGTATTGTATACTCCGGATGACAAGACACCTTGTCCGCTACTCTTATTTAATATTTTTCTAGCAATGATTCTATTAATCATTATTATATAATTTTTATTTATCACCATAAAATTTCAATCTAATAACTATACTGTGGCTAACTTTTTTGGTCTTATGCTTTTTTTCAAGACTATTATAATTAAGAAAAGAGTTTTTTTTAGGCATTACAAAGCTTATAACCTTTATTTTTTCTAATTATTTATCCAAACTTATCTATTTAGTACAAAAAAACTTTGGTTGACAAATATACAAAGCTTACTTTTTTTAAAAGCAGATTTATTAATAAATTTTTTTCTTCGATGTTGAATGCCTTTATGGAGAAAAATAGCTTGATAAGTAACCCACTTTTAAGCCATAGTTAATTCTTGTTTCTACGTGCGCTTAGGCTACTTGAGCCCGTAAAAAAGGAATGAAAGGTTCATGGTACCCTCGTCGACTGGGCGTATCTTTGTTTACAGAGGGGTATGTTAAGGTCCTGAGTAGTAGTTCTGTTCTACAAGTTTTCGGGATTTGAGACTTTTAAACTTTATACGTCATCAATAATGTATTACGATGCTAAAAAAGCAAACTCTAGGTAGTAATATTATATAAAACTACCTTTATATTAATAAAGTTTATAATATCGATAGGAATGCATATTCTATGGACTCTCAGTACTTTTCCCATGAGTACGTTTATAGTTAATTGTCCATACTAACTTATAATAAAAATAAAGAGTAATAATTTTAGAGCTGACGAGAGAAAGCACTCGGTAATAAATTTATATGATAAAGTAGAAGCTTTGAAATTGGTAAAACGTCCTTACAGTACATGTATACAATATAAATTGTTTTTAACAAAAAGTTGCTTTTAAAAAAATTGAAACTTATACAATTATTTTTCATAAGCAAGCTAACGGTATTGGCTCAGAATTAAGAAGACAGAATGAATGGATCGATACTCATGTACTAAATTAATGCTGCCGCCTTACATTTTTACTATTCAACTTCTTATTTTACTGCTACAGTCGGGAGACTTCGAAAAAGCCCGGAATTTTCTTAAAAGTTCAATTACTCGTGTAAAAAAATTATCAACAAAGGGATGTGGAATCTATTGCTACTTATTAGTATTCTGTGTTTTCTTGTTTTTAGTTCTTTACCTTGTAAAACGTCGGTGACATAGCTTTAAATATAATTACAATTAAAATGTGACGCTTATTAAGTAATACATAAATTTGTAAACCAATAAAAGTTTTAACTCAAAATTATACTTTCAAGTACAAAATACTGAATAAAAGTTTTGATTGTCTAAAAAATTTTTCTTTGTGGCGCACGCCTCAACCGAGGTTTAAAACACTTTCAGTTATATAACCACTCGCTTTAATATTCCCAGCACAAGAGCCCTTTTATGCTTATTTTAAGTTTTATTAAAGGCCACTTTTTTTAAACCAACAAAACAACTGACCAATTATAAAGGTCGTTACCGTTCTCTTCTCTAGGGCTCGCGCAGGAAGTAGTCTGCCTACCAAATTCTGTCCGCTTATTCTTCACATAGTACTTCATATGTTAGTATGACAGAAGTTAGTGGGATATATATGTTATGTGAATACAAAAGAAATTTTAATAAGACAACTCACTCTAGAACTGTAACCATTTAAGTTTAACTACCTAAACACCGCGTCTTGTATTTCTTTATATTAGTTATAAATTCTTTTGAATTTTAACTCACTCATCAGACGTTCTAAAGCCGCCTTTTCCTCTCTTATTATATTTATCAAAAAAAAAAAAAAAAGAGAAGTTCATTTTCAGCGTCGAGTTATCAGTGTTCTCAAACCTTTGTCAAAATTTACCACAGCTTCTTGATCAACTTATAAACGCAACATTAAAAAAAGGTTTATAAATAAAGTAAAAAGTTAAAGACCATATTGATAAAGGTGATAGAAATGAAGATACTGTCTAGCGTAACTAAGAAAAGAGCTTCTTTTCTTATGTAAATAATTTGAATACAATAATACGGCCTTAAAAATAAATTTCACCGACTATTACTCCCTCTCTCTCACGTGGTATATCTAACTTTAGTGGCTATTTGTGTTATCTAAATAGGAACTTCGGCAAGGCGTCACAACATCCGACAAACGCTTTCTAGCGGTGCAGTATAGCGACTGCTGAAAAGAGACTAATGAGCCAGTATTTCTTGGAGTGGACGGCTTATGTAACGCTTTCGACAACATCATAAAATTGGCGGGCAGTAAAATTAAATTATTCCCATTCAAGGCAATTGCTTCGTTATCACATTGGTAATGCTGTTTGGGCCAGATACCCTCCGTCTCATAGAGCTTTGACAATCTTTTCAAATCGGTTAAGATGACCAGCTTAAACGTTTTTCAACATCGGCAGTAAAACTTAAATAAAGAAATGGTTCAATAAAAAGTGAAGACAGGCTCCACTAACTGAGCATTGAGATTGTCTTTAAGAAGTTTCACCTTATTCTTATCGTTTTACATCACAAGACAGCAATGGCGCAGAGTAGTAATATACGCCCATGGCTTTTGTATCTCTTAACCCTTCGTTAATGTGTTTGAAAATACTGGCACTATAATGGGGATGAGGTATGGGGCCATCCCCTTCCCCTCACCACCAAAATAAAAAGTAAAAAATCTAGTTTATTTACTTTGCAAATAACTTTTGTTATCTCATGTTTTTGAAATAAGTTTTCTACCTGTATCAGGGATATAGGGGCTTTTACTTTGAAGCTAAAAAACAATTAAAATTTATACACCGACATTCTTTCAAATGTCAGATTTTTTCAGTGGGAAAAACACTTTATACATTGTTGTAAGATATGAAACTATTTTTATGTAAACAAAAAGATTAAATGAAAAAAGTATTAAAACCGCATTGGTAAAAATAAAAAATAAAAAAATTATGATTCTTCAAAATCAGCACAGTTTTCGCAGTACAAATTTGCATGGTCTAGAAATATGGGGTTGTGGCACCTTCTACAAATATAAAAGGTTTTTCTGACTTTTGCACGAGGACGTTTTAAATATCGTAAAGTTGTTTTCTGTCTCCTAACATGAAGTTCTTCATGTATCTTCGGTACATCCTGGCGTAAATCGCGACGAAATCGAAGGGTTACCCTGTCTTATTTTTCGATGGTGCTCTATGGACATACCTATCTGTTTTAAAAATGGTTGTCTTTTATTATTTTAATCCTTAGTAGTTGATTTGTATATTATTTTTTATCTGCGCGTTGACACTTGTTTAAACTATAGAGTAAAAAAGCTTATTGTCCACCGTCGGCTATTTCGTGCGACAGTATAATTCGCAGGTTGTCTAACAGGCATATCCAACCCCTCCCTTTGTCGTGTTATAGAATTAGAAGTTGCTTACCTAAACTTTCCGGAATATAAACGACTGTGTAATGTAGTAGAGAGAACAAATATACATTTTTATTTTATTTGAGGGTGTATGAAATAGCCGTAATTTTAGGTTGAATACAAATAGAGAACTATATATAGCCCTATCTTTCATAACAATAATTTTCAAGGATTTCAGTAAACCAGATGTCAAACATGGTACCCCTTTAGGTATAATTAAAAGGATCAACAAGTCGTTTTACCCAATAAAAGGAGAATTGCTATCTTCATATAGGCCTTTTCGTTTGCATCTCCCCGTAAAGCTGCATGTTTTCGCATTAGGTTTTTGCATCAACAGGAGGAAAACTTTTAGACCATATATCAAAGGTATATCAGGGATATATACTGGTGAAACAAAACTCGACCCGAAATGCTTCCAATTTTTTATTTATTGTGAGATACTCACTAGGGGATAACCGTTCTAACGTTTTCCTATAAATCTGTCATAAACGGTTTTAATTACCACTATTTTGGCAATTACTCGTAGTTAAGTTCTTTTTTGAATATTCTCAAAACGCGGGATGGTAATAATATATATTATCTTTGTTTTAAAATGGTAGTTAATTAATTCTACTCCACCGCCATCCGTCCGCCAAAAAACATTTCTGTCTGTAGCCTTTGTAGACTTTGGCCCAGATAAAGTAAGCCTAGTACCGCTTTTAACTCTGTTTGTTTTACCAAATATTAGTGCGCAGCGTCATATGATTGCGATTCTAACAGTAGTTTCAAAGATTATTTGTGTAAAATGATAGAGCATCCTTTTTGTAAAAAATGAAGGCCAAGACTCCTGAATTGTGCGTATGTTTTTAGCAATTTATTTTACCCCGGCAAGATGGGTAACTATATTTTCTAAACGTGTTCTCACATCTTTAAAAGTCTTTTTAGACCACCTGACATAATTTTCGTCTACGAAAAATCTTCTTCATTACCTTTGGGTTACATTTTGCAACTTCTTGTGGTACCTGAGTTTCATTGTTTGTTATATTAAACAACGGGATTCCCCTTCGTCGACTCATATATCATCAGATTACGCCCAAAACTCTTCCATAAAGTCTGCAACCGTTGCTTTCCTGTTCGTAAGAAATCCTACGATAGGTGTTTAGCTATTTTAGTAATTGCAGCTGTAATTTAGTGTGCTGGGATGGCATATACCCTAACTGCCTTTGTTTACATGTAATACAAAATTGACAAATAATAGGCGTGGGGTAGATGCGTCGTCGCATCTGACTAGGTTTTGTGCCATGGTACTGGTCAATTTAGGAAAACCAGGGCGGTTCTAAATAGTAGAGAACTAAGGAACTAAGACTGAAGTATCTCTTATCCCGCAACTCTGACGAAGAGTTAATAAACTGCCAAGTAAAGTTACCCCATTCATCGCTTACCTCCTCCATGTGGCACAACTTAGTCTCTCACTAATGATAAAATATGCAGATAGCTCCTTTTTAAGTGCCAATATAGTCGATAAAACGTCCAATTATTAGTTTTCAGTGCACTGCGACGATGTGGCCAATCGGTTGAGAGGTCGAAACGCTTGTAGATAGAAGTTTTTAGTTCGCCGGATAAGTGATGAGGCGTTCTTCGACTCGTACTCTTCATGGCGGTGTAATAAGGCAAAAATACAGTGCCTTTAAACCAAGCAAAACAGAAAAGCTCAGAAGAGTTCACAGCGTCAGTACCTTAAGGGCTTGGGTGGACTTCTCCGGTCTCTTCTTTTATCGCTCAAATCAAGCAAAACATGTATGTGACCCGATGGCAACTTGGGAAGAGGCTTACTCAATAATCAATTAGTCTGGGGACTAAATATTTTCTGTGTGCCTTTGAAATAGTCACCGATGAACTTGCAGGCCGTACTTACCAGTTTAAATCTTAAGCATGCGGATTATAAGTTTTCAAAATAATTGCTCCAAATGTGGTGTTTGCAGTTAGAGCACCTGTAGAAATAGCTGAAAGGCTCTTTGTAAGAAGGCCTTTAGGTCCGAGGTCTTCAGCGCTTGTGGAGTACTTGTAAGCTGCAAGTACATACACTTTATTTGACCAATTAAACAAAGAAAAGCTTAACTGCTTGACAGATTAAAAATATATATACCGTTAAAGCTTATATACATTTACGAAGTTAGCAATTTGAGTTTTAAATGCACAAAATATATATGGCACCAATGGTTTATAATTTGCTACACATACACCTTTATTTGAACACAAAAAAAAACTTTTTGCTAAGGTGGTTAATTAGTTGGTTCCCTCCCTATATATACTAAATTCGAGAATTTTGCCTACAAATGAACTTCAAGGTCTTAGCCAATGAGCATCTTCATTTTTCTAAATATTTTAATTTAAATATTTTTGGAATTTCTTAATAAATTCCTTTTATCTCAATAAATAATCTCGCTTGCTGTTGCTACTCTAAATTTGGCAATCTTTAAATTTATTTTGATGTTTTATATTTTAATTTGTGTATTCTATCAACTTATAATTTTATTATATCAAGCATATCCTGCGTCTTTGGCACCTCAGCTACTAACAACATGACAAAAATGGTGACTTAAGCCTCGACATATCCTATCTGAAAAAATATTTCTGTCAGCAATGACCGATATTTTGGATGAGCTTTACCAGCTCATCTCTTCATCCTTGCTGAAGGTGAGCGAAGGCGAGACCACTGCAAAAATCTGACACGTTAAAATCATGGGTTTGACAACGTTACCAGCTACACTAAAAAACTCTTTTATCTGTCTCCTCTTTACTTTTTCTTAAATATATGGCCCAGTAAAAACTTTTAACTACGCGGTACCAACCATTAAAGTTACCACAACAACCAGTCATGCATAAATGTTATGAGCCTGCTGTCCACCTGCACACCTAATGGATTCCACGACTAGCTGATGCTCAATCCTAATTATAATCACAGCGGAGATAGCTGCTCACTCTTTACAATACTCGCTTGAATAGGAAACTAGAAGACATTTGGAGAAATGAAAGATGGTCATCATTAGTGTTTTGTCAAGCGAATTAAAAACCGCTGGCGTATATTACGTCCTCCATTTAAAAACGGGAATGATAAAACCACACATTCGTGTCCCATCTTGCTGTTCAATCGATGGTATCACTGGTGTAGGCTATGCACCTATGCTGTAGAAGGCATTAGGTCTTGACGGAACCGTAAATGAGTTGCTAAAAACATTCCTGCAGGTGGCGATAAGCCATCTAACTCTTGCAAATTCCTCTTTGTCGCCTGACTCTTCTTAAAGTAGTTAAAGCAGTCTGTCCCGCTGCCCTCACTAAAGGCATTTGTATAGGTGTGCGCTGTGTTGACGGAACTTCAGTTTAATTATTTGTAACCGTACAACTAGGCCACAGAACTGTGTTTCGTTAAGAGGACAAGTCATGACTTAATTTCAAGAAAGTTATAGGGTGCTAAAGTAGGTCCTTAATCGTGCATGCAAAGAAAACTCTACTTTTAATATCTAGCAAACCCACTACTACGTTCTCGAATAATATACAACTGGCGGTCTTTCGCAACATATCGATATTGCCCTATTCAAAGCCAGGTCAGCTTACCGCAGTTCTCTAGGGGAGTCACTGCTGTCTCCGCTACTGTTGCGCATTCTAATACATAGTCTCAACCCCTGTAAATGGACACAAGCACATACCACTTTATACCGAAGACCAATTGCTTACACTTCGTCGAAAAGTATATATTTGAGAGCACTCTACTTCTACTGATCATAGCGTATTCTCTCATGTTAGCACACTGCTCCCACCTTTTATTTCAAAGATGCTATGTTCCCACGAACTCCTTAGTCGAAATACTTGAAGATCGTAATCGCGCACGCAAGAAAAACCACCTTGTGCAATAAACTACGCTCATACGTGATGTGTAGAAAAATTTGCTGCGACCGCTGACTAAGCTCCGAACTTTGCGCGAAATGATACTTACTATCTGTAATATCCTTGTGAAGACAGTCTTTGTCTTCGCAAGGTAGAGACGAATCCAAAGCGCCATTAGGCACAGACACTTTTCTTTATAGCCTAGAGAGGCGCACGTTTTCCCCGTTTTCGCGATGCCCAATACAAAATAGGACTCATAGCACACTGTACTCTGAGGCTTGGCCTACGTTAAATATACATATATAGTTATCATTATTATCCACATTGTGCAGCCTGTGCTTCGATGATAACTAAGTATTTAAATTAGTTGTTTTTAATAATAATAATAATAAAAAACCAAATAAAAACTAAAAAAAAATTTTTTATTTCAAATGAGCTTAGCTAGAAGTTAAAAAATTTAGTCCTTACCGAAACAATTTTATTTCAAGGAAACCACATTCATTCTTGTTAACCTTGCTGTTAAAACCAATTATAATCTTTATGCCAATTAAGAAAAAATTAAAAAGTCGAGAAAAGTGAACAGATAAGCATAAATATCAGACATAATAATTTAAGACGTTATAGAGAAGAGAGGAAAACTAGTTTGTTGGGTCGCTTCACACCCAAACCACATCTAATCTAATTAAAAGACTTCCCGAAGAATTACCAATAAAATTTTTGCGTACTTAAATAGGCTTATTTAATTGGTGAGTTGACTCGATTATGTGTTAAATTGCTAAAAAGCTATATTCATAGAAGGTATTAAGTTAAATGACACGATGGTTAAATATCATACAATAAATACGTGTCTTAATATAATCTTAAAGTAAACATTTTAAAAGCGTTCCTTACTTTCTCCTCAACGTTAGCTTTCCTTGAGACCCACTAAGTTCAACATTAGTTACTTTTAAGATAAGGCTAGCCCCCATGTGATTTCCACACGTTATGGCCTTAGATCGGTTTAGGCTTTTCAGTAACAATTTCTTACAAAGTAGCATTTATAATATTTATGCGAAGAGTTAAAGTGCGAATCTCTGAAGAGGCAACTAGTAAAAAGAGAGATAAAGTAGTCATTGAAGGTAAATATGTTTTATAGAAAATTTTATATTTTTTATATAAACTTTTTGTTAAAAAACTGGATTTTGTTATTATAAATAATCATTTATTTTGTACTTTTCTTTGTTCGATTCTTTTATTTTCTTAAATTTTTTAGAAGCTGAAGATACTAGGAAGTTGCAACTTGCATTATTACGTAAAATTCGTCAGCATGCAACAGCACCTGTAACTTTGTTTTTACTCTTTAATTTTATAGTTTACTTTTATTTTTTTCACGTGTGTTTATTAAAAACTTTTACATAAAGCCACTTCCAGTTAAATATTGAATCTTTTTGTTTATTTATTTTTTATGAAGAAAAGTAGTATGCTTAACAGTTACTTTTTACGTAGCTGGAAATACTTTCTATAAGTAAAACTTATCAGTATGGAGTTTTTATTATAATGCAACTCTCAAGAGTACGTAGTTAATTATAAGGCTCCATTTTATATTATTTTGTTTTGGGTATACGTTATATTACTTAGGTTGCTTTGTTTAAAAGTAAGAGTAACTTTTAGTATACTTTCATTTTTAATAGGATTTAGTTAACTTTTCTGTTAATATAACCTAGTAAATATAACTTATGTATTCTGCTTTAACTAAAAATTAATTATAATAGAAAATTAATTTATTTATAAAAATTGTTATAAATAATTTATACCTATCAGCGTATTCTGTTTTAAAATTCTTTAAACATTATTGACTTTATGACATATGAGTCCTTATTTAAAAGCTTTTAATCTTTTGTTTGTTTTTAAAAATATATTATGCAGATTTGTATTAATTTTTCCGTTTATTGTTTATGTTATTGATAGGGGAGTATTTTTGATATACTATTTATTAAAGGTATGCGTATTTTTTTTTGTAAAATTGTTACTTTCAAGGAGAGGATATTATTATTGAGGCCTTATAAAATTTGCACTCGGTATAGCGCGTTAATTCTCTATTTTTAGTACTACTGTATTTTTGTGATGTCAATACTTTTACTCGTTAGTTAGTAATTTAACTATTTCCTTTATTATCTTCGTACATTTAAGATATTTTTATGTGTAGATTTAATATATATTTTGTAAAAGCATAATACTCACGCCGATCGACCAGTCTTGTAGATTAAATTATTTAACAATTACACTTAAAATTTTTTTTTAACAGGAGCTGTTTTTTTGCAAATATATAATCGCTCACTTTTTATAACGAATAAATTTTTTTATTACATTTTTAAATTTTAATAATATATTCTTTACTTGTTTACTAATTCTTATTATTCTGTTTTCATAAGTAGGTTGACAAGTATGGGTGTGAGCAATTAGGCCGACTGAGTAACACGGAGAAAGGTAGAATAGTAATAATATTATAAGATTGTGGGAAAGTTGTTATTGTCTAGATTTAAATAAACTTTATATTTAAAATAATCCATTCCATAACTTTAAAGGTTTTCGATTCTATGTTCTGGTGGCCTTGCTCCTCTCCTCTCAGACGCGTGACGAAATTGTTGGCGCGGCGGTCTCACGCCTGCACCATATAGGTCTTGTCGAACTCGTGTTTTTTGAGGCACATATTCATTGGAGATACCTAAGGCCTCTCCCCAGCATCGATCCAAGGACTTGATGAGAACGTCCTTGCCGACCTTATAAAGCCTGTTGGTTTTTATAAGAAAAAAGCAATCTATTTAAGGAGGATTTGTGAAATTCTTATAGAAAAGTATGAAGGAGATATACCTAACAATTATCGTATGCTTAATTTTATAAATAGAAAATGAACTTTAAGTTCGGCCTAGGGAATTTTTTTTGCTGTTTGCGTTGATTTGTTATAAATGTGTTTACTAATAGCATACTTATATATGTTAGTTTAATAAGAAAGCAATTTTTTTGTATACTTATTCAGAAGATTAGTTATTATTATATTTAATTAATATCGCAAACATGATTGAGTTACTTCCAAGGCTTTAAAAAGCCTAATATTAATTTTAAATTTTTTTTTTAAGTAAAATATTATACGCCAAAGCTTATAAAAGAATTGAGTAAAAATGCCTTAACAGCTCGGCTGTAGGGACGAATGACTCAGTCTTTCTATTTACTTCTTTTAACGACTGATTAGATGATTTATGCGCACTCCCTGGAATCGGGCCGAAAATGGCATACCTTGCCATGGCACACGCTTGGAATAATCCGGTTGGGATCGGCGTAGATGTGCATGTGCACCGCATAGCTAATCGTTTAAAGTGGGTAATGACTAGGAACCAATACAGTATCTTATAATGGCGTTTGTTGAAAAGGTTGACACACTTCACAAGTCCACCGATCATACCAGAATGGAATTAGAGAATATCATTCCGAAGCGATTTTGGCCCGAAATTAACCCACTGCTGGTTTCTTTGCTTTTGCCGCTAAATTATAGTTGTGAATATTTTATAATAGGTCGGCTTTGGGCAAGAAATATGTAGACCTACTAAGCCTTTATGCCATTTGTGCGATTTGCAAGCTCTTTGTCCTTCGGCTTTTGCTAAAGGAAATAAAAAAGTTTAATTAATATAGTGGAAGCAGTTGTAGATCACAGATTCCTCTAGTAAATTTAAAATTTTTTTTTAAACGTAAGTATTTTGCTTAAGAAATGTTCGCTTTATACGCGCCCCGTGCCGCTTGCAGTCGTATGTTACATACTATTTGAGTCAAAAACCTAGTGAGAATGAATTTTTTTAAAAAATTAAAAGTGGTGTGCGGCACATTTAATGTCTTAATATATGTAATAGCTTAGACATGCAGGCATTTTAAAATTATATAAGGATTACTTTAGAAACCTAAAATTATATGTATAAGTTATGCCGTTCTACCGCACCGTACTTAAACTCAGCGAGTGTACTGCTGTTTTGTTTTAGTTACGGCATTTAATTTCAGAAGCCAAACCTGTTTTTTTATATTGATAACGGCGAAAAGTTCCTTGTACATGGTTAATAATAGGGAATTTTTTTTTAGAAACTCATTACATACACAGGCGGAGGTTTTTTATAGAAGTGTTTTACATAAGGATAATATAACATTATACATGAGGAATATTATAACTTTGTATGTGCACTGTTATGGGATTACATTAGCGTTTAATAAAGACTGTTTATACCTAATGACTGTGGGCTCTTCTATCTTTAATATTCTTAATTTGCATGATGATCCGCGCTTAACATTTTTGTTTGTTGAAAGCTTTCTTTTAGAGAAGCATGCATTTTGGCTATAGGCTAATTAATGGTTCGTTTACCAAGTGGGTTAGTAAAATGCCTTACTTTAGCTAGGACATTAATTAAAAGATTTATACAAACAATGGAGTGTAGCAGGTTCATTAATGTCTGTAAGGGTCCACCTATGTAGGCTTAGTTCTCGTGTGCAAGTATATAGCAACTCAATAAGCTCTTTTTTTTTTCTTTGGCCTAATTAATGCTTGTTGTCATATAACTTCGAATGAGCTTTATAAGGCTGTCGACCTGTCTAGAATTGGTGCAGCTCTATGAGCACAGCGGAGGAGATAGCCAATGTATTAAGATTAAAGACTTTGGCTTGAGAGGAGAGAGTACGAGTAATCGCAGCAGAACCATAATTTCCCAAATAAGAAGAGGAGGAAAACTCTATAATTGTGACGGAACCTGCACAAAGAGAGAAGGTTATAAAATAAAAGTTGTTTAGAAATATTTAAATTGGCGTTTTATGCGCTAAGCTTACATGAAAAGAGGTTTTTTAAAGGCGGGTAAGGAAAGTAAAGTAGCGATAGTTTATCATTATGGGAATCAATAAGTACAAAGGAGAACAATAAAAATGATTATAATAATAATTTGGTAGCTAATGGTTACCTTCATTGAGGTAAAGTTACAGTTAGTAGCACTAATGTAACAGTTGTAATAATGAAAACCTTAAGATTAATATTCAACTGAAAATTTTATAGAGGGCCTCATGGAAATAAGCCAAAGGTATATTAAAAAAGTTAAACTCTTCGAAAATTATAGTACTGAGCTGTATATGACTAATAATAATAGTGAACAAAGTTCCTTCACATACAATTTTATTAGAAGTTATTTTTTATTAAATTTTCTTTTGCAATAGTATATATGAAACTAAAGGTTTAGGTATCTATAATAAATACATTTAATTTATTTTGTTAAGAAAGATAAATTTGCTAGCTTTCAATATATTTAAGTTTGACTTTGTATTAGTAACGATTTAACAGTTTATCGGTTCAGAGGCCGTCATAAACTTACAGTGCAAATAAAAATAGTGCAACAATATGAAGTATTAAGTAGCGGTATACTATTTTAATAAAACCGAATTTATTTTATCATAAGCGGCTTACACTCTGTATACACTAAGATTATGATTAATTAGATTACTATAATCTCTTTTTGTAAATCGTTAAGCTAACCACCAGGTTTCTACTTTTGATAGCATCAGAAGCTATTATTCTCGCGATCTGTAGGTAGGCTGGTTCATTAGAATCAACAAGACGCCATTATTAGTAGATAATTTCTTTATGTTAATTCTAGCTCCCCCTGCGCGTAGTCGAGGTTAAACTATAGCCTATAATTAGGATGTTAAATAAAGGAGAAGAATATAGGTTTATCTGGTTACTTCCGCACCTAAGAACAGCTTGGGGCGAATGGAGTTGTTTACACGCATGTTCAAACCAACCAAATGCGACGCCACCAAACCATAAATAACACTACCGAGCGCTTATAAGTTTAAATAAACCTGATTAGCTAAGCGGTACCAGTAAAGCTGTCTTTAAAGTAGGCTCCAAGTAAAAATAAGAAAATAAAAATTTACAGTGGAAAAATATACTTGGATATTGTTTATATTATGAGGGATCGAGGCTGCATACGCTGCTACAATTTTTTTAATTCTTGTTCTTATGTTCTGAGGTTGGTTTGGCGCTCCTAGGGAGTCCAATATAGTCAAATGTTGAGGAAAAGATCCCAGTTCATGTTTTAACGCGAATTACCATTTTAGGCAATTTTATGATTATCATTGATTATTTCAGTGCTTAGTTGTTAGTATACAATGAGGGTTCATGAAAAATAAACTGGCAGTCGTGTTAATTTTTAGTGCATTTTGTGTTTTAGTCACTTCTGTACCCTAACATCAAATAATTTTTGTGCTTTCAGTTCTTCGATTACATAATTATATTACGTTAAAGTCTTCAGTATATCTTATTAATATATTACATAACGTTTTATATTTCTCGAGGACTCCCGGCTGGTAAGATCAACATTGTGTTAAAAAATAAAAAAAAGAACAAAACGTTGAATTACTGTTTATTTTTTATAATCTTTATAAAAGCTGCATTCAAAATTTTAATAACTACGATTAGTAATAAAACAATAGTGTAATAGACAATTTTCAGAGGTTATTAATTTAAAATCTTTAACTATTCAGAATCTATTAAAGAATAGATTATAGCACCAAATTATTCATTAATTTAATACTCTTGCTCTCTTTCTTTTTGGCTCATATGCAATACAGAAGAGTGAGGGTAAGGGGTAGGGTAATTATATAAAGGTCACATGGATTAAGCGTTTTTTTTTTCGCTGGTTCTAGGTTGCCCATTGTATTCTAACTGGATCTTTCCTGTATATAGTGGATTAACGAGATAGTTTACTAAACAATATATATATATAATTAGTGTTAAGTAATATTATTATACTTAAATAAATCATTTATTATATAGCGTTACCTCAAATAAAAGAATAACATATATCGACCACTTAATTTTGATGACCTTAACTTACAACGAAAGCGAGTTGTATACAATTCATTTATTAAAGCAATTTTGTATTTAAGTATTAGAGAATTTAACTATCTTAGTATTCTTTTTTTCTCTTGCAATATGGTAAAAGTCATTACTATGATGTCTTTGACTTGCATAAAGTAATATGTGGTGTTAGTTTAGCCTTCACCTTTTTTTTTAAATCTGACTGGATTTAAAATAGAGCAAAACAAGTTGCATACCCTGCTATTGTTATTATGGTCTTTGTTCATTATATTACATAAAACTTTGAACGCTCAAGGATACGTTGAATTAAAATTTTTGGGTGAAAAATATAATTTAACTTAATTTTTAGTTAAGCCATTGAAAGTGGAGAACATTTAGGAGAGAAACATAAATATCTACAATCTTTATGCTTTTTCCTTTAGTTTTTAGGTAGTTTTTTTAAAACACTGATACGGAGATTCTAGCATTAGTGCGCTAACAAATTATTCGCTGTTATCCACCTACCTGGCTCCTATTTGCTAACTGGCTACTAAATAAAGTTAATAATAAGAGATTAGTTTAACTGAGAGTCTCAAGTGACCAAGTGTAAGACCCTCCTATATGGGTCGTCATGTCCAGGGATCGGTATAAAGAGTTTAAAGAATTAGCTGCTTCTATCTCTACAGAGTCTCCAAACGTTATTGATAACTCAAATGTCTGCCTGTCTCCTGCTCCAAAGGTATTTTTAGATTGCTGTACCAAAATTTGTGTTGGAAGCCTTTCTTGAAGATATAATTGATTTACTGTATTTATAACTTCTTAGAAGTCCTTATACTGAGCGTTACGAAAACATTGTAGATTAAAAGACCCTCATAAGTTATTTTATTAACTAAGGTAAAAACAGAAAAAAAGGGTTTTTTTTCAAAACTTGGTAAGAAATTTCAGAACGATGACTCTTCAAAGGTCTCAAGAAATAGTAAAAGTGAAACTTCTCTTCCCTCTAATGGTATTTTGATTATTAATAAATTAACGAATTGGGTTTGTACACCTTTTTCTATACCTTTCACTAAATTAAATAAAAATTTTGTAATAAATTTTATAAATATACTTTCTTTTTACTATCAGTGGTAAAATTATTTTATTTAATTAATTGTCTTATATGCATTTTTTACCTTGAGGCTCTAGTTATATTATCGAATATGCGTTACAGCGCTTAAGATCCCAGGCCGTAGTTATAGTTATTCGTGCTGTGCTGTAAATAAATTTTTATATTCCTTCTCGAAGTATACCTTTTTTATTCATAAAGTTAACGATCTGCAGAAGATTTTTTATTTTACTAAAATTAACTATTTTTTTTTTAATTTCTAGCCTTCTATGGCTGTTATGACTTTGTGAAATATTTCAGTTGTCGATTTTTTTATAACTTTTATTATACAAAAATGGAAAGTCTTTTTTATATAAACTCTACTTGTAGTATTAAAAGTATTTTTTTTTATGAAGTTTCAATAATATAAGTTCACTAAATTATAAACTTCAATTAACCTTTTTAACATCTAAACCTAATTAAATGCTAATCTTGGAGTAATTATGCGTATTATTTATAATAACTTGGTTCTTCAAAGTTTTTACTTTTGAATTATTTAGTTATTTTTACGGTTTATTAATATTTTTCAAATTTTAGGAACGTTTTTCTAAGCCTTTTTATTTTTTTTATTGCCTCGTCCTATTTAAACTATTGCATCACTTATAGCTAACAAGCAAAATATTAAGCTAGCTGAGTTTTATATAACTTATGACAATATCAGTGGGTATAAATTTTTTATAGCGATGCCCTTTAAAATATTATTCGATGACTTTTTTACTCCGTTTTATAAAGTACAGCACTTTCATTATGAAATTCAATAGATATTAAAGCACTGAAACTATTTTTTTTATTAACCATCATTCATTAGTAGAAGTCCTCCAGAAAGTTAAAGATGAGCAGGGAGAGGCTTTTGCCTGCATGGTTTCTTGTATGATGGAAGATGCTGACCAGCTCACCCGCGAGGCTAAAGCACTACGAGAACGAGTAATCTTTTATGGTTAATCAGTAGTCTTTTGGTATTTTTATGGCGACCCACGTTAACCAATCTTTAAAAGTTGGCTCAACTATGTGCAAGTCTCACGGTTTTATTTAAAGCGTGGCTTCACTAGGCTTCGGCTATAGTCGAGCTTATATTTGATTCTTTAATAATAAAATAACTGACTGGTTAATCCATTATGCTAATTTTTTTAAGAAAGTAAACTCGCAGCTTGGATCAAGCATTCATTACTCGATTATCTTCTTTGCTAGGTTGAAAGTCACATATAGATTTTAAACGGAAAAACGGAGGCTTTGGTTAAAATAACGTTAAAAAACTTCTAATTAACCATATAGCTATAGTTGTGAGGCCTTTTGGTGTAAAATATAAAATATGAACTTTTTTTTCTCACATGCTTTTACTTTCATGTAGGCAAACACTCTGTATCTCCAGTACAACGATGCCGCCTTGACCTCTGAAACTACAGAAATTCAGAAGGAAGTTACGCAAGTGGTGGATTCATTAAACCAGATTTCAAATAAGCTTAAAAAGTAAGGGACACTATTAAAGCATTACATCCATTAGCGTTATATATGGGTTTATCTTAAAAATTTACGATGTCTAGGATATGAATAACATGTTAAAAATTGCTATTCTAATATTCGTATAGCAATCATTCTAATGGAGTTGATTTCTGCACAGATTGATGCTTGACTTCGAAAAGGTCGATCCACGTGACCATCCCTTTTCACAAAAAATTAAACAGTCGCACATGAACTACTTTAAGGAAAAGTACTTTGATCATATCAATCAGCTTATGGTTGGTTCACTAAGTTAACATGAATATCACATAAACTGAATATCCTCTTATCTTGTTTAAAAACTTATCTATTGCCAATTTCTGCTTAAACTTCTTTTTTTGGCATTTATAAAAACTATGTAATAATTAGTTCTTCAATTTCAAGTTACATTTATATTAGCCAAGTTAACCACATTTTCCTTCCATAGTTGTAACATTTGAATTTTATAGACTTTACGAGGGAAGTTCGATTCTGCAGTGAATTCTAAGCGAAACCAACGAAACCAAACCTTCCTTTCAGTCTTTGGCGGCCAACAGAACTTGGAGAGTATAAATCCTTTTTATCTATTGTACTTTATGCTTGATATTTATAATGAGTATCTCTTGGTTAGCAAGCTTTTTACCAATTTTGGTAGTTTGGTAGTTTATAATATATATTTCAGCTCCTGTTCTAGAGAGATGCACCACCTTTTAACTTTTATTATCTTTTTTATTGGTTAAAGTGTCTATATTATTACTTTGTAATTACTAATAATACCAGCTCTGTGCTTTATTTTTTTCATATAATTTATTATTGATATTACTAAGAAACCGGCGATGGGGAAGGCGAGGAACTACAGTTTGCCGTTGTGGATTTAGAGGAATGGTCTTGGCTCCTCTTGGTTACTTACTTAATCTGAGTAATATTTTTCATAGGTACACCCACGTGTTAGACGAAGCTCAGGAACGAAAGGCCCAACTGGACAAACTGGAGAAAAGTTTAATCACCGTTCACAGTTTGTTTAAAGGTAATTCTATTATTACTGATCTTAGCCACTCTTTAGAAATACTAATTTTCACTGTTAGTCATTGGTTAACTATCGTAGCTTGCATATAGCACACGACTAAAGCGTGCTCGTGTTCTTTTAGATTTAGCGGCGCTTGTTTATGAGCAGAGCTACAAACTAAACACTATTGAGGACGCTGTAATGAGTACTGACGCTACCATCACGCAAGCTAGGATCGAACTAAAGGAAGGTCAAGCCTTTTTTTTTATTTTTAACTCATGCTACTACACTAGACTTGAATAATATCCTATTAGTTCATTTACTATTATAAATACTAGCATGGTGATAATATTTTAAAATCTGTTAAAAGGTTTTTTTTGCTTACAATTAGTTTCCCTGTGCTAAAACCGGTGCAACACATTTTAAGGGCATTACCTCTTGTAAAACTAATTGATATGAACTGTATCATTTGTAGGCATTCGACAGCAGAAAAAACTGCGGAAAAAGCAAATCACAACAGGTGCAATGGTCGGCGTAGGTGCCGGGCTGACAGCTCTTAAACTAGCTGTTCCTACAGCTCTACCATTTGTGTGAACTTTATATTATTAAGCAGGCAAGCATATTAAAGAATTACAAAAAGCAGAAGTTGATAAAAATTCTTGTGACAACATTGCAACTATAGAATAATTTTGCTTTTAGGGCGATATATGGTAGATAATATTGTCCCAGTGTCTCCTCTGCCTCCCGCCCCGCCTAACATTTTTTTAGTGTAGGCTAATACCTCACTTATTTCTGACATTATGTATGTTTGTATTCTTTCACTCAGATGGTATTTTCTCTTTGTTTTCAAAGGCTTACTAAATTGCAGATTATATGAACTTCATAGTAAATTTCCTTAGTCACTAGCAACAACAAATAAAAATACTACCATTCTAAGCATTGCTACCAAACATAAAAAATACGTGCAGATTTAACGTTGACTACTGGGCTGGAACTCCAGATAATGTTAGGATAAGGAATCTTGATAAATATTTTTCTGCCCCTTAAAGTGAGCGTTCACCTATGGGGCGGTGGGAGACCTAGCATCAGATAACGCGCTTTAAGTATATATGACCAAAGGATGAGAAAGCTGGAGAAAAAGATGGTGTATTACGCATAAAAAAGTAATATTATTAGCATTACTAAGCAGTGAAGCATAACTTATTTTAATTTAGTCTAAATTACAAACTAAACACCAAAATACAATTAATATTGCCATATGTAGGAGAGCAACAACAACCGAGATTAGTGGTTAAAAAAATTTAATTTTGTTAAACCCAAAAAATATTTAATTAAAATAATGCGATCTTGAAGTTCATTAATCGACAGAATCCGACAATTTAATATATATAGAGATAAGTAACCAAATAATAAACCAAATTTTCTAGCAATTCTTCTTTATTTTATCGCGTTATAAGAGCGAAGCTTCAACCAACCGAGTACGAAAACTCTAACACAATAGCCTTAAGTTGAGCAAAAAATGAAGCATATGACCACTTGGCAGACACCATTATTAAGCCTCTCAACTTAGAGAGTGACTAATTGACTTAAAACCAGTTCCTACGAGACAAGGAATACACGACATTTCTTCCAAGATCCCATAGGTGGGAATATCATAGCTAAGGGCGAGCTAGTGAAAAAATCAGCTAACGGTATAATGAAAAAACAAATAGCCTCCATTACAAACCAGGTTAAGGATACAAGAATTTGACATAACGAAACCAGAGTTGAATATAAAACGGTAAAGGCCTTGTCTGGAAGGTAATCACTGCCAAGCTAAAAGAGCTATGCCACGCCACGAAAATAAGGGCGAAAGTATTCAAGCTTACACTAACAGGATAGACCACCCGGCTATAATGATACCGGAAAGAATGCAGTATTTAAGAGATGGCTCCTTATTTCCAAAATTAACTGACTTAAATTAATTTGCTTAATATATAGAACTGGTGACGAGCACAAATATGCTTGAACAATATATACTAATAAACAAGAAAAAATAGACTATGAATACGCGCTAAACTCACCATTACCTGATGAAAATAAACACTTTACACAGTGATCACCTTATCTTTGAACAAGAAAAACACCGTGGAGGCATTAGCAACCATTTTAACAAGAAAAAGCACGGGCAACACTAATAATTTCTACAGGTGCAAGGGCGATCATGAACCTAAAAATTGCACTAAGCCAAATCCCATGGCCGTATCACTACTGGAATGATACTTTCCACAGGAAAGAAATTAAGGAACATAGTATGCTTTGAACGTATAAATTTTCTATAATACAGCAAAGACGATAATATTAGTAAACAGGCATAATATTAGAATACAAAAGGGCACATGCGCACACCCATTGTTAATGACCTACCATAAAACCTGCAACGCACCATACAAACCACTAAAAAGATGACTTTGAGGTTGAAGACGACGAGAAGAGCATAAAAAAAGAACTCAAACAAACAACAGGGATTAGGACTCCATATAAAGTGCAAAATGATGGGGAGGAAGAAAACAAAGCAAATTATTCACAGCAGCAACCTCCTCTGCATAAAAATCAATAGCTAACAACAACTCTCGAAGGCCACTTCACTACATCGCAGGATAACTAAAAGAATAAAATAGAAACAAGAACATAAAAAAAACGAATATCCTAAAAGGTTATACCATAACTAAAAATATACAAATTAGAAGAATCCTTAATAATAAGTAACGATTTACGAAGAAACAATTACTAAGTACACCTCAAACATGCCACTAATCAATTACATAAAAATAATACCAAAATTGACCTTAAAACATTAACTGTGGCCAAAAGCCTAACCTACGAAGAGCCCACGGTATGTGAACAAGAAAATACCGAAAATACTGCAATTCTAGCAGTCACAAAACAAAAAACCTAAGAAGAGCAGTTAATAGTCATTATAAATATAAAACATAACAAGAACTTAGGCTGTATTGCAAAGAGAACTACCGCAGAATTACCTACCAACAAAAAATCAAGACGCACAAGACCCTAACATAAACTTTCACAAACAAGAAATTTAGACAGCCAGCTATCGAATATATTGATCAAAATAAAGATCAGAAAGCAAGTAAACGAGTTAGAACGGAAGAACCTATTATAGGCAATGACTCTATATGTAGAAAATACCTCTCTGTTCACCTGTAGTGGAGTCGTGAAGAGTCTGATGTGAAAGACTAAGAACAAGCGACCATAATTTAACTTAATTATAGAACACGAAGGATTTACAACCATCGGGCAGTGTGGATTATAAAAAGGCACTAACTGATTAACTACATGGAAATTACACATAAAACATGACAAAGGTATGAAGTAAGACTTAATGCGAGGGGATATATGCAAGAGAAGGGCGTGGATTATCACGAAACTTATTCCTCTGTTCTCAAAAGAAGTATGCTTCGTACCCTAATAACCTTAGCCCAACTAAAGAACTTAGATGTACACACAGCTGATAACACCTCTGCCTTTTTCCAACTGGAGGAGCCTAACTACATTCAAGTCCCTCAAGGAATGCGTCTAGTTAAAGTAAAGTTGGGCCTGCAACAAAGAAGACTGCTTAAAGAACATCATAAAAAGAAAGAAAACTGCATGATGAAAGGTAAATGTTGCATTTACGGGCTTAAAGAATCGTACCGCCATTACCTCGAACTTAATATAATATGAATACAAACAATCTCTTTTAGACAGCTGTGTTTTCCATCCTGAAACAAAGGATACAATTTTAGGGATTTACGTGGACGATTGTTAAATAATTGGCAAGGAAAGTCACATTTTGAAATAAGCTAAGAAAAGGTCATGAAGTAGTAATTACTAAAATGTGTTGAAAGGGTTTTAGGTGTTCGAATTGGACAAAAAAATGGTAGGATCTCTTTCAACCAAAAAGATCTAATCTTAAAATTATGTGCCCAACTACATAACTAGCGCTGATAATAAAATAAAGACCCTCCCGCAAAATCTCATCAATAAACGGCAAAAATAAAGGGTATGCCAACTTAATAGGAAACCTACGATACATAGCAAATGTCACCCGTTCGGAGAAATAATTTTCGACTTCGCAGTTAGACAGATTTCTACATATTAACGACGCATCACATCCCAGCTCGATATGTACTGGCCTATCCGCACAACACAAAGGATTACTCCCTAATATACAAAAAAGGAAATAACGAATTGTTTGGGAATAAGATGCTATTCGGATTCTTCACGGTCAGATACCTACGATATGCTTACCACCATGATATTTATTATTACGTTTAATAGTAGCTAGATGTTACGGAGAGCTAAAGTCGATAAATGCACAATACACAACTCACCATGCGAATCTGTAAGTAGCACTAGGCAAGAGTAACCTGAAGTTCAAACATTGGAGAACTTTATAAAAAATTACATCCTCAAAAGCGAAAGAATATCTCTATATTCACCGACGAGACAGTGTGCAACATAATTAAAAGCGTTGCTTCTAACAAGAAGCAACTCAAAATGTAAGGTTTCATTTACCCCTTTTTCTATCATTTTCACAGATATTATGACAAAGGTTATTTCATCAATAATACTCACTTTCCTTAGTGAACTACTGAACCCTCTCCATTAATAACCACTATATTGAGATAGGATAAAAAAATTGTACAAACATACAAAAAAAAATTGCCATATCTAGAATAGCAACAGCAGGTCAGATATTAATAAAAAATTTTTTTTTATAAAACTGTTAGTTAAGGTCCGCACTCGCATAGCCCGAGCAGACTGTAAAGAGGTAGTAAGTTTATGAACTATTCTGCAACTGCACCCAAGGACAATGACAAGAAAGACTGGCATGCAGTTTATATTAAAATTTTATTATGGGGGAGTTGTACACATAGCCCGCAAGCCAAAAAAATGTGATTTGGCACCGACGGGAATGGTACCCGCAACCTTGAGATTGCGCGACAATGCTCTAACCACTGAGCTATGGTGGCAACTCACATCTTCGGTCAGTAAATTAAGTATACAACTTTTGTTACAGTTCATTCGTATAATACAAAAATAATATGTTATAATGGTAATGCGCGTGTACAAAGGTTTCCCACGTGCACTCTTGCTGGACACTCCCATTCTTACTATATTAAAACGACTTTATTAATAAAAACATATAACTAAAGATGGTTTACGTAAAGTTTGTATTCTGTCCTTATTACATTATAGCACTAGAGTATGTCGAAAAGGCGAAAGCACAGCAGTAACATGAGGATAATAATTATTATAATAATAATAACAGAGTCACGAATTTATTCTATCACGTAGTTCTTGTGAAAGGTTTTCTAACTGGCTAATTGGTGTTATCTCTTTAACACATGGGCACGAGTCTATATATTTATCAAATGAAAACGTGAACCTTTATTCATAAATAATTTTCGGCCTTTGATTATACAGTGGATATTGAAAAGTAAACTAGCCAAAGCATAATATCTAAGTAAACCTACTTTACTACCCAAGAGTATATCACTTCCGGTTTCTTTTATATTTACGACGAAGGTTCATGATTACTTTTTTCCTTTTTTCTATTATATAAAATAAGAAAATAAAAAAGTTGCAAACATTTAAGAAGAAAGCCCCACCAGGAGCAGGCTTATCCATATAGATAATTCTTCTTTTCCTTTTTTCTATTATTTATGAAAATTACATATTAATGAGTGGAATAAAGACAGGGTGCTCGGTCTCTTTGCTTTGACTTACAAAAAAAGTTAATCAACTTTTATTTAGGAAAAAAAGTTGGAATACGGCCACAACGTATATGTAAACAAAACCCGATTCAATTTTTTGGTAACGCTCCTTAAGCCGAAATTCGCAAACTTCAAGTTTTTGAGAAAATTCTTTTTCTTGTCTCTATAAAAAGTAATATTTAAATCGTTTTTTTAGTTATTATAATTATAATTTACAAGGCAAAATTCCCGCCATCCTATTTTCGGCTTTTCCTTTGGATACGGCGGCCTACAGAATTTTTTCCAATAAGAATCTGTAAACCAAATAATCTCCTGTTTTTTTTTTAAAAACCTTAATAGAAGAGTTTATTATAACTATTATAGAAATAAAAAAGTGAGAACGTAAACTATTGGGCATGAAATAATATTTATAATATTTATAATCCAGAATGCCTAATGCCATTATATTTCAATTTTTAATGGTACTTGCCTTCAATAAAAATAACGAGATTATAATATAATAGCATATTTATAAACAAACATTTCTAAAACAGTAATGTTTTTTGAAAAATATAAGGATAGTAATAAAATTTTAAGCTTTAAAATTGAGTATATAACAATTATCGCTTGTTATAATTAAGTTTGTTAACTTTTATATATGAGTGAAAAGAAATATAAAAATTAGACGGGATTAAGTTTTTCCAGATGAGCCAGATTTTCTCTTGTACAGGAATTAAATAGTGGTTTTAACTCTTTAAGAGGAACGCGTGACAACTTGCCGATTGCTATTATAACAATTTATACACAAATTTATTTAATAGATATGAAAACTACATTTTCGATTTTTTAAAACCACATTTACGCAAAGCTTCGCTAACGTACTACATTTTTCTGCAATTGTTGTATTAGAAATAGAAAATTAAAAATCGAGCGAAGACAAATACTCTTGCAATTTAAAAAATCATCACCACTTTCTTCTTTAAAATTCTAGGCACGTAAAAAACATATGAAAATTGATTGAGAAAATTATTTTAAGTTATCACTGTTAACTCCTTATTCATACTGTCGTGAGGTTCTATGGCTTGCAACTTCTTCATGGTCCTTGGATTTGGGTTAAAATAAAACCAATCCGTTACATAATAAATAATATTGTATTTAAAAAAAATTTAAACTAGTTACAATTTAATAAAGACGATTCGAATAACTTACTTTTTACTATCGAGTGCCCTTTTGACGCACTTCGACCAACGGAGTAACAACAACTCCGCTCTATGTGCCAGCTTTTATATATTCGTTGTAAAGTAAATTTGTTAATTTTAGGCTGATAAATCTTTATAATTATTTTAAGCGATAAGAAGGTAACTCAAATGTTAGCTTATAAATGTAAACTGCACTGTATTTAGAACGATATACCGTCTGGTTAACGGTTTTTGTAAGCGTTCTAACTGTTTTTCCTATCCCAGAAATCTATAATTCTTAGTAATTATCATAAAGCTTATACCAGTTTTAGTAATAAAGAAACCTCTAACTCAGAGATGCCCAAGGAAAAAGAATCTAATTGACCTACAATACGTAAACATGTCTCCTTTTTGTTTAAAAATAATAAATCTAAGGTTAATTAAAAAGTTAAGTAAGAAGAGACCCAATCATTTGTCGTTATTGCCTTTGAAAGGCGTAGTTTAATGATTTGTAACGCTTTAATAAGTTGAGGTTCTGTCTCTGAAGTCCTTTGAGACTCCATAATCAAATAAAATTATCTAGAAGATATGAAAATTTTAGTAACTTAAGTTACTCTTGAGTACTCCAAAGCATTAAGTTGTTATAATAGACCAAGTTGCATAGCTCCGATCGAACAAAAAGAGGAAGTGACTCTAAGCACCCACCCCGTTTACTGACGCTAACGCGCTGAGCTTAAAGCGTTAAGTTATAAACTAAAAATCATCACCCATTCATTGGCTTTAATTATTTGCGCGGACATATACTATAGTCAGCCCGAGTAAACGTCCCTATGACTATTGAAAAACCCCTTCGGGCTAAACTTCAAAAAATTTCTTTTCGCCGAGCAGCTAAACTGCGAGAGTATGGCTAGCCTTTAATTAGATAAGTATATTTGGTTTTTATAAATAATAACGGTTGCTGCAGTGTTTATATGTATATATTTTTCAGTCTCCCCCCACCAATTTGGAAGAGAGCGCACATGGGCAAAGACCTATGTTGGTTTTCCATAATAATCCATAATAACTTTTTTTAATGGTAACTTCCTTGTTTGTTAAGCAAGCAAAAATACTCAGCACTTGTTTTTCTAAAAAAGAAAATTTTGCAAAGCCACTTAAATTCGTTCTTTGTTTTCTGGTCAAATGATAATTTATTTAATTAAACATAATAATTTTTAAAAGCTTAGATGTGGTGAGGTATTCATTACAGTGTACAGTAAGTAGGAAATAATGTGACTGTCTTTATATTTTAAAAATATAATAATAGCCAAAAACGCTGTTTTAATTGCATCGGACTAGCGTGTACATAACATGTGCGAACATTAAATTTTGGCTAAATCACAACAAGGTTAGACCACATATTTCTTATTCTTTTAACGGATAAATGTTTCACGAACTTAGTTTTACGTTATTAATTCAAACTAAGTCATATGGACGAATCAAGATCTATTAATCGCCTTAAATTATGACCTACTAGCTAAAGCACATATAAAATTCCAGTCTTTCTTAATTACGATAGTTCACTATATAGCTGGTTTTACTCTTTATAGGCCCTAATAAAAACATTGCTATTAGATACTCCTGTTTATTTACACGATTTTAAAGGAGGACAACTACGCGTACGTTTTAATCAAAAGCCAACAAGCTAGCGTCGGTCATTTTGCTTCACATGATTAAACAAATGTGAGTTTACGGTTAGTATTTTAAAAAAATTTTGTTGATCGCGTTGACTGTTGAATTAGGCCTTCTTTACCAGGAAACCTTTAAAATCTTTATGAATTTTATATCTGCTGTAACCCAAGCGAGGCTATAACGTTTTCATTAGTAAAGCGGGAAACTAAACGAGATTATCGTCAAATTATATGTATATGAAAATTTATAAACTTAATAATAATAACGAAACAAACCCAAATTACAAATTAAAGATAAACAGAAAATATGAACAGAATAGTTTTGGGTAAAACTGAATTATAAAAACAATTTTAATACCACTAAGAGTTAAAGCAGAAAAAGACAAAAAAAAGTAGGATGACTCTTTATTATAAAATAAAGAAAGAAAACCTAAGATACTTCCACTCGATGGGGAGTTTGCCATAAACTATAAGAATTTATGAGGGTGAAGTTAAATACGAGGCCATCAGAGACCGAAAAAGAGAATCACTTGGTGGGGATCGGATCCACCACCTTGAGTATGCCCGTCAATGCTGTCAACCGCTAAGCAACGACGACAACTCTCCATCCCAGTAAGATTGTTCTACGTAGTTAACCTGTTATAAACCCTCCTCGGGTGTCGAAGGTAAAATAAATTAAATCATCGTGTATGCCAAATTAGATAATAGATTGAATATGTAAATCCATCATATCGGATCAAAAGTTGTTGTCGTAGCTCAGCGTACAATAGTACCGATGCATCTCTTTTCGCTCCTTTGCTGGTTGCGTATTTAACCTTGCTCTTATAAATTCTCTAACAAGTTTAGCTCATGAGCATTTTTTTCGAGCGAATTGGCATTGATTTGTTGACTTATTACTTAGTAAATGAATTTCTGTACTAAAAAGGAGACCTTCCACTTTTAAAGTTGGTTGGGAATCTATCAGTACCCTTTCATAGACTTCAAAAGTGTTATTAAAGCGACACTTAAAACAACACCTGGTATAAACTCCCGCGGATTATAAATATTTACTTTCTCTGATTAGCTATACCTTTCCTTCTTTATAAAAGTAAGAATATTTCTTTGGTTTGTCATCAACATTTTTTATTAAAAACAGCTCTCCGCTTAGCAAAAAAAATTTTTAGCATTGTTCTTATTAATGCACTTATTGCATTTTATAATATAAAGGATAAAATTTGGGTCTCTAGTAGGGTTAAAGTTAAGGGTGCTGGAATATTGGTGAATTTATCGTGAGGGTTAAGTGCGCTATACATCATTGTAAATAGAGAATTTACGAAAAAAAAAAATTAAAGTAAGCAAGTAAAAGAGTGAGTAACAAACTTTTACGTTTGAGAATAATTGGTTGAGTAATAAACCAATGAAGCTAATATTAAATAATTAACTTGCATAACGGAACCAAGTTTATTACTCGAAAACTTCGAATTTGTATCAAAGTATAGGAGTTTCGAATATTTATCACACTCTAGAGCAGCTGGCATCAACGGGGAGCACATACTAATACTCGAGGACTATAAGAACTAAACTGAAAAAAATGCCTTAGAGGGGTAAACGACTTATACCTCTTTCAAACTGCCTACGGAGAAAAAAAATTTACAACAGCGACTTAAGAGACTTGAGAACTTATATATTTATTCATGTAAACGTATCAACTGAGGTAATGTAAACATGATGGGAGTTAGGAAGAAAGCTTAAAAATCTTTTTATTAAAAAAATGAGAGAGAACTGCTCTTCCCCATGTGCATAAAACACGACACACCAGAGAGAAAAAAAAATGATACATGGAAACTATTTGACGATGGGATAATCTATTAAAATTTTGTTTGTAGGGAAAAAATACACCAAACCAGGAAGATGCGAGTTGGAACCAATGAGAATCGAACCTGCAATGACCTTGAGATTTCGCGACACTTCTATAACTACTAAGTCACGGTGATAACTCGCATTTTCGGTCGATAATTACGTATATAACTTTTGTTATAGTCTTGTTAAAAGCGCCGTATAACTAGCTGCAAACGGAGCGAACGAAAATTAAAGAAAGTGAGAGCAATAGCTTAGCCATGCCGGTGACTAGAACGAAATAAAGCTCCACGAGCCCATAATGTCGACCTTTATTGCAGAAACGAAAAATGCAATTTATTAAGGACTACAAGAAAAGGACTTAACTCTACATTCCATCACGGACCCACCAAAAGCTTATAAGCAATTTAAAAAGGTCTATACGCAATAGAGTGAAATTGACTGTAAATAATTGTAATACATATATTTACTAGAACAATATACGACAGTTGTAACCCTTTTATCAAGCATTAGCATGTAGATTCGTTAGGTGCAGCTTTTCTACGTACAAAGCTTTATTAACCATTGAACAACTAGGAATGGAGCTTGTGTAATATTAGTTGAACAGCAGCAGGCTGACATCTTTTTACTTTACTACGAGGACAACGAAAAAAAGTTTTTTGTGGAGTAAAAGAGGTAGCCCCAAACAATAATTTTACAGAAAGCTCAATGAGAAATAAAAGAATCTCTTTGCTGGGAACCTTAAACTACCTGAAGAGCTTAAAAAAACTTCATCAGCTTTGTACCCAATTTGAAGATAGATTTTTTGGCAGAGCGTAAGAAAAGCGCTTCCTTTTCTCTCTTAACAAGTATGGATACAATGGCAGATCCAATATCTCAAAAATGCCCAAGCAGGTGGGGGAACTCGATTATTAGATCTTTGACCCCAGAGGGGAGGCGCACCGACACTATAGAGGCTCCCTCATTCCATTATAGTTACGGTGGCTACGGTATGGAACTCAATACCATTTTGATTTTAGACACTTCGGAATTTTTTGATGAACTAAAGAAGACCGCTAGCGGTAAGCTTCTTGAAGATCTTGAAAGGTAGTTAGACCTTAGCACATACTTTTCACAAAGGATTATTGTTTATGGCCTGAAAAACAAAACAGTTTAATTTTACGACCAACATAATTCCTTGACAGTGGGAACTACGGGTTAAATAAAAGTTAACTTATCAATCGAAAATTTTATGGTCTAATATGAAGAATGGTATATTGTTAAGCCAGTCCGTCATAAATTAAACGGACTTCTCCAACCCTTGTTTATTTCTGAAAACGACTAGGAAGATGTTTTAAATCGACCTTATCACAAACTTCCTTGGGTTAGGTAATTTGGATTATATTTTAGTTGTGAAATGTAGACTATCGAAGATATGCCACTTGATGCCGAATCGAAATCTGTTATACGTCTTTAGAACATTAATTTCTCAAACACGTTTTAACACCATAAGTTTTCAAAAAGTAATGTGTATAACAGAAGCCCACAGTTTTTCTCCAGCTTTTAAAGACATTTCTGTAAAAAGGGGAATGGGAGACTTTCCAGCGGAGTAATGTTCAATGTTTACATTGTGGGGGGGAGGGCCGCCACTACGCAGGGGGTTTCTTACAATAAACAGAGACCTCAACTACTCTTACTAGCCAACTTCACCCTTTTATAAGAATCTTAACACATCAAGAAAAAAATTTAATAAATATTTTAAAAATATATAGGATTGTAACTGTTACAAGTCGCACTGGATTGCACTATTGCAAAGTTTGGTTAGAAACAAATTCTAAAAAGAGTTCCATTTTAAAAGAATTACAGACCAAATATGGTTCGGTAAATAATTTTGTGTTTAATGATGAAATTCAGCGGTGACAGCATGGGCTTCTCTCACGAGATCATTATAAAAGATTATTTACTTGAATCCTTTAACTTTATGCAAAGTAAAAGTGCACAGCGTCACACACCAGCTAGCAAAGTATAACCACCAGCTCTTATAAAAAAATGTTTACCAATGGATACCAAATTATATATTAATAAAACATGAAGATAGCAATTTACTTTAGGTTATTATTATACTTGTCTGCTTCTTCTTTCTTTTAAAAAAAAAGTTCACAAGTTTTTTTAGAACTTCTATGGAACAAATCATTAAGGCTTTAGTAATTACTATTACAGCTTCTTCTTAAAAGTTTATTAT